TCAGTCTACTTATCCACATGAAATCAGAATTTAATTTTGATTTTTTTTTATTAATGGCTGGCAGAGGTACAAAACATTAATCGAAAAAGGCATTTATTTGTATTCATATATTTGAACTTAATTAAGAATTGTGATTTCAATAGAATATAATCTCGAAACGTAACTTTGATTTCATTTACACAGTGTGAAATATTTGGAATGTATTAAAATGATAGTCATATTCTTACAGATTTACAGACCAACATATAAACCACATAGACAACTGGTTAAAAACTCACTATACAGCCCATAACATAGGGATGTGGCTATGGCAACGAACGCAGTTGGTTGGAATCGTCATGGTGACTGGAATTGCAACGATCGCTGTTATCCAACACAACTTTTATGGCATTGATCCAGGTAGGAATATATTTCACATTTTTTTGTGCACGAAATATAAGGCGATCTCAGAATTAAAAGATTGAAAAAGATTTCAGTAAACATTTTTTTAACAACACACTAATTCTATATATTATCATTATCTGGTCTTTTAAATGGAATGGTCAACTGCGTGACAGAGACAGAGAAACAAATGGTCAGTGTGGAGAGAGTTTATCAATACATAGAAGACACACCCAGTGAGAAATGGGACGGAACACAGGTAAGAACATATAAAAAAAGAGCAATCGTTTTGAGGAATTATGACGAACATAAATAAGTATTATATATATATAGCTTATTATCACATTAATCAAATATTGATATGCAAACCATTTAATTACCGTATTTACCGTACTTACAGCCTTCTCCTTCCTGGCCTGCTGCTGGAGTTCTCAGCTATAGTGACGTCTTCATGAAATATCGGGAAGGCTTACCTAGTGTCCTCAAAGGCCTCACGTTCACTACACGTCATGCTGAGAAGATTGGAATTGTGGGACGGACAGGGTCCGGGAAGTCAAGTCTCTTCCAGACACTGTTCCGTACTGTAGAGATAAACTCTGGTGATATTACCATTGATGGAGTGAATATACAGCAACTGGAGCTCAAAGACGTCAGGTAAATACCAATATAATTATCATAATACATGTAGTTGTCATTTTATTTGTCGTTTCTATAAACACAGCGTGAAGTAACTGACATTTTGTTTCTGATTAATCGATAGATAATGAAGCAAAGCTTAATTCTTCGTCAGTATTTGATATAAACGAAAATACTTTCAGGCGTCATCTGGCTGTGATTCCTCAAGACCCATTCCTCTTTAGTGGTACCGTCAGGGAGAATCTCGACCCCACGTCTTGTTACAGTGATGAGGAACTGTGGGGTGTCCTTGACAGATGTCATCTCCGCTTACCTGTAGACAGACTGGGAGGTCTCAAGGGAGAGGTGGGAGAGAAAGGACGACATTTTTCTGTAGGACAGAAACAACTTATGTGTCTGGCAAGGGCTCTACTAACGAAGGCCAAGGTAATTTATATACAGCTTCTTAAAGACAAGTATAGGAATATTAGTGACAAATAAAAACACAATAATTTTTATATCACTGCCCATAGAAAACAATAATTTGCTGAATAAAACAGTACTTATTAAGGGATTTTTATTTTAAATAGTTGACGACAATTTGAAATCGACGGAGAAAATGATAATGCACTTCTCCGGTAATGAAGTCATTGAAAGAATGCCAACAAAAAAAATTGATAATTGAATGATTAGTAGAGGAAAATAAAAAAAAAAAAAAAAAAAAAAAACACAAATGTAATTCATTTCAGTGTGAACAGAACGATAATGATGTATCTGTGAATTGTGTATTCAGAATGAAGTTTTCTATTTCCAGGTGTTGTGTATAGATGAAGCTACGGCCAGTGTAGACCTGGAGACAGACAAATTAATACAAGAAACAATCCGCAAGGAGTTTGTGGAGAGTACAGTGTTGACCATTGCCCATAGAATCAACACCATAATGGACAGTGACAGGGTGTTGGTGATGGACCAGGGTCAAGTGGCTGAACTGGACTCTCCAGAAAATCTTCTCAAAAATCCACAGTCTCAGTTCTACCAGTTAGTTCACGGAAAACCATCCGAGTAAAAAAAACTGATTCTTACCTTCTGATCTTTTCTCTGGGTTTAGCAATACCATCACTGTTCTATACCAGATACATTAAGATCGACATTGATGCGTGCTATAAACACAAAAAGTAACCAATTGCAATCTTGCCATCTGAGACGTTTCGCTCTAAGAATATTATTTCTAAATACATACAATATACTACAATATCAATATTAATGATATTTGTCGATCTCTATGTTTATGTGTGATGAATTAGTTGTTATTGAAATGAAGCATGTAACTTTGAATCCATGTTTCAAAGTCACAGCAAATACATCTACCAAATGTAAAATGTAATCCTACAACGAAACTGTGGTTTTTATTAACAATCGGGAATGTTCGTCAGGAATTGATATGAGGTGTTCAATATTATTTTTAATGGGTTAATATTTTTTGTCATATACCCAAGTTATTTATTGTTAAGTTTATGTATAGATCGGTCATCAGTGTTGTTTTTATTATTTTGTTTTTAACATTGTAATACATGTGATGTTTATTTTTGTGCGCAGAAATAGTGTTATTGTTTTCTGTTATCAGTTAAACATCGATATAAAGCAGGGTAATTATTTTGTATATGTATGTTGTAATGGAAACATTGAAAAAAGTGTTTACCATGGTGCGGATGTATGGTTATGAAAGGGTTTAGATTGTGTGTTTGTGAGCAAGCGAGACAGGAATGTTTATTTGTTTATAAAATGGACTGTAATATGGCACATGATTGGTGTATATGTACAAAGGAAAGAGTGATAAAGATATGAATAAATGGTGGTTTGTTAGTATTTCAAATATTTTCTTCATGGTGCTTAATGCGTTTTTGATAATCTCCTAAACATGTCACATTTAATAAATAATTGAAATAATAACGTGTTTTCAGTTTTTCTATTCTGTTTAAAACTTGTGTGTAATAAATATATCAATGCAGATTATTCAGACTTTTCCTCCACTAGTCACCTATTAACGATAGCTAGATAAAACAACAATATACTACTACTTTTTATTGACTTAATGCGTGTATTAGATGTCTTTCATCATTTACATACTGTCAATAACAAATAATTACCAATACGTAAACGTAAAATGTCACCAATACAAAACGGCCTACAATGTATAATATCTTGTTTAATGATAAGTGATTATGATTAATAAGGTTCCAGTTTTATGCAAAATACTGGTAATATCATCATATTGCACCCCTCTATAGATATATAAATAAATAATTTATTCAATCCAGGTAAGTCATGTCACGTTTCCAAATGAGAACAAGGTAAACAATAATGGAACTAACAGGCATTCACGATCATCATTCACCACCGACGTCATATCGCAAGAAGAAATATGAAATTAATGTTTCTCAATGAAATTATTGTGACGACAATAAACTTCCATAATCTTCATCAACCCGCACCTCCTGAAATCCCGAGTTTCCCAATATCTAGCTAACACGTCTTTACTCAGAGCAGGCATCAATTGCAAGAGAATTAATATGACAATAAAGAAATCAGCTGTCTAACTTTGATATCTATAATGTAGGTTATACGTTATTACTGAAACAATGACTAAAGTACTAATGGTTCAGAAACAAGGAAAATGTCTGTTGGTATCGTTTCTTTTCGTTTCATTAGAAAGTAAACAAAATTAAATGTAAAAATGATGGCATACATCCATTAGTTTTACCGACAGGTTGGAAATCTTGTTTACAAAAGGAAACTGTAACAACCTTGGAACCATTTGAACATGTGTAGATTCGTTAGTCGTAACCTCAGGCAAAGCGAACGCATCATGATTACAGTATTGATAATGTGTATAAAAACTCTAATAAGTTTTATTTTATCTTGTGTCTGGGAATATAATTTCTTGTCATAGTGGTATGTAGATATATATTTATTTCATTTATTTAAAAAACATAAAGAAACAAGTTTTAATAGTTGTCCCATTTATAACTAGGAAAATTATGACATATGATCGAACTGATAGCTAACACCATTCACACATCATCAGCACTCTAGCGATAGTCACACTGACATACATGGGTATCTAGTAATGAAAGGTACCACCTTCACATGAGTGTTGACTGGTCAGTGTATTGTATAGCCCGGTTTAAGTCGGTCTAGTCACGGTTCACTGGATTCCAATCGAGAGTTACCTTTACCCTGGTTTTTCCATGTAATTCCCGGGGATAGGTAATCACAAACCATTCAAACGTCAGCACATTCTTATATGTATCGGGTACAGAAAACCTCAACTGTCCATATTCAGTACCTTTCAATCATAACGATTACACTAACGTCCAAGCTGTTTTCACAAGGAAATCTTCAGAGTGTAAAGAATGTAAATATAAGATTCCATCAGATGAAGATAATGCTGTTTCAAATTAGCTTTTTGTTTACCGAAACTTTCTTATCATGGTTTTGTTCAACATCGAATTTAAAACTACATGTTTGGTTTTGTTTTTATCTGAAAACTAAATCATCCATACATTCCATTAAATACACTGCGTGAAGTGTAATATCTTTTTTCCGATAAGTAAATAAACAAATAGATATATATATATTTACTGTTTTTTTTTTACTTTCAAACAAATTGGTGAGTGACCAATAACTATTTTTTTTCCAATTTTCTTTTAAATATTTCGAATAAATAAAATCATCACTTCTCTACGTGCCTGCATGGAGGTCATCGATAGTGTATATGTAAATTATTGGCTAATCGTAAAATGATTCACTAATGAAGATACAGAATATCTGTATACAATGAGGAAGAGTTAGACAGAAAAATACTGTCTATATCTCGAACTGGTTTATAACATTTGATCAACGCTTAATGTTGAATCGGGTGTTGGATTTTCGTACAACCGTCAGAGCTGCGATATAACCATTACAATTCTGGTATACAAAGCTTATTGTCAATATGTATGTATAGCACATGATCGGTATGTGTATACACATCATGAAAGAATAATCGATATGAAACCCTATTTAACGAGGTCAAACATTTATTGATTTTATCTGATATCACACATATTTTGCAATATATGCATGTATCTCCACTTTGTAAATTTCTCCGGAAAATACAGAGGAAAGCTGGATCATGTATATCTGAGTGACGAACTCTGAACGACAACACAAGTAAATAGTAACCATGTCTCCAATACACGAGCCATTTAAACTCACTTCATTGAATGGGTGTTCGATCTATACTAGGTCATACACCTACGTCACAAATGCCAGTTCTATTTACGTCTAAAAAAATCCCCTTAGTATAGAATCAGGGAAATCAGAAAGAGTCATGAATTCGGGTTTTTTGTACCAGATAGTTATATAAATGACGGGTAGCACTAACTTGGTCATACAGCTCGGCTGGTACGGACCAAGAAAGAACTTGTAGCCTTCAATTTATCGCTGAAACCACAATCAGTAAATCTTGCAGGTACATTCTCTAAAGGTAACTATTTATATCACAAGTTGTGATTTAAAGTGAACCAAAGAGAAATCAAATCAGAAATATTTTTAGATATAAAACCAAATTGTAAACCATTGTTTGACAGTAAGAAGTAACACATTTCAATATATGCAACACTTAATGTAAATTAGACCTATGTAGCTATGGATAAAACATATAGTTGATAATTAAAATTCACATTGATATAGTACTGATGTTAGTTTATCAACGTGTGAAATAGACCTAACAAAGCCTCAATCTGATTATGATATTATTGATAAGATTTTGCTTATTTCTTAAATGAAAGACATGCAAGAACGGTGATGTACCATGTTAACGTCATTTTACAACCAAAAATTTTCTAAAATTTACGTATGAATTTAATTAAGTATACGATATTTATTATAAGTTACATATAATTATATGATCTGTTTATTTTCAGATAGAAAAGATGGAGCACACATTCTGGAGAACTTTGCGTCTGAAAGAAATCACGGTGAATGACAACAACGTCACTTTGTACAATCAAGCTAATATAAAATTGCTGCAAAGTAACCAATCTATAGTTCATCATGGCATTGTTACAGAGGAACATTTTACAACTACAGCGTCAACCGTTGTCAATGTTCTGGTAACTCTCATCAGTGCGTTCATTATCTATTTCCTCACTAAGAAATTATCACAAGAAAAAAGGTCTTCCAATCAGAAGGAAAATCAGGATGAAGAGACGGATCCAACCTCCTGCGCAGTCAGTTACCCGGCCAATGAGGATGATGTCTCCATTCTGTCCAGGTTAACCTATAACTGGGTACAACCCCTTCTGATGAAGGACAGTAAAACGACCAGTCTGTCGTCTGAAGACATGTTTAAAATGCCAAACAGTCTTAACGTAAAGAAAGTACAGGAGGAGTTTTCCAAAAAACTGAAACCAGGAGTGAATATTGGTATGAAAACAGACAAGAAGAACCCGACCTTACTTAGTGCATTATACAAAGCCTACGGACTAGAATACTTTCTTCTTTGTGGTCTTCTAGAGTTGGTAGCGCACCTGATTAATTTCACAGGTCCTATCTCACTTGGTTTATTGTTGTCATTTTTCGAAAATGGTGACGAGCCATCACACACCGGATATCGCTATGCCTTCCTGTTGTTCTTGTCGAGTTTTGGAAAAGCTCTGCTAGACAGCAAATTTCATTTCACCCGTATGCATGTCTTTTTCAAAGTGAGAATTTCGATTATGACAGCTATTTATAAGAAAGCCTTGCGTATAAGCACCGTGTCTTTATCGAAATTCAGTACTGGTGAGATTGTCAATTTTCTCGGGACTGATACTGATAGAATGATGGGCTTCTGTCATTGTTTCCATGCTTTATGGAGTCTACCTTTCGAAACCATTATATGTATGTATATTCTGTATCAACTGGTTGGAATTGCAATGTTGGGAGGACTAGTTGTTGCCCTGATTCTCGTTCCCATAAACAAGATCATATCAACGAAACAAATTGCACTAGGCAAAGTGCTAATGGAACAGAAAGACAAGAGAACGAAGGTATGTATTATTCCAATCTATAGATTTTTAAAAAGATAAAAAATCGATTCCTTGGATTGTAATCTTGACTCGGATAGGTGTTTCATATCCAAATTTATTTTGGTTTTGATAACCTTTCATTCTCAGATCGACAGCAATATCATTGATATATATTGATGCATAATTAGTATGATTTTTGCTTCCATAGTTGATGAACGAGGTGCTTGGCGGAATAAAGATCATCAAACTTTACACCTGGGAAGACCACTTTCAAAAGATGATTAATGAACTTCGTGACGCTGAGTTGCAGATCATTAAACGAAGAAAAGTAATTGGAGCCATAACTGGATACTTGTGGACTCTGACTCCGATCTTTATGACCGTACTGACATTCAGCTCCTACTCAATGATGGGAAATACCCTGTCCGCTTCAAAGGTAAAAACCATAGAATATAAATTCTCTGCTGTTACATTTGAAATTGTTTGGAAATATTCAACTTTATATCTAAAGCTCGAAGATGTTTGGAATGTTAAGTTACCAATGTTCTCTACTTTTGTGAATTTTTACAGATGTTTGCAAGTCTGGCATTGTTTCTAAAACTCCTTGGATCACTTAATCATCTCCCTTGGGTATTCAATGGCATAATGGAAGCCGTCATTTCACTTGGAAGGATAGAGAAATTCGTGGCATTGGAAGATATTGACCTTGATGCTTATTACGAAACAATGAAAGGTAAAATTTAATGTTAATGCAGATGAAACGGTACTAAGTAGCTATACGCGATTAGAAAGTTGTTATGATTTAACATTGATATATCTGATTTTGATGTAATTCTTTGATTACAGAATCGAGGAAATGCGACAGTGTGATTTCGGTAAATACTGGACGATTTACTTGGGAAGGAGAGAAGGTGGATAACACTGATTCAAACGAAAACGAGATAAAACTAAAATGCGAGTCAGGGGAGACAACCAGTAAATCAGGAACACTTTGTCTTCGGGATATTACCGTTGACATTACTCAAGTGAGTAGCAAATATTGATCAATATAAGTCTAGCCGAAATAAAGAGTAATTTATATCATTTTTTTAATTTTATCAACACAAAATTAAATTTCAACAAACATTTATTTCATTAATAGGGTCAATTCATAGGAGTGATTGGCAAGGTTGGCTCTGGTAAAAGTTCCTTCCTCAACGCTATACTTGCCGAAATGGCTCGGAAAGAAGGCGAAATCTCTGTGTCTAATCTGAAAAACGGGTTTGCTTTGGCGGATCAGGAACCTTGGATACAACAGGCATCTGTCCGAGACAACATTATCTTTGGCAGTCCGTATAACGCGGGAAAATACGCCGAGGTTGTTGACGCCGCATCTCTTAAAAAAGATATCGAGGTTTGTATGAACAATGTAAATAAATAATACTTTTGCGTTTGTTATCAACCAATTGTATTGTTCTATGAAATGGACGATGCAACAACTGCAGAAATATCAACACGCTCTTGATTTACTCTTTTAGATGTTACCAGCTGGAGATAAGACGGAAGTTGGTGAGAATGGCGTAACACTAAGCGGAGGTCAGAAAGCTCGACTTGCTCTAGCTAGGGCATTATATCAGGTAAACACTGTTTGTTATTATTTACTGTTATAATACTCATTGTAACATTCAGAAATAGATAAAGCCAATTTGTAACGTTGTTATACTTTTTCGGTGATGTATTATTATTCTAAGGCGATGAAACAAACTCATTGTCAATTTGTACATGTATAACTTGATATCTTACTCTTACAGGATAAAGATGTGTACCTTCTCGATGACCCTTTAGCAGCCGTCGACGCTCACGTGGCACAACAAATGTATGACAAATGCATCATGGGATTACTAAAGCACAAGACCAGAATCCTTTGCACACATCACACTCAATTCCTTGGTGAAGCAGATCTAGTCATAGCCATGGATGACGGAATAATTTCAAAAATGGGTAAGTCAAGATACAAGTTGTGATTTGTCAATGAGTAAAAAAGTGCATTGGAAAAAACCCATTTCATATCGATATGTTAAAATCCAATCAATCCCTAATTTTCAGTTGAATCAGTATTACGAATAATTGTTATGATCAAGTCTCAGTAGAAGATGATGTCTTTTCTAGGTCCTCCGAATGAGATACTCCCCGATGTAAAATTTGCTGGACGTAAATCATCTGATAAGGAAAACGAGGATGTGACAGACAACAACAGTAACGAAAAGGACGGTAAACTGGGAGATGAGACAAAGGAAACTGGGGAAGTGAAGTTAGGAGTGTATAAAGCGTATTTGACAGCACTCGGTAAATGGCTTGCCCTGGCAATGATCATGACTGTCGTATGCATGCAAGGTAAGTTGATGCTGCATAATTTGAAGGAAATATATGAGAATAAGATTCACAGAATGTGTCTTACTATAAACTGCTATATACAATTGTGTTGATAGAAAATATGCTAGTAAATGAATGAAATACAACTTTTGTGTTGGTCTCCATTTCAGTGTCGGAGTTGATGAAGGACTGGTGGCTGACACATTGGGTTTCTAGTTCTAAATTAGACGATACCAATACTTCGGACTCCGGATATCTCTGTTTCCATGACAACATGTCCTCACCAAGAAGGTATTGACTGCTTTTCAATTGACAGCTAAAGATACAAATATCTAAGGAAACAAAACGACTGACATTTTACAGAAATATATGATTGTTTTTATAACTGTGTCTTTTTTCTTCTAAAATGGTTAATATTTGTTTCAGTTTTGATCAACGTTTTGATTCCGTGCCTCAAGAAACATCCAGACATTCCAGTCTTCTTTACTACATGGTGGTTTACGCCTGTCTCTCCGCTGTTTATGCTCTTTTCTCTTTGGCCAGAGAAATTCTCTTTGCCTATAGTGGAATGAGTGTTGCTAAGACCATACACAGTAACCTTCTCAACACTATTCTGAAGGTAAGAGACCATTGATTAAAGAATAAAGCATAAAGCAAATGTGAGCAGTAAGTCAAAATTTGTTGTCTTTTTCAATGTGTTTCGTGAATTGTTTATCTAATTGTTTTTGTGATTTGTGTTTGTAGGCGCCCATGTCCTTCTATGATGTGACTCCTGTAGGCCGAATTCTCAACAGATTTTCGTCAGACATGGGAACAATAGACGACTCCATAAGTCACATGGTTATGGTGGTTCTGAGTCAAGTTTTTGAAGTTGTTGGAACAATAGCAATGGTGTGTTACGGAATGCCTTGGTTCATAGTTTTGCTGTTGCCCCTGGGTGCCATCTACTATCGGCTGCAGGTAAAGTAGATTGATTATTTAAAAGATCAATAATATTCTCTATTCATTGCATTTTTTCTGAGTCTAATGTTAACGGTTTTTCGGGGACAATTCGTAAATGACTCTTGCAACGTCATGCTACAAATTTTGTAAATTTTGTTTATCTTTTGATAATCAATTTTCAATTAACATTCAAACTAATGTCAATAAATGTTTACAGGAGAGATACCGTCACACATCTCGCGAAGTCAGACGAATTTCAAGCCTTAACCGCTCTCCCATCTTCTCCCACTTCTCGGAGACGGTGTCGGGATTGGTCACTATTCGAGCATTTCGGGAATCCGAAAGGTCAGTCTACTTATCGACATGAAATCAGAATTTTATTTAGATTTTTTTTATTAATGGCTGGCAGTAGTACAAAATATTCATCGAAAAAGGCATTTATTTGTATTCATATATATTTGAACTTAATTAAGAATTGTGATTTCAATAGAATGTAATCTCGAAACGTAACTTTGATTTCATTTACACAGTGTGAAATATTTGGAATGTATTAAAATGATAATATTCTTACAGATTTACAGACCAACATATAAACCACATAGACAACTGGTTAAAAACTCACTATACAGCCCATAACATAGGGATGTGGCTATGGCTTCGAACGCAGTTGGTTGGAATCGTCATGGTGACCGGAATTGCAACGATGGCTGTTATCCAACACAACTTTCATGGTATTGATCCAGGTAGGAATTCTTATATTTCACTTTTGTCCATATGTTTAGTTCACGAAATATGAGAAGAGATATCAGAATTAAAAATTGAAAACAATTTCAGTAAAGAGTTTTTTTTTTTTAATTTGTATTACAAAGCATCTTTGATATAATCAATAATCAATTCTATATTACAGGAGTAGTTGGACTGGCCATTTCCTACATTTTGTCATTATCTGGCCTTTTAAATGGAATGGTCAACTGCGTGACAGAGACAGAGAAACAAATGGTCAGTCTGGAGAGAGTTTATCAATACATAGAAGACACACCCTGTGAGAAATGGGACGGAACACAGGTAAAAACATATAAAAAAAAGAGCAATCGTTTTGGGGAATGATGACGAACTTAAATAAGTATTATATATATATAGCTTGTTATCACATTAATCAAATATTGATATGCAAACCATTTAATTACCGTATTTACCGTACTTACAGCCTTCTCCTTCCTGGCCTGCTGCTGGAGTTCTCAGCTATAGTGACGTCTTCATGAAATATCGGGAAGGCTTACCTAATGTCCTCAAAGGCCTCACGTTCACCACACGTCATGCTGAGAAGATTGGAATTGTGGGACGGACAGGGTCCGGGAAGTCAAGTCTCTTCCAGACACTGTTCCGTACTGTAGAGATAAACTCTGGTGATATTACCATTGATGGAGTGAATATACAGCAACTGGAGCTCAAAGACGTCAGGTAAATACCAATATAATTATCATAATACATGTAGTTGTCATTTTATTTGTCGTTTCTATAAACACAGCGTGAAGTAACTGACATTTTGTTTTTGATTAATCGATAGATAATGAAGCAAAGCTTAATTCTTCGTCAGTATTTGATATCAACGAAAATACTTTCAGGCGTCATCTGGCTGTGATTCCTCAAGACCCATTCCTCTTTAGTGGTACCGTCAGGCAGAATCTCGACCCCACGTCTTGTTACAGTGACGAGGAACTGTGGGGTGTCCTTGACAGATGTCATCTCCGCCTACCTGTAGACAGACTGGGAGGTCTCGAGGGAGAGGTGGGAGAGAAAGGACGACATTTTTCTGTAGGACAGAAACAACTCATGTGTCTGGCGAGGGCACTTCTAACTAAGGCCAAGGTAAGACATAAGTTAAGACCCATATTATGTATTGGACTTCGTTTACTTGGTAATAGTAAGAATATCAGGAACAAATAATAATTCAAAACTGAGTACGGCTTGTAGATAAAGTACTTATAAGTTACATTCGTATGGATTTGAATAGAAATATAAACAATTGATGAATATATTTCATTCCATTCCATTCCAGGTGTTGTGTATAGATGAAGCTACGGCCAGTGTAGACCTGGAGACAGACAAATTAATACAAGAAACAATCCGCCAGGAGTTTGTGGAGAGCACAGTGTTGACCATTGCCCATAGAATCAACACCATAATGGACAGTGACAGGGTGTTGGTGATGGACCAGGGTCAAGTGGCTGAACTGGACTCTCCAGAAAATCTTCTCAAAAATCCACAATCTCAGTTCTACCAGTTAGTTCACGGAAAACCATCCGAGGAATAAAAACTGATTCTTACGTTTGGAACAATACCGATTCGGGGTGTTTAATATTAGATTTCAATCATGCCTATTTATTTTTCTCTTAATTAGTGTCCGTTTACTGTTGCAAAATATCACTTAGCGAAATGAGCATATGCATCGATACTACCGAATTCACATATTCTTATCAAACATTCACGGTTTTTTTTTTCTAAAAATATCGGGTAATTTACTGCAAGTTAGGACATGAAATGTTCAACATTGAAATACGAACACGTGTTCTTACTTTTTCTTGCTACAAAATGTGTGCAATATAAACTGTTTTATTCAATATTGATATGTGTTCAGATATTCGTTTATAGATGATTTTTTTCTCTCTTGTGGGTATGACATTGAAATTATATAAATAAATATTTAAATTTTGTTTGTATATGATATAGAGTACTGATAAATAATATATATTGTTTATTATCGTAGGATATTTATTAATATCAATTATGACATATTAAATACAGCTATAAATTGTGTTTTTATGTATCGGATTTATGTATTGCATGTTTGGTAAAATTTGATCTGATATTGGTTGAGTATGCATGAAAGCACAAGGGAGTATCTTGTTTTGTATTAATGAATGGGTAGGTTGTTGATATCATTCAACATGTATATAAAGATGCTATGGAGGAGGTTATATGACTATGGTTATGTATCTAAAGATGATGTTATAATATACAAATGAAATAGGGTTTGTTTTAGAAAGTAAGGTGAGCAAGAATCGATATATCAAATATTTTTTGTGCATGTTTTCGATTTCCACATCACATCTCATTTAATAAAAATTGTCCGAATTAAACATTTTCGTATTCTATATATTTGCCTGTAAAAAATCATAGTTTATTAACATAAAAGAGACAAAACATCAGCATTTATATAACGGTACAATATACCGTTGTTCTTTACTAAGTAGGTATATGACTCCAATACAAACCATTTGTGCTTTACCAATACCTTGGTAGTAAGTAGTATTAAGTTACCAGCAGAACGCAGAATCACAATACACGGAGTACCCGAAACACTAAAATTAGATATCACCTATAAATATTTGATAAGCAAAGTAAAGGATCTTTGTTATAATTTTACCATATCATAATTATTTGAAGACAAATTCTAAAAACAAAATTTAAACTATCACATCACAGAAAAAAGTGTGTTTCGTTCTTAAAAAATGTATCCACCAGGTTTGAACTATCAACTTTACAAAAAGCTGTATGTTAAGCGTGATGATTCTGATTTGAAAACTGCAATGATCATCACTGTATAAACGATGTACACCTAATCATGCGCGATGCTCTCAAGTATTCCTCGAGTCTTCGTTGTTGATTGCAAGGTGGGTTCCGACGTTGCAGCGTGTTTTGTTTCTCCTTTGTCGTTTCGATTAAGCTAAGTGTATGATTATATGTACAAAAACAGCAAGAAAATACCAACAAGTGATCACAATCCAAACTCTATTTCTATCAAACTATTGGTAAAATATGAGCAAAAGAAATTTTTTTACACGAAATCTGGTACAAAGAGATTAGTACCAGGTGTTCAGGAGGAGGAAGCGTCTTCTGCTTCACCACTGTGTAAATCTTGGCCAATAGAAGTAAATTATGTTACTTTCTCAAAAGAGAACTAGATATACAACAACGGGAGCAACATCAAATCAAACGAGCAAATACACGGCTAGTTTAATATCGCACAAAGACAGAAGGATATCGTGCTCTGAAATCAGGATATTGGGAACAGGCAATTGAATATCTAATCAACTATGATATTTCAACTCAAAATGTTTGGAATGCAGGATGTTGATATCCATAAATGGAAAAGTGGAATAAGAAATTGAAATTATCCAGAGGTCATAAATTTATCTGAAAGCGAAATTAAAAGACCTTGAAAGGTCTTTAAAATCTGTTTTGACAAGCTTTCTATTAATTCAGCCTCGTATGAAATAGATATCAGCCAACGTTCGAGCATAGTTAGTTCCTGTAAGCAAATAATCTGCTGGAAGATTTTTCCACCATACTCCATGAAGATAATGTCAGTCAAAAATGCGATCATATTCATGATATCATTCTCCGTATAGTTCTTCTTAAATTTGGTCATATTTTCACGAAATACGTTTCTTTACAGTTCACAACCTTGCATGTGCAACAATTACTGACCAATAATACCGTAATTCTGGATAAGTCTTGGTACATTTAAAGGTAAACTGCGGATATGTTTACGTCATAATATAAGTACATTTGATAGGATAATCAGTAGAACTAAACACAATTATTGTATCTTGTATGAATCATAAATTAGTTTAATATATAATTCATAGTATGAAATATGATACTACTGCGACTTTTTTTTACTTTTGTTCAACAGCTTTCTCAATAAGAAGGAAGCCAGGATATCTGCAATGCTGTAAATATGTTCAAGGATTTGGTATTGTAAAGTTAAGGAAGGCATATATTACTTTGTGATGAACAGGGAGCCAAGGCAAGCGACCCATAATTGACCAAGTTGGCAAGGACATTAATAGCTTATGAAACTTCATACTAATGCTTAATTTAGATATGATGCATGTCAGTCATTACCTTTAAATGATCTTGTGAGCTTATCATGGATTGAGCTTTTTGCTATAACTATTAGTAACATATTGGATAAAGATATAGAGAGTTATATAAACAATGTCCTATATTTTGTCACTCTGGAACTCATAAGCCACCATTGACGTTTGCCACTTGAGAACAACGAATTAAAGCTGATTAACCTGCTTAAGTTGTGTATAAATATATAAGTACACCTTTGTTTGACAGGTAACAATGCTGGGTCTGAAGATCAGAGACCAACGGTTGCCAAAATTACCATGTAACATGTCCTCATGTTATTACACAATCAATTTCAAGTTAAAATGGAAATCAGTTAAGATGATAAATTATTCAATTTTTAATTTTGAGCATCATTAATTTTAACTGTTGTATCTTATCACATATATATGTGATCATAGGAAAAACGAATCTTATCGAGTTTTACCAGGCGCATCATTTGTATTAGAATATTGAAACGAATCGGAATAAAATCAAAGTTAAGAAGAGTTTTTATGATGATATGGTCAGAAAGTAAACAAAAAAAATGGTCTCAAGATTGAAATACAAGTAAGCCATTGGAAACAACACGTTTCAAAGTAAATTCAGACAGTTCAAAGATAACAAGAAAACAGTGTTTCTTAAGACACTTTCCTTAAAGAGATAAACATGGTGGTTTCTTTTAACAATTACACTACATTTAATGGAACCATACAGTTAAAGTAATTTATAGAAATTACTAACTAGCAAATGTATGAATAAATAAATAGCCGTTATCTATAAACATATCTATATATCTATCAAAACCCCTAGTGAGAGTTGTAAAATTCATCTACAAATTGTATTATATCTGTTCTACAGATAAATGTACTATTTTTTAAAATGACCTTATCTATGTATGTTAAAGATCTGAAACATATAAACATTTATAATATAGATTTATCTGGTGTTCAAATAAAATGTATCAGATCTGATCCTGATAAACATTTTTAATAAAGTGTTTGTATAAAGGTTTTGGATTTTTTTCTGTTCAAAAACCAATTTTACATAACAAACATTAACTAGTTGAAATTAAACTAAACATCACCACAGAAACACCGTAATTGATATATCTATTTTATCTGATTTAACACACCAGAATTTTAAAACGTATTTTGGAGTCCAAGAAGAGGATATTTTGTTTTTCTTGAGACCGTTTGATATAAAAGACATTTAATATTGTATATCAACCAAGTCAAGATACTGTTCGTATTTCTGAAGAAACTTTACCAGTTTACGCATAACCGTGATATTTACATATTTGTTTACTATAGCAGGTCACGATCATCGATTTCCCCAGTACAATGTGACAATTGAAAAGATAATAAATACAGATAGGATAACATAGAAAAACCATATGCAGAATGTATCCAGAATGTGTACCACCTCTTTCCACGTCATCGTGTCCATTACTGCTACCTTTGCAGCTTCTTCCATCTGAGCTTCTCTCTGTTCTTTCTTATTTGAAGATTTTGAGTCTGTGTTTTCTGGACATACTTCAATGATTCTTCTTTTGGGTGATAATTGACAGTTGAGAATTCTCATCATCCTGACCACCCACCGAGGCACCGGTAAGTGCTCGTCTTTATGGTACATTCGGAGTTGGAAGATGTTGATTGATGCGATAATGCCACTTGTAACAAAGACGGCAATTATATAGTAGGACAGTCTGGACATGTTGTCCGAGTTGGCTGGAAGGACAGAATTGATAATAGTGATAAAAACGGTGAAGGTGAGAAATACGGTCAGACTAAATCCAACACGTTCTCCTGAGTCGCATGGCAGCACGAATACCAGAGGATTCATCATCAACAGCAAGTAGATCGGTATCATTGTGTTGACAATGTGAAAAGCCGGAAGTCGTGAAATCGTCAAATTAAAGAAGACAAAAGAGTATGGACCGGGCGTTTGTACATCGGTTGAAGATTTATCCAGGGACCACTCTCCGTTGGTTTCATAAAAGTCTAAATTTACTGCTGGGTTATTTGATTTTAGCGTAACTTCTTGATATGTATAACCCCATGCTGCTAATTGTATAGCACATGTCTGAATATCAAACGGGAAATATGACACATCCGGGCTACACTTGATATCAAGGAAGCTCCCAGGCGACCATGTGATTGCACCATGGTAATCTATTTCCACCTGAAGATCTGAGTTGCTGATGGCCTTAAATTTATCTGATGCTTTTATGTTGTAGAGCTTAGGCAGCCATATATTATCTTGTCCCATTTTTATGCTGGTCAGGTTACCGTATAAAGTAGGATCCCAACCTATGGATATGTCTTTCCAATCAATTTTAAATGCTGCAAGAACATTCAAAGTTCCGGACACTTCATCGAAATCCTTTATGGATAGAAGATGCATATCAACAGCCACATCTAAATGTTCAGTCTGATCGTTAACTGGTCGGACCTCTTTGTTGTATCCATTAGTTATGTCGCTTAAGAGATTTTTCGTATCTGAAACTGTAGCGGCTTCCATCTTAGAAACCAAGCATATTATCACAGCACAGGATAGAAGGATGCGAATCATGATTTCTATGGAAATTGGATTTACCAGGCTTCTAGCTCTACAAACAAGCACTGGAATGACTGGTCATGTCCTAAATGTTACCCCTTCTAAATCTCTGCTATACTGACGTCACGAAGTCATTATTGAACCGAAATAAATCTTAATCCGCTATGGACCTGAACTAAACTCAAACAATAACATTAAACCGTATAAAGACAACCAACACTACGGATGGCGTCTTTATGCTAATTCAATTTACATTTTCGAATCCAAATAAGTAATTGAACGCTTTCATATATACAAAAATAGACTTAACGCTTTGGCATTGAGACCTAACCGATTACAAGAAGAGAATATGTTGTAGGGGATTGTATCTTATTCAATCTAAGCGTTTATGTGATACGCACATGCAGAACATGGTAAAATATGGAATTATTACATTCAACCAACACATATGCTAGCTAATTCACTCGCCATACAATAGTAAAGAACAACTTCCTTACATAAAGACTTCTGTTCATCTTTTGCACACACACACACAATGCTAAATAGAAACATCCTATGCCCAGGACAATCCGATGTAAGCATGTCAGTTAACAAGATGACGATCTCCGTCTCCTTCAGCTACATCAATATTGCTAGGCAACAAAGAAAGACATTGTTGTAGTCTTGGGCAAACTAAGTTATAATTTTGAGACACCGAAGCGAAAAACGCACAGGATGAAAATTAGATCGACATGTCCTTTCAATCAATTCGACACAGCAAGATCATGTACGAGCAAGACTAGAATAGGTAGCATCCATTCAAAGTGCAAGGGAAATAAGACCAGTGTACCAGGTGAGAGGGAATCATCCTCTTCATCGACAAAATACATAATTCATGTGAATATACATGTATATGTAAATCATGAAATACCAGGTTCTCGAAAAACATCAAGAAAATACCAACATGGCAACATAATCATAATTCCAACTCAAATTCCATAAAATTAGGGCTAAACATGAAAACAGACGATTTACACGGAGACTGTTGAAAAAGTAGAAGGAGAATAAGACCAGGTGCTCAGGAAGGGTACACGTCTTCTGCTTCATCGACGACATCTGCCATGTAAACCTCGGTCAATCCAAGTAAGTAATGTCACGTTCTCAAATAGAAAAAAGGTAAGCAACAAAGGAACCAACAGGCAAAATAAAGAGTATCAAATACGTCCAGCGTCGTGTCACACAAAGTAATAGAATATTTCTCTATGAGATCACTATGTCGGTCATAAAACTTCTCCATAATTTTCATCAACCAGCATCTTTTGAACCCTTGTATTACGGTTTTGTCATTCAGTTGACGACTTCGTGAAATAACAATATTTTTGATGATAACAAAACCAGTAGCTATGCTTACCATTGTCCAAGGATCAAACCCATCTGACACCTTATCGATAAGGAAAACAGAATACATCACTAAACATTTCCCTCGTCTTCATCAACAATCATAATCAAAGTGAAAAGCTGTGTTGTATATTTTTTTCTGACAGCTGCCAACATTTACCACTAAAATCATGATATCGAGAAAAAGCTATTGAATGTCCGATTATGAAAATGAACAAAAATGTTTCTATCTTGAAACGATGAATTAACAAAAGGCAAATCGTGTTTGATCGCTTATAGTTCAAATTTGTAAATACTGATCGAGGAAACAAAGTTTGCCGTGTTCTTAGCTTCAAGGTCTTGACCTATATTAGTTGGACATACGTTATATATTTCTTATGTGCCATGAATGGAGAAAGCTGACACAAGTTCAATAACACGTTCTGTAAGACCAGTACTTTGTATTATTTATTGCTGGTATGTTTTATTCAGCAGGGTATAAACAGCTGCAAATCTTAACCACCTTACACTTTATTCTGTTCATGACGCTGCAAATGTTGGTGTCAACAATGTACCTTTTATATTTTGTTGTATTCCGCAGCACCGGAAGGCAGCCGTATTTTAGCACGTGCATTAACTCGTCTTACACTTGAATATTGAATTTTAAACAGGAATAACTGTTGAGATAAGTTTGTTGTATTGAGAAAGTTTGTCTACGAAAATTCATGAAATGATGCTATATCCGTTGAATCCGTTGGAACTATATTTTCAGCGTAATGTGTCGTAATTGAGGCTGCATTTTGGCTCGTAACAGAAAGAAAAAAAAGCGGGTTTCTGAAGGATTTACAAGATGTGGTTTAAGGGAAACAAATTTTGATCTAGTATGAAATTATTGAAGCTAATGAAATTTTGTTTTAAAACTCATTTAAACAACACAGTTATTTCTTAAGCTAATTCCCGATCTGTATATTTGTTTTGCCCACCGTAAGGACGTGAGACCTAAGAGTCCACAATGTAACTTATTCATCTAATCCAGGGTGAACAAAGGAAGCGTAAGAGATTTCATTTGTTAACTTCAGCTGAACACATTTGACAGCTACGGAGAAAATATTGAATTAAATTAGATTGACTTAATGTAGGAGAAGGGAAACTACTAATTAGTCTTTATATATCTATATATATAATTACATTTCAGGAAAATAGCTTGATGTGTAAATCTTTGGTCCTGCTATACTTGTAGGCAGGGTAAACAATTCTCGGTAAAATATGTACAGATAATATTGAATAATACTTTTTGAGTTTATTATCATACACTGACAGCATTTCGTGTTAAAAACACTGATAGTTAGTTATCTGCGACGTGGCCATTTTTTTTAAAATTCTATATGTTATTGTCTTCAAAACAACACTAGCAAATAAATATATGAAGCATTTAACATGTAATCAAATGAACGCATGATCTAAAGATAGAAAACAGTCACATAAATGAGAAAACAACTGTAACTTTTACAAAGTTCACGAAGAAAATAAATATTGACCATCCAATTAGATAGGCTTATACTGACTTTGATAAGGTGAATAATACAACTGCAGTCGAAATAGCATTATCGTGTCACAGTTTCGTGGTGGACTTCGGTAGGGTATCTCCGTCTGCCAGTCAGATCGTAGTATGCTATATCAGTAACTGTTCCAGATACTGAAGTCTATGAGACTTATCACTGGGATCCCAGCTGTGTGAGAGTTATCCATCCCTATAATACACACGAATCAATAGAAAAAAAACAAGATAGAAAGAGGAAAGTGAAACAAAGTGAAAGCGATTAAAAAAAAACAAAATATAAAAAAAAACAAAAAAAAAAAAAAACAAAAAAAAAAAAAAAAAAAAAAAAAAAAAAAAAAAAAAAAAAAAAAAAAAAAAAAAACAAAAAAAAAAAAAAAAAAAAAAAACAAAAAAATACACATGAATCTATATTTGATATAATTTTGTAAATTGATATATTTACACGATAAAAACTTTTGCTATATGTATTAACACACCATTAAATAAAAACTAACATAAAAGTTATGCCAGTGTATCTGTGTGATTATAAATAAATCCATGTTATCAACTGGCGCCTTCAATGAGATTTCACATCAATGAGATTTCACAAAATCGAACATCCGGTAACGAAATGAAGAAAATCGAAATCGGCGTAATCTGATACATAGACAGAGAAGGAAAAGTACAACCCTCTTTTTCAAAATCATCATGGTCAGGTTTAGATACTGTACGAGTTATACATGTATAACGTCAGGTTTATTATGCGTTTTGAGTCATTGCAACTGTTGATAATAATACATTGGTTGACTGGCATGCAGGGTAAAGTTGAAGCCCTGATTATAATATGTAATACGATCAATAGGAGAGCTAATCTCTCACCAAGTCGAGGGATTACAGAAAAGACACTAAAGACGTATATTTTCCCGTTTACTATGAGATATGAATATCAAAAAGAGATGTATGCCTAATATTTATTAAAAGGTATCATTAATCAGTGTCTCGATTCGTCTTTCTAGTACGTAAAGAAAACGGAAAAGTAGTTCTAGAAACCAAATCACAAAACAATGCAATATCGTTTCAGATGATAATAGTTTAAAATTTATACTGTGATATTATTCCGTCTGTTATAAATAATCAATCAACAGGCATGGATTGTAATTACAAAAAAAATGTAAAAATACATACATGCAAACATGGGTGCTGGAGAGGTATAGAAGAGGGTCCACAAATATGAAAATTAGAGACACTATAGGATCTTTATGCCTGATCTTCCAACCACAGGACGAACACTGAAACTACATCAATACCTGGTACAGCAGCATTACCTTTTTTGATTATCCCTTCGATTTGACCAACTGACAGACGGTACATAGAGGTATTGGAATGGCGATGGAACATGGAATCAACCAACCGATGACGCGAGTATACTCCGGGTATTCGTTAGAGCCATACTTTGGTGCCCGGTACGTGACGAAGCTGATTAAGAACGGCAGGTAAAAATTAAAACAACAGATAAAAATGCCACATCGTCTACATCAAATTATCACGAAAGATATTATACCGTTATACATGAAAAATAGTTTTCTCTTTTGTTCATTTTTTTCAGTGATAATAAAAACTTCTTGTCTTGTCCTCGGGAACATGCTTTGGTAAAAAAAAATCTTATACCGTTGTTGTTACAGACACATGACGTCATCCCCTGTGTACGCTGTCTAGTACTGGTACATATACATTAAACTTTGAATATTTACCAGGTGATAGGAACAATTGTTCACGAGAAAAGTTTAGGGAAAACATACGACCGACACTTATTCATCTTTCGTGGTCTGTAATGATAATGTGTTGATAGTACAACAATGTCCCTTGCTCCTTAAATAGAAATTATTGTCAGGTAATGATAATGACATCGTTTCAATTAGGACACACTAAGGTCTATATCAATAGCTTTGACATCCTCTTGCCTTGCCAATTCTGAAAGGCAAATGCAGTTAGATTTTATTATCTAATAAAAACGGTTATGAGCTAATTCTCTTGATCTCGGGTGAAAAGACAAATACACACGGAATAAAGTATTCTAGTGTGGTTTTTATTTATTTATTTATTTATTTATTTATTTATTTTTGTAACCAAAACTTCGCAATTATGCTACCATATTTCAAAAGAATACGTTTCAGAAGCAAGTCGGGTGTTAAGGCTTACTTAGCTGACGGAGTAAATATGGCACAAGTGGTACACGATACAGATGTGACAGTTATGATATCAGAAAAGATTCGTGTGTCAATGTTTTTGTAGGTCATATCATTTCTCTTGTTAAAATGATATACTTCATAGTTTTGTTTAATTTTTTTTCTTCGTGAAATTACAATATTATATCATTAAACAAACGATCGAAAAAATATTCTTAGGAAAAGAAAAAGAAAAAATGTCAGGCATTTAAAAGTTGTCATCAATCAACTTAAAACGGTTGACACTTCAATCGTTCATCGTCGAAAATCCTGCAATCCGATAATCGGAACACGGTCTAATATAGGTACAGAAATCATTGATAGTATTCATATTTAAACAAAAGAAATGTGAGTAATGCAGCCAAACATCATAAGGAGAGAACGGAGAGACAAATATATTTACATAAATAAATAGCACCAAAAATATGTAATAATGTGAAAGTTTAACTGCGTACAAAAAAGAAAATTAATAGTGAATGTAACTAGGTTGATCAGCAACACCAATGGTAGAAGTATATGGCGACCTTATCGAGTACTTAAACCTTACATGCACCAAACCACTGTCTCAGTGCTTATCACCTTTAAAGGGAGACAACCATGATTTCAAGCACATACTTCGGGGAAAAAAAAGAAACTATAGTATTAAACGTTTAAATACAACACGATAATGTTGAGTTCATGTAACCAGAGAACTTATTCCACAGGTAGACGAACACGAAATTTCGGAACATATCAAAATAAATTGAAACAGAAGAAGTTTTTATAACACAACCAGTAGAAGATGTTAAGTGATATCGGAGAGTGTTGTAACGGTTCACATGTCTGTTACAATGTTTTCTGGCAGGTGTCACACTGTCTAATGGAGGTGACAGTGCAGTCGAAACGTCACACGTAAGTCTTCTAATAATTGTATCATTTTTCAACTAAACGTGGTACATATTCCGTTATATATTCTGAACTATACAGATAAAAAGAACAAAAAGTATCCCATTGAAATGAAGTATACGTGCTTGTAATACACTGTCTTACCTCCGCATCAAGTAATAATAGCCAGAAAGAATAAGGTGTTCGTAGATTTACACTGAATCCTATTTACAAAGGTGGGTGTAGCTATGCAGTGTAGAGGTTAGTGTAAGCTGGTTACAATACTTGGTATGATGTACAGTGTCCCGCTAAGGTGGATGTAGATGTACAGTGTACCGGTTAGTGTAACATACTTATTATGGTGGATGTACAGTGTACCGGTTAGTGTAACATACTTATTATGGTAGATGTAGATGTACAGTGTACCGGATAGTGTAACATACTTACTATGGTGGATGTATAGTGTACCGGTTAGTATAACATACTTATTATGGTAGATGTAGATGTACAGTGTACCGGATAGTGTAACATACTTATTATGGTGGATGTACAGTGTACCGGTTAGTGTAACATACTTATTATGATGGATGTAGATGTACAGTGTACCGGTTAGTGTAACATACTTATTATGGTGGATGTACAGTGTACCCGTTAGTGTAACATACTTATTATGGTAGATGTAGATGTACAGTGTACCGGATAGTGTAACATACTTACTATGGTGGATGTATAGTGTACCGGTTAGTATAACATACTTATTATGGTGGATGTATAGTGTACCGGTTAATGTAACATACTTATTATGGTGGATGTACAGTGTACCGGTTAGTATAACATACTTATTATGGTGGATGTATAGTGTACCGGTTAGTATAACATACTTATTATGGTGGATGTACAGTGTACCGGTTAGTGTAACATACGGTTACCGGTGTAACATACTTATTATGGTGGATGTACAGTGTACCGGTTAGTGTAACATACTTATTATGATGGATGTACAGTGTACCGGTTAGTATAACATACTTATTATGGTGGATGTATAGTGTACCGGTTAGTGTAACATACTTATTATGGTGGATGTACAGTGTACCGGTTAGTGTAACATACTTATTATGATGGATGTACAGTGTACCGGTTAGTATAACATACTTATTATGGTGGATGTATAGTGTACCGGTTAGTGTAACATACTTATGATGGTGGATGTACAGTGTACCGGTTCGTGTAACATACTTATTATGGTAGATGTAGATGTACATTGTACCGGATAGTGTAACATACTTACTATGGTGGATGTATAGTGTACCGGTTAGTATAACATACTTATTATGATGGATGTACAGTGTACCGGTTAGTGTAACATACTCATTATGATAGATGTACAGTGTGCTGTGTACCGGTTAATGTAACATACTCATTATGATGGATGTACAGTGTACAGTGTACCGGTTAGTATAACATACTTATTATGGTGGATGTACAGTGTACCGGTTAGTGTAGCATACTAATTATGGTGGATGTAGATGTACAGTGTACCGGTTAGTGTAACATACTTATTATGATGGATGTACAGTGTACCGGTTAGTGTAACATACTAATTATGGTGGATGTAGATGTACAGTGTACCGGTTAGTGTTACATACTTATTATGGTGGATGTATAGTGTACCGGTTAGTGTAACATACTTATTATGGTGGATGTATATGTACATTGTACAAGCTAGTGTAACCTGGCCCCACTTGTATAAAACATCTCAACTTGAGATTTCCTCAAGTCGAGATTTTCCTCAGCTAATATCTCTTAAAAAACGGCTTGTATAAATTTTTCTCAAGGAACAGGAGGAAGTCATCGGCTACGATGTCCTGAAATTCCTTGAGGAATTTTCATACAAGATATTTTCATGGAGATATTAGCTGAGGAAAATCTCGACTTGAGGAAATCTCAAGTTGAGATGTTTTATACAAGTGGGGCCTGGTTACAATGGTGGGTGTAGATGTGCAGTTCAGAAAATTAAGTTTGAACACACACGTGCGTTATATAACGGTCTTGTTGTAGACGTTTACAGTATGGTACCGGTACCAGGATGTTATAGTGAAATAGTAAATAGTGATAAGGTAGATACACATACTTATGTAGATTTATCACAGGGATTAAGGATTAGCTACAGTGTAGGTGACTCTTTAATGTTTAACGTTCTTTAAAATTCGATATAAATAACACATCGAAGAGCGGCATAATTCTTACTAAATGTTAGTATAATTCTCCAAAAACGTTTAAGAATGATACATATTCCATATTGACCAAGACGGATTCAAATTCAACAAGATATTTAGCATATTTATCAGGTCCGTGTGTGTTACCCGTTATCAGCACGTCAACATAATTAACGCACCGCAACGTGACTTATCGCTGAAGAAACTTCGCCTGATTTACAGCTGTAATTGCGGATCATGATACTGCGAGGTACTGATACACTCTGTGGTAATTTAGCATTTCAACCAGGGAGTACGCCCCCTAGCATAAAATACACAACGAACCTACTGCAACAGTGACAATATGAACCGTCTTAAAGTGAGCAGCATTCTGTTTCTGATATTTATAGGTAAGATTTTTTTATCTGATTTTTGTCGTACCATAATTAAGAAAGTCACTTTGATAACATAAATGTTCTTTATCCGTACATAGCATTTTATCTATGCCTTGTAGTTTTCAGATCGTATTTGATGATGTGGATATTTAATTCTATTTGATATTTAGTATTACAGTGTTACCAATAAATAAAAGAAAAAACTCAATTTCCAATTATCTAAAAAAAATTGAAATTCGTATTTATTCAAAAGTTGGGTTATAAGCTGTTTGCCAGTGATATTTGAAATGCTCACTAAACCATGATGATTCCATGCAAAATTAAATTATTCCTGTCTTTTAGATAACACTCGTCAAACAGCTTTATAAGGATGTTCTTTAATATTTCATAATCTTAAACAGAATCCAAATTATACAGGTACACAACACCAAATTAAGACTTGTTACATTCACTCTGAAACAAAGCAAACAGTTTTCTATTAAAAACTACGTCTCTAGAAAGCAGAGACTGAAATAAAACAGTACAATGATAGATATGGACAAACAGCTTCAGAATAGAAATTGTGAACACTCATACATATATTAAATAATATGGATTTGAGAAAGTTTTCATAGGGTAAACTCTTTTGTCTTAAATGGTGATTTATAAAAGAAAATTCTGCTAAAACTAATATTCTTAAACTTGTGTAATATGATATTGTACAGTATCCACATATTCGACCGAAAAAATACTTCATTTAAATTTTACACAAACTTGAAGAAGGTTGTTAAAGTGTGTCGTTTCGTGTAGCACAGAATTTTATAGATTCTACCTCTGTGTATTTCATGCCATAATTTCTCTCATTTTCTTTATTCAGGAGCTCCATCGGTACAATGCATATACAAGATATGGCTACCAAATGCAAACTTCGGCAACCCAATTAATTGGGACAAGAACCGACCACCGTGTGGTGATGATATTGTCGTTATTCCAGAGGAGAGTCCATCCATATACATTCAAATCAACACCACTCTACAACAGATTGTACGTATATTTATACATTTCAGCATCGAGCACACATTGAATATCGACATTGTCAGAGCTGAAATATATAAGTATCCAATCGCAATGATATGTTTTTGTGGACTTGTATACGTGTCTTATACATCGTTTTCTTGAAAACTGTTTTTCTCTCTTAGGTATTACCTAAAAATGGAGAGATGATATTTGGCCCCGGAAGTGCGATTGCTTTCACTAACGAGCCAGATCACAGCGCGGAGTGTCTTAGTTCTGGATCCGGTTAGTGATCAAAGAGTTTCTGATTTTTACGAATTTAAAAAAAAAAAAAAAGTTTCAATGTATGTTATTCATCATGCAAAAGGTGAGTATTCTTTACGAAACACATTTAAGTTAATGAAATCATTTTTTTTCTTTGAAGAACATGTTGTCATGTTTATCTATAGAAAACAGCCATTTACAAATTGCACTGAAAGCCCGTCCTTTTTTCCTGAGTAAAAAGAAAAAAAAAAGTTCTTGCACTTTCATTACTTTATTCACCTAAAACATTCATATTTTACTTACAACAATTTTTCATAATTGTATTACTAGGTAATAGAATCAATATATATATATATATGAAATATAGGGAAATACTTAGATACTCCAGTTGACAATGTCAATGATCACGGATATTAAAATATGATGGGCCCAAACATTGAAGGGCCCTTTCCTATATCAGATTCATGCCCGTTGGTCGTGCCATTTTCAGAAAACATAAATTCATGTTAAACAGATTTAGTGTTATGATTCAAGTTCCATTGTTGGTAGTATTTCAGTTTTAAAACGGAACTGGGGTCCGGTTTCCAGTTCCGTTTTTCTTAAACGAAAACGGAAACAGGGAACCAACTTGAGACCCCTTCCAAGGGAAAACAATAGAAAGCTAAGGAACTGGGTCATCCGCGATACTCCAGGGGCTACGACCACTTTCGTTCTCTACACCCCTGGAACTTGTCATTGGGAAATTGCAGGCATAGCGAAGTACATAATTTGATTGCTTCCAGGAGAAAAAAACGAACTAATCATTGGCTGATACGCCCCTTTTGAAGATTACAATGGAGTATCACACTGTAAACTCTAAAGCCATAACGAAACACCGGTATGCGACCTCGAGATTCGTTTGATGTACATCAAAGGATCAAACTAGTCTTTTCGTCTTGTCCATAAGGTGTCACGCATGGAACCTTCAATGTTGCCATGACATGATGGATCCAGAGGTGAGTGAGCGAACATGGCGGTAATTCTTGGAGTATCGAGGACATCGTTCACATTCTGCTCTCTAGTGATTGAGAAATACAGTGCGAAACTGAGGTTACCGATTAAGAAACAGTCGCAATTGCAAACATGTATCTATATATGTACGTATTATCAATCCGACTTCAGAGATTACATTCAACCTGTCATACCCCTACGGTTGGCTGGACTATTCCAACTGGTGTGCGTCCGATACAGAGACGGGAAGTTGTAATTCTGCAGCTCTTCTCGATTCCGAGAAGATCCCGTGTCAGACCGATGATGTGGTATTCCCTAAATATAATTCCTATTACGTAAATGTGGAATCAGGATTGACACTGTCGATAAATACTCTGAAGATTACAGGCACTGTAAGTAGCTATTCGGAACATTTTCTGCAAGTTGGTAATGTCAATAGAATAGGATTTCTTTTAACACAACTGTTTTCGGCTGTAATTATATGTACACTAAGGTCGAAAATAGTGTGACGAGATGGTGAAGAAATTATAGACCCCACCCCAAAAAATGGTACAAAGTGCTGTAGTCAATTCGGCAACGCTTACGTTGTAAGTGGCCCATTAATAGTTACAGACAACATAATATGTAGATATATGATGCCTTCTGTATCTGCAGATAATTTCTCGGATATCTGACATTACATAAGCATATGTGGTCTTGAGAAATTTCGTTTCATATAAAGTTTTAAGAAATGAGTTTTAGAAGATTCGTGTTTCAGAGCCTTATAGAGCAAAACTTAAAACTGAATAATATGATAAGTATATAAGATACACTGAAAAAAAGACTTCAGATACAAAATCATTATCCTCAATGACATTTCTATTTTGTCGTCAACCTCAATTTACTGTCAACACGTTTCCTTAATTACACCAGTGAGAACAAGTATTTTAATGCTGTGTTCCTGTAATCTGTAATGCTCTGCTACAGACATACTGGGACAGCGCTGACTTGTCATTACATTCCCCATCGCTTTTTAAATACAGATGATCATTACTTGTATAACCTCGGTATGATATCACTTATGTGTTCTTAGGCATACACTACGACAGGATTCTCCGAGTTCCTGAACACCAGTGACGGGAAAATGATGTTCCCAATCCCACCGAGCACCGGAAGTAGGTCTTCTGTACTAATTGCAAGACAGAAATGTACGGATCCAACTGGCTGCGCATGCGGAAACGATGGACAACAAGTAAAATATCAGTAGTAACATATCAGTTTAATATGCAATTCATGGCTTGTGTGCGGAAATGTTTATAAATACATTTTTATTCTACCTATACATACATCAATTAAATTTTTTAAGGTAAAATTCCTTATTTTTAATTAACAAGTCCTTATTATAGAGACGGAGTGAGATGTACCAGTAAACTCCTTTCTTCGGAGTGACACTCCAATTATTTTCTTTGCGATAAGACATATACGTTCATAGGCTATGGAACAAAAACACCTGGATTTCATACAATTATCTTTTTGACACAAAGCTTCAGGTGTTTTTTGGCCCTTTTAAAGGGCCTTCGGGGTCTATCGGCCAAAAAGATCATCGAGACACTAAGATTTTCACTAAGCGTTTTATATCATAGTTTATAACTTTGTTTTATGTTCTATACATGTATGTGATGCAATATTTTTTCGTTTTGATAAAGGGCCATATTGCCTTAACAAATTGCCGTTTTGCTTGTCTGTGTGTATATATACACGTATGTATTGATTATACTTTAAATTGGTTCGTTTCTTATTGTTAAGCCATTTTTTATTTGCAGGCAATAATTAAACAAAAAAAACCCACTTTGTTTCAGATTTTAAAAAGTGTGTGTAGATACAAAAACCCATTTTGTTCACGGATCCGTTGTAAACAACCCATACGTCCATCTGGATCATGTTGCGAGATATGTGGTAGGTTTCGGTGATTTTCAGTAGGAGAACTATTTAAACATGAGTTTTTAAAACCAATCAATCAGAAATTATTTGAAAAAAAATCGATTTCATGAAAAGATTGCACTTTGCTTTCTTCGCTGTACCATTAAAATGGTTGATTTAACGGAGTTGAGACGCGGGGAGATTTTTACTTAGAAAAATAACTTTATTCTGCCAATTGCGTTGTATAATTAATTTTTCGTTTCAAAGAAAAATCCTGGGTTTATTTATTTTTTGTTTGTTTGTTTGTTTTGTTTTTTGTTTACTTTTTCCACAAATGTACGCTACATAATTATAATTCTACACAGGTGCCATATTATCTATTCAGTACGGAACTGGGTTCAACTTTGCTGATTTACGCGATGGCTTACAGCGTCGTTTCCTTGACGACAACGATAAATATAAAGATGTCCAGTACATCGTATCCAAGATGTCGGACGGGCATGTACAGATAGTGTTGTCGGATGTGTCTGGTGACTTGAGTATAAAGGCTGGCAAGCAGATGAAATCTGATTTAGACAACGGTAAATATTTATCACATAATATACCTCTAAGAAAATAATATTATCAAAAATATCATTTGAATGAAATAATCAAACCGGTTTTAGTTACGTAGCTTTACCGATCTATTAATACTGCCTTTGTATTCGATCTTAAAATATATATTCTTTTTTGTATTTAGATAACAGTGGGAGATTTATATATGCTATCCGCAGTGTTTCTATGGAAACATCATCTGGATTAAACCCGACGCATGGAGCACAAACTTGTAAGTTACCAGTACTTTGTTTCTATTTTCATAATTAACGTTTCAGTGAGCTAATTTTCATATATATATATATGAAAATAAGCTCACTGACATAATATAGTTAAGTAGACGAGACTGCATACTATATATATATATGTATTAGAATGTTCGTTCATATTTAAAATCACCATTAGTTTCCAGGAAAGAAGAGCTTGCTATCTGAGAATGTAACTTCTTGATATTTTCATTTCAACTTTTAACAAATCGTGTTGAAATTGATATTGCACACGCCCGCTATTTGAAAAGGAAAGGAAGTGTTATGTTTCATAACCAAATCTAGGTGTAGATTTCATGTATGTGAGAATGTATATGTATGTGTGAATATCTATATACTGTGTTGCAGTTGCTTATATGTCATAAGTAAACTAGAGTTTAGTAGTATACGAGACTGTATACTATAACTAATGGTGATACGGTTGTGTAGGAATACTCCAAGATGTCTCCTGGCAAACAGAAATGGCCGCCAGTCATTTTTGGTGTCGGAATACTGACCCATCCGACATTGTAAGGCTTTAAATGTGACTTTACAGAACTATAAATTCCTGTCAGAACCCATTTAATGCCAAATATATGAATTAGCCTTAATGTCATTCTTATTAGCACATTAACACACTGTTTGCAAGACGTTAATCGGACAGGCCACACATTGAATCCGTTACAAGCAAAATGTCCCTGTGATCTTGTCACTTCTTGTTATCATTGTTTGACAGGAAATACTTCCATTTAGAAATTCCACGGTTATTCTGTTTTGAAAATCACAGAAACACTGAAAAAAAAAATCCCTCTGTGCAATCGGATAGAGAGCCGCAACATTTCTTAATTACTAAATATCAAATCCCAATAAACGGCTTATATTCCAAACAAAGAAAAAAAAAGAAGTAGAGTACTGTGCGTTTGGAATTTTTAGTAGTTAAATTTATGATCCGGTAAAATTTCGGCTGTTTTCAGTTTTGAATTTTGCTGACGTCACTATTTTGCTGAAATTTAAACGCATTGTTTTGGTTTCAGATTCAAAACCTACACGTGGCAGTCAATATATCAAGTACTTAAATGTAACCAGGTGGTAGTATAGAGACAATATGAATACAACTCGGATGACATATAAATAGAATGTTAGAACGACATGATTATATATCAACTGCAAGTTGCATTCATATCGACTGTAAACTACCATCTGGTAACAGTTTACAGCTGAATATATTACAGGTTATGTACACTTACACACGTGAGCTATATATTTTGTATCATTCTAATCACACTAAACGAAGACTACACTGCACTTTGTGTGACATTGAAAAAGTCATTACAATCATTGTGCAAATGATGAAAATTACCTTCATCCGTGAGATGCTTTTGAACAAAACTGTACAAAACCATTTGCTAATGTTCTTATGAATATCGAACACCTTAATTTACCATTCAAACTAACATATGATATTTAATTTGTGGAAATTCTTAATAGATCTAGCTTGATCGGTTTGCAAACGTTCATGCGGCCCTGATTACGTCACAACAGGTTTGTGTTGTTATAAGTTTAACAGAATGAAATATTTGTGTAAATCATAAAACCCACAGAAAATAAGCATTGTGAAGTAGCAGAATTGTAACCCAAGTAGAAATTATAGTGAACAGCATACACACTTGTGTATTTACCAAATACTCCGATAAAATCTATGATCTTACAGTTCCGGATTACCCAATTTCGCTTGTCCAAATTGACCAAAAAAGAGATGTTTTGATGCTATCCAAATTTTTCATTTAGCAGCTTCGTTGGAATATCCCTTTAAAGGCTATGATGACACTGCTTTACTCTGCAATGGTTGTCATGTCCCAAATACATTCTGTGTTCGCGCCATGCGCTATGCGTAACGATGACACCTCTCTTCGAACGCAGAATTACACGACCTTTGTTACATTGTAGCTAGAAAATAATACGGCGATGAATTTTATGAAATATTTCTGGATATCCACCATCAGTTTCATCCAGATTCGAAATCACAACCTACTACCGAGACCAATGATAACTAGCGCTAACACATTTTCTCTGTTAACAAGCCATCTTTCAAGCAGATTGCTCAACCCTTGTTTTCGTCCTACGTAAATGCATTTAATTAATTGGACCGTGCATCCCTATACACGTATAACTTCACCGGGCGGTCTCTTGGCGCAGTGGTAATGCACTTGCCTTTCACCTAGACGTCCGGGGTTCGATTCCTGGAACGGACCTAAAAAAGGCATGGAGTCACCTGCCCGACCTCGTGGATTGTCCTCGCATACTCCGGTTTCCTCCCCTTCCATCCGTGCTAAAAAGAGTGATTGATATAAGCTTAATACTTGTTTCGCAATTATTGTGAAATAGATCAAGTTGATGCATATACATTAGCAACATGATACGTTCCCTGATTTAGGAAGCAGTATAAAGTAATCCATCCAACATAAGTAATCCATGTTGCAGCACATTTTAGTCATAATAAACATCTATAGTACCATGTTCCCCTTTACAGCTAGGTTGGCGATGTCCGGTGTTGGCCTACTTATAGTTCTCCTAATGAGTATATTTCTGCGTTACAGCTAGGTTGGCGATGTCCGGCGGTGAGATTGCTGGGATCGTTGTTGGCCTGCTAATAGTTCTCCTAATTAGTATATTTCTGGGAACATTATTCTACCGCCGTAAAACCAGGTAGGCATTATATAAATTTTTGTCATAATGTTAAAAATAGATTTCTATTGTCAAGCGTTTAAAAGGTATACATTAAAGCCTTTAATGTCTAGACGCTGCAAAGTAATAACGTAGAGACACTTTGGTTTAGAGCATAGAACTATGATTCACTCTTCCGGAACACCTGGTCTTATTTTCAAATATTTTTGTTTATATTTTGCTCTAATTATATTGAATTTGAGTATGGATCATTGTTATGTTGACATGCTTGTATTTTCTTGGTGAGTTTATAAATCACTTCTTATGCTTTATTATCATATATGAATTATATAGCGGATATGATGCAAGAATGGGTTTGCTAAATATGAAGATGGCTTACTCACCTTCAAACCTATCAGTCTTATCAAAGTCGTAACAATTATATGTCTGACGTTTTGTTTTGGTTTCTTTTAGGGGACCTGATGATATCGCTTTTAAGATGTTTGACAGAATTTCCTTTAAACCATCATTCCATAAACCGCGTTTGGAAGTGCCCCCATCTTTTTCTTACCGGTTCGGCGGGTCTTCCGTTACACCGGAAACAGTGGGTGCGCAGTCACAAGGTTTCGATAATCCCATGTATGGCAATAATCCACTCTCGGTAAGTGGCATCTGCATGTAATTGAAAGTAAGTCACAACATATTGTCATAGCTATTTATCCAAACAAATACGGCATGTACCTTAACTGACAAAAATAGCTGCCTTCTGTCAACCGCATGCTATCGTAGAAGGCGACATCCTCTACAGAAAAAAGGAGACTTCATTCATTTGAAGGATAAGGCTTCATTCAAGAAACTGAAATATATTGCTGCTCTCCACATTTCCGATTTCGAGTTTTCCCGGTAGCCGTGCCCTACGACGCCTGTTCTCGTACAGCCCTGGTTGTTTCGAGAACATTAGAGGCTTACAAAACAAATACTAGATGTATAAATGGTGGTAAATAATATGTGTATTTGTTTATAATCAGTGGCTTAGCAATTGGTTTTAGAAGTGTATGCTTTCAATAGAGGGTCCATTGGCGAAGCCCCTGAGGGGGTCTGGGGGTGAAGTGGGGGTCTGGGGGTGAAGTGGGGTTCTGGGGGTGAAGTGGGGGTCTGGGGGTGAAGTAAGAAGAATATCTCAATGGAATTCGAGTGTATGCTAAAACATACATGCATTCATTATTGTTACACCACTGATGATACAATGTGCGAATCTCAAAATGGTATTTTTCATCGATAGAAAAAAATAGAGTAGCGTATCCCTGTTTGTTTGTCGATGAAAGCAAACTTGTGTTGGAAAATATCACGAGAGTATAAAACGGTATATTTCTACTATATAGTAAACTATACTCACTAGTCGTATTTCGTTTTAATCTTCATGGGATAATCTCTGTTGATAGAAGTGTCTTAATTTTCAATATTGACTTGGTCATTCTCGAAACAAGTGCTCGAGTTATTGCTCAGGCATAGCTTACTTATGTTCTCTTCTTACTAATATCGAAAATAAAACTAGCACCCACCTTGTAAAAATATTCAGCATTCTATTGCTACCTACAAAATATCTTCGAAGTAATAGCTACTGTGACAACAACCTATTATCATAAACGGTTTTTAGGATAAGTTATTTCCGAATATTTCTTTTCAGGTTTACTCAGATAAATATTTCTGTTCGAAATTTGGAGATAATTGAAATATCTTAATTTAACATAGACTTATAGTGTTCAGATGATTTTTGTTTCACCTAAAATTTGTATGTTGATATTTAATAGTTTGATATATTTTTTTTATATATATAATTGTAACTTTTTTCGCAGAATGAGAAACCTTTAGATCTCGAAATGATGCCAACATCGCTCCAACTTCCGGAAGTTGAGGAACAGCCATCCTATGACAACGGATTGGGGTTTGATAATCCGTTATATGAGAATGTGGTAAGAAATCTAATAGTATATTTCGTGTCCTTTGCTATACAGTACGTATCAGCTAGTCTAGAACACGTGCTCTTGGTGCAATATCTGTAAACGTCTATGTATTTGACATAATAGACAATGTAGAAAAGTGACTATGTCTCGAGACTAAACGAATGAAAGATTTGAAAATCAAAAGCAAAATATGAATAATATATAGTATATTGAAATAGACACATGAAGCTTGTAATAATTTTTTTGCTTACTTTGAAATGTCAGCGCGTATGTCTATTTTGTTTTTTTATGTGTAGCAGGAATCCGCCATGTTCAGTGATCCAACAGATGTGGATGTCAAGGTCGAAGTTGACGACAGTCTGGGAACAGACCTGGGTTCTAAACTAAACCTGTAAACAGCTTTACCATATTACTTTGTCACGGATTCTTAAACTATCCTCGAATTGGAACAAACCTGTATGTCACAAAGTCCTCGTTATCGACATGAACATTACAACACATAACAAACAGTTTGATAACCGTTTATATTTGCTTAAAATAGAGTACATTTGACATATAACACATTTCTTATCTTTGTAGATCTAGTGCAAATCTAACTGTTACATGTTTTGACGACACTTACAATAAAAATCTTAAACAGTCCGAATAAATAATTACAAAATCCTTGAACAGGAAAAATTTTCATTCAGAGTTTTTTTTCATGAAATTGTTCAATGTCGCCAAGTGTATAATTAGCCCTATAATAGTAAAAAAGAGTCTTTGGTTGGATATCAAACTTCAACCAATAATCAATGTTCGCTCCAAGGTACCTTGTTTACCTAGATTGTTGACCTTCTTCCTCTGTGCATTCTACATTGTGTTCATCACCGTGGAATGAAGAAGCATCGCCTTCATTGATGCTGCCCGCATCAACCTCTATCTTCAGGAAGATTGTGTCGTTCTGAAGGTATGTAGGTGTTTCCAAAATACCATGTTTTACAAATCTTGGAATTCCTGAAGCAACATTCATTTCCGATTCTGGTCTTCTGAAGTTGTTGCTTATAGTGTCAGGATTGAAAGTTTCAGACAAGTTCCGTGTCCCAGTGTCTTGATCCATCAGTGTCAGAGTTACGCGCCGCTGAAATGGCCACGGTAAAAGGGCATCGAGGTCGCCCTTCATAATGACAAAAAAGAACGACAAGTGTGTTCCACGGCCCTCGCCGTCTCCGTTGAGGTAGACTCGTCCACACATCTTGTATCCAAAAGAACTTGAGTAGAATGGGGAACTATTTTCACCTTCATTTGCTTCCAGACGTCTTTGCCTGTATTCCTTGATTTCCCACAGGAACACTCCGTTGTAACTTGCACGTTCTTGATGATAAAGTCGTCGACTGATCTGGTTCAAACGGTCATTAACTGAGGTCATCTTCTTTTGCAAACAATTAAACTGACGAAGTTTTTCTTGTGCTGTTATTAATGAAAAAAAGTAGGATTTTTCGTTTGAAACGATGAACTATGGAAAATATACCAAATTAAAGGTTAGTTTTCAGATAATCAGGAATTAGAAAAAATAAATTAGGAGGAAACGGTCCTGTTCAGTTTTGTCAAACGTTGTGATATCCATTAAGTGGTTATATAACGCAGAGTGTTTATCAAACAATACTATAAGTGAAACCGACTAATACTCCTCGAAACAACTTTATTGGATACAAAATTGTAACAAAGTGCAATGATTATTTGATCAAAAGGTTTCGGGCCCTGAACTTGGTACATTACACATCATCTTATTATGGCCAATGTTTACACTAAGTTTCGTTATCCTATTTTAAATGCTAGCATACGTATGCCTCGGATATGAAATTTTGACAAAGGGCAATAAATCTGTAATCAAGGGATTCCAGGCCCTGACTTAGTTCATGGTCCATTCATGATTCATTGCCTAACTTTGGGCAAACTCGGACGAACGGACGAAATGGCAACTTTATGTTCCAAAGAAAGTTTTTTGAAGAGCATAAAACGAAGATGATTTCAAGAGTCAGATTTATTTGGCAAAAATGAGCCAAGGAGCGTGAAATTATTTATCCTGTGAATCTTATTGTTCGAGTTTGATCTCCGACATTGAAAATGAGGATCAATATAGATTATTAAGCATGGCATTCAAACCAACAAAGTTGAGACTATAGTTTGTCATCTAAAGCAAAACAAGTAATTTGCTAAATTGATATTTAGATTCTGGCAATCAAAATACACGATGAAAAGGAAACGACTCTAATGAGGCTAAACGACAGGGACAATGTTGGTTGAAAGGGTACATTGTGTATTTGTTCTTTATGAGCATGATTAATTTATACGCTATCTGAAATTGACAGCTGATACATTTAGCTTATTTGAAACAACAAATATAATCAACAAATTACCTGAATATTTATTTAAACTAGAAACGATAACAATGTGAACAAAAAATGTATTTACTACTGACCTCGAGATAAAAAGAATAATAGATATACGTTTTACATACCTTCCTGGATTTCCTTCTCTATTTCTTCGTTTTGATTTTTTAAATCTGGAACTTGCTCAAATGTCTCCTTTTTGGTTTCCTTCATTCTCTAAAGTCATAGAAGTTAAATGTGTCATTTCACGGTAATGCTCTTCACTAGCATACGTAACAAACATGTATATGAATACATGTATATAGTGAGATTGTACAACAGATAGACTGGAGAACAGCACCTTATATTTCAAATTAATAATTAGATATAGTAAAATAGAACAAAATTGTTTAAACTCCATTATACAGGTATTTCGTCCTCTTTTGGATACAGCAGTAATGCAAAAACCCAACTATAGGAGAGGTATTATGGCAAATTGAAATTTATCGTTAGTTATGTCAAAATATAGATGAGGACGTGTGTTAGCCCACTTATTCAACATTTCATTTTAATTTTCTTTTCAAAATTTCAAGGTATATGTGTCTTTACTGAACATCGTCATTACTTCAAGGAATTGAACTGTGGAATCTACGTTACAGTAAACATCTAGGACTAAAGAGTTTATCACCTGCAATATCAAATCATTGTGTGAATGATATATAAAAGAATAGCGCGTTTCAATACAAATTATGATTTGGTCAGAGCAAGGTTTGCGAAAAGTTTTCTTTACTAAAACTAGAATAGATTTTCCGGCTTTCCGCATACGACATTTATCCGTAACCATATCGAGAAAAAACAACATACCTTGTGTTCTTCTAGAATGGAGGCTCCAATGGAAGCGTCTCGTGATTCCGCCTGTGTAAATGAATTATACAAGTAACATCTACCCAAAATAAAATCTTTCACTGGAAAACATTTAGAAGGTTTTGAAAAGCCGGTACATTTGGCGTGAAAAGAAAACCGTTTAATAAGGATTTAGGTTATTCTTTCAGAAAAAAACATCGGGTAAGATAAACAATTTTCAGAAAAATCTTTCATTTCAACAAGACACATTCATAGTATAAGCGGTTCCTATTACAAACACATGTTTCCTAACATTCTAACCTAACGGGATTACCTAAGGGTATAAACATGCATTTTTAATTCAGAACTGCTCATACTTGATTGATATCAGAAGTAACCATTTCAATTCAAAGAAAATAAATAATTTCAGAAGAAAATCTTCCTTTTGCAAGATTTGAAATCTGCCTTATTAAACGCTGTCCTTTTATTTAGGTGTTTTACTTACAAAGCCCACATGACCATACCATGTTACATATGGTTTGACAACGCTCACGTCTCTGCGAAAGGCTATTAGAAATAGCGCAGACAGCTGTGGAACTGGATTGCACCGCAGAACACCTTTACAACAACTAGTTAGACTATTCATTTAACTGTTCTGTCAAATTCAGCAAATTCTATTGTTAACAAGGAAAAATATAAATCATGCAAGTTTTGTTTTAAATTAAGTATTACTTCGTTTGCAATAATGATGTAACATATGATTTAGAGTTACGAAGGTGAGATCTTACTTCAATTATAACTTATATAAAAATGATAAATGATATATTCGATATCTATAAATAGATTACGAAAGCAGCATCAATTGGTGGCATTATATATAATTTCCTCATAATACATGTAAGTGTATCTTAAAGAAATATCATATCAAATTTTTCTTTCACAATAGGTGGGTGTTATTTGATATCTGTTAATCATTGTCTTAGATATGTATGTATATAAAAAACATTTACACAAAATTATTGATAATCTATGATGAAGCATAATATCTAAATTTACGCTCTAACAAACTTGTGGTTGTTATATATGGTGATTGTTCCTCTCTCTTAAGTCATCTTTCTGCAGTCACAAAAGCACAAGCTTTGGTGAATCATGCTCCGGACAACTACTATTTACATATATACAACCGAACATACGACGATATTTCTTTTCAGCACTTAATTTTAAATTTCGATAACAGCGTGGCTGACTTTTTAAACTGAATGTAATTCCATCAGATAATATAATTAAAAAAAAATCTTTACCTGCAGAATTATAGTCTTTCATTAGTGTCTTAAAATTATTATCTGATGCTTACAAACATCAATATTAAACAATAAATTGTAGTCCAATTACAGCTTACTTCTACTGATTGCATTTATTATCATATAAGACCATACACATGTCTTGAAATCAATGTAAGTTCTGCAGATATAATGACTTTATTTATATAAAAAAAATCAAAATGGTAGACGGTGTAGAGAGTGTATTTGCACTAATTATTAGAAATGCAGTTGTAATAATGTAATTCTGTCAAGGATCGCAGAATGTTCAAAGAGGCATTTCTATAATTGATATAGTGTTTTTTGTCTTAAAAGTACATATCTCAACATACATGGATAAAATTACTTAATAATATACTATCTTCATTATTTCAACATAAATTTAGACTGATAATATATCATAATAATCGAACAACGGAGGTCAACAGAGGTTACCTTGATGTTTGCTTTTCCACATTGACATTCATCTCCGATATACCCGCAGTCAGCTAATAAATGATTCTGGAAGGCAGACACATTTAGAATAGGGAAATAATTCTTATAAAACAGTAACATAAGCTTAGATTGGGGTGATTTGGCTTCAAATTGTATATATGTGTGCTTTAATAATGCATTATCTGGGGTGGGGATGGGGGTAGGGGGTTCGAGAGCATTATGTAAACTCACAATTACAGTATACAGTATACTGTAGACCAGACACTGCTTTCCTCAGTTTCTATTTCATCATAATATACTTTGTTATTTACATGTAATTTTTTTAAAATATGTAGCAAATAAAATGGCCACCAGATTACTTTTAAAATCAGAATCATCATCGGAATATTCATAATACCTGAAGATCCTTTAGAGCCATTACCTCCATACAGCCATTTTCCCTTTTAGTGCAGTACACATCGAGGTTCTGAAGTTTTCGTTCGATGTGTTTGTCAGGAAACACCTTACAAAGAAACATAGCTTATAAATGTAGAAATGCTTTGCCTTCAGCAACCAAAAAAAGATATGGGATATTGAAAACATTTCATTGAAATATCGATTTAAATTGATGTCAATATGTAATTATTAGGAAAAATGAAATAAAAATTGTCATACCTTATTTTTGAAAATTTGATCTCCACATTTATCGACATGACATGAAATCATTGTCTCATTTCCAAATAGACCATCAACACATTCCTCACAGACTAGATGACCACATGGCAGCTGCAAAGGTTTTGTCAATACATAATTGCACTGACAACACATGCTCCAAGTAGGTGGATCCAGGTATTTCACTTTTCTTGCGTCAGACATGTTTGATGGTACAGTATTTTGCCCTGTTGTATAACATCAAAATAATGGTATTGAAATTTACTTACTGACAGTAATAATGATTAAATTCAGTCCATAGATAGGATTCTGCTCAAAACATTGATTTTCATATTTTTGCATATCATGTCTAATCCGAGGCTTTTTATCTAATCTATAACGATAACAGTTACACGTAGTTTTATATAATTGTCGGTGGGAACTTAAATACATGTTAAATGCCAAAACAATGACTTACCGTTGGCTTATGCTCACTGCTCACTCCTTGAACAAAAGTCTGTGTATGACAAGGCACTTCTAGCTGTTGCTTACCTGTATATAACAATAACTATCATAAATGGCTACGCTACGCTAAGTAGTTCGTTACACAGTCTATATGCTGATAGCGTATCCGACAATCTTTTCTATTTTATCTGAAATTTCGATTATGATTAATCAAATCTATATCAATCTATAAAAATTACCTGCATTTGTTGCTCTCGAGAGGAGTACAAAGTACAAAACATTAATGAACAATACACAGATGAATCACTTGTATATATCCCAACTCCTTTCTATGTATTCTATTTATTTATAGATTAATTTTGGGATTTCCAATGGAACTACCACTGCTAAATATAGCTGTATCTGGTGATATATACATGAGGTAGCCTTATTTATAGAGTGGATTATGAAAACCATGTAGGTTAAACTCTTATCTCTGTAAACTCTCTACAATGTCATTTTTTATTTATAAATATTATCAGTACAGGATGTCCTGATCACAGATGACTAATCTATAATATTGTAAATAGTCTATAAACAGATCAAGTACACTGAAATGGGTGACTCTTCGATATGACCTTCAGATAGCTGGAAACATATCCGTATGATAACTTTATTACGATCAGATGTCATGTTTATCCGTATCTTGATATCAGAATGCTTACTAGTTCCGATAGAAATGTTTATCAAGTTTATCCGAAAAAACATACGAATATATGAAAACCTAAAATCAGTATTAATGTCTTAAAATTGGACATATGCTCTAAAAGGGTAAAATACAATTTTTCGTATTAAAATCAATAATGAAATAAAGCAGTATACATCACAATGTATTGGTTCAATTTTGTCTGTTATATTCGTAATAATTTAGAATAAATAAAATCAAATTAATTAAGAAATATTATAAACTTTTTAATTATATGTTAATTTATATTTACTAAAACTAATAAGACGAGATTCACGACTGTCTATTCTAATGGTTAGACTGCCGCGAATCTCCTTCGAGGAAAGATATTTTATCTGTCCTACCCCCAAATTTGGAAACGATTCTTTCTCTACCCTTATCTCCAACGTACCAGAAATATAATAACGAGACAAATATATGCTGCCATAAACGGAAACAAAAATAAGCAAGTAACGACTTCCGGTTTTGTTTTAACCGACTTGTAATCTACATTATACATTGTACAATCGTAATGATAAATCATTGCCATAATGTATTTAAACTGATTTGAGTATAAAAAAAATATCATATGTCTAACAATGATATCAAACTTACAAATTTCGCATTCAGCACAGTTTTGTGTGATAGAGATATCTATTACCGGAAGTGTCGATATTTCTGTCCTATTTGGTAGAAATCCTTATCTGTTTTCATTAGTTGAAAATAGCATAGAACGCTGTATCGTCACTTAACCTTTTGTAAGATATTCTAACCATACCAAGAACAAGACAGCATATTCTAAGATGAACACAAATGCAAAAATGCTCATTCGAGGGCAAATCAGCACATTTATTAAAGCGATGAAATAGTTAGGAAGTTTATATGAAATGTGAAAATATGTGAGTCCTTGAAAAGACTTATCCATCTGCACATCAATCTGAATTTCTTAACATTAATTGTACAGTACGCTTTTAATCCTTGGTACAGTCAAATATTTACATGGTTATAGATCAGGTCATCTTAAATCTACCGAGAATCTTGTTATTCAAATACAAAAAATACAAAACATTAATGAACAATACACAGATGAATCACTTGTATATATCCCAACTCCTTCTATGTATTCTATCTATTTATAGATTAATTTTGGGATTTCCAATGGAACTACCACTGCTAAATATAGCTGTATCGGGTGATATATACATGAGGTGGTCTTTATTTATAGAGTGGATTATGAAAACCGAGTAGGTTGGACATATGCTTTAAAAGGGTAAAATACAATTTTCTCGTATTAAAATCAATTATGAAATAAAGCAGTGTACATCACAATGTATTGGTTCAATTTTGTCTGTTATATTCGTAATAATTTGGAATAAGTAAAATCAAATTAATTAAGAAATATTATAAACTATTTAATTATATGTTAATTTATATTTACTAAAACTAATAAGACGAGATTCACGACTGTCTATTCATATGCTGTCTTACAATGATATCAAACTTATCTTAAACTGCCAATGAATCAGTCACGTCTCTTACGTCTAAAGTTACAAACTTCCCATTTAGCACATTTTTATGTTTTGTGTGATAGAAATATATATTACCGGAAGTGTATTTAAACTGATTTGAGTATAAAAAAAATATCATATGTCTAACAATGATATCAAACTTACAAATTTCGCATTCAGCACAGTTTTGTGTGATAGAGATATCTATTACCGGAAGTGTCGATATTTCTGTCCTATTCGGTAGAAATCCTTATCTGTTTTCATTAGTTGAAAATAGCATGGAACGCTGTATCGTCACTTAACCTTTTGTAAGATATTCTAACCATACCAAGAACAACACAGCATATTTACAATGGAACTACCACTGCTAAATATAGCTGTATCGGGTGATATATACATGAGGTAGCCTTATTTATAGAGTGGATTATGAAAACCATGTAGGTTAAACTCTTATCTCTGTAAACTCTCTACAATGTCATTTTTGATTTATAAATATTATCAGTACGCTTTTAATCCTTGGTACAGTCAAATATTTACATGGTTATAGATCAGGTCATCTTAAATCTACCGAGAATCTTGTTATTCCAGTACAGACACACGTAGCTTTATAATTTGGCTGATAAGAATGTATACACTTGTAAAATATGAAGAAAATGAAAAAAAACACAGATCTTACCATCTCCAATTGCAATACTTTCTTGAATAAAATTGTATGTATGAAGTCGCTAATATTATATGTCCTTTATAACTACCACTGCTGAATATAGATATAAACACGGATGTGGCTTTATTTATAGAATGAATTATGAGAACAGATTAGGTCAAAATATCTTAAAATATCTATCTTATCTCTGTAAACTCTGTTCAATATCATTTGTAATTTATAAATGATCAATAAATGATGTCGGTAAACGAGGTCTTGATGATATATGATAAAATATGGGAACTACTTTATCAACACTTATTTAAAACACACGCAATCAAAGTGTCTATAAATAGAACCTGATGTCAAACAAAGTAGTATATACAGCATACATACACCTAACATATTACTCATTTATTTAATCACTCAGAGGGGGTAAGTATAATTTTAATATCATGTTAACACCTTTATTACCTTTCAGTTCTCATTTTATCTGTATCTCGATGTCGGATTGCTTTTGTTGAACATTTCATCAAATTCATGCGATAAATATACTACTTTGTGAAAACTAAAATTATAACTGTTCACTTAAAACATAACATATGCTCTAAAAAGTAAAATACAATTTTTTTCATATTAAAATCAATAGTAAAATAACGCAATGTACATCACAATGTTTTATTTTTTCTCTTATATATTAATCATGTAAAATAAGCCACATCAAATTAATAAAACAATATTTTAAAATATGTAATTATTTGTTATGACACATTTAATAATACTAACAATGTATAGAGAATATATTTCGTTGAAACACTCCTATAACAATACTGTTTTGAATACACTTTTATATCTATTAAATTCGTAATGAAGATTTTATCTCAATTTCTAGACTTAGTTTCACGTAATCAACAGACACATCATGACGTGTGTTAGTATTTATAAACTCTTGAGGTTATTTACCGATACGTCCGCAGGGCTTAGAGAATAACATCTCTGTAAACTCATATCGACACGCCCAGTAAGTGTACAATAATGCAAATGGAATGCAGACATGCGCTATAAATGGAATGCAGACATGCGCTATTTCATCAAGTATCACATGGGGCGGGGATGGAGGCGGGGCATCAATTGAAAATTGATACATATATTTAGCATGATTTCCCAAGTGCTTAACTTCTTTCAAATTAAATAGTTCTTACCTGAAGCGTATAATGGGTGATCAGTCAGAAGTGTATGTTATTTCGTATACCTACAACACTAGTTTTGGTTACGTTTCAGAATAAGGAGGAAGACACGAATATCTATAGTATTTGTCTGTCTTAAATTAGTAAATGATCGATCTTCCATTTAACAAAATCGACAAATACAATCTAACTTTGAGCTAATCATCAATGATAATTATGAAAATATCAACTAAACAAAGGAAATAGTAAATGTCATTTTGTTTATACCGTAGGAAATATGGTAAATAATTGACAGTATAGAATAGGGTGGAAAAATACCTATGACTACAAGGAAGCATGGTTCGTGTTTTTTTCCATATCTTTACTTCCTTTACCCACATGATTACAATTAAATGGGCTTGCTTGATAATAAACAGTACGCTATAACAAACAAGAGGGTAGTTAAATATTATACCAAACTATGGCATTGCTTACATACACTAAGATTACTTTTTGGGGAAACTTTGATACCTAACCTCTTGATAATGCTAACTTACAACATGATATTAACACATTTTAGTGGGACAAAGTTCTATACTTACACACAGTAAACCTTACAACGGAAGTTTCAATTACACAATATTGCATATTCGACAGATCTTCATTGGTAAATTAAATTTAATTAAACAAGCAATGAGTGATCACTGATCAACATTATACTATGCTTTATATATTATTAAGATTGTGGTAATCGAAAAGCACGGATTTACCAAATAACATAGTCTATTTCACTCGTGATGTTCTAAAATAGTATATCTCTTCTTCGAATAATGTACACTATCCTGACAGATGTCATGCCTGAATGATTACACAACGCATATGTGTACACGAAATCGTTGTGTGTCACGTTGCATATGACTATGCTTGACCACGGAAATTAAATGTAAGGTTTGTTAAACGTTAACATCCCGGTCTTTTCACAGTCATTAAATATCCAACTTTATAAATATTTCATCAATCACCTCCTGACGTGTTCTAGAAGGACGGAACAGCTGTATGATGTTGTTTAGTCCTTTGTTTTGCACTACCTAATCTCGCTTAAATTTGTATTGGAATGTGCTATTCAGTTGTCTGTCGTTTGAAAAGTTTTTCTTTAGGAAACTCCATCAAAAGACATGACTTGGCGGAAATGCCTACTCCTCCGAGTACAATGTTTAGGTATTATGGAAGAGGCACTTTCTCTAACCCGAAGACTCGAAAGCCTGTACTACGTGTTACGAATTCTAAGATATCTCGACTAGCGATTCGTGACCTGGTCTGTGATACTGTTGTGAGCGAAGAGCTTAGTGTGTCAAATTATAACCAAGCAAAATGAAAAGCTGTAAAGCTCAATCAGTCAAAGTAGCAAGCAATATCCTGTTCCATCAGACCTACTAACTAGCATTAAACACATTAAACTTCATATCGCAAAAGAAATAGAAAATTCGTTATGAAGAACTTCACAGTTTTCATCAGCTCTTAATTTCTGCCTCTACTTATAATTATGGTCCAACTGGGCACATAGTAACTGGTGATTTAAGCATTGAACAAAATGTCAAGCTACATGAGCTTTGCCTGAAAGGTCCTAAATATTGTTAAACCCCTTTCGATCATTGCAATGTGTATTTCAAAATACTTATGGATTCTGTTGAAAATTATATCAGTGAATGGGTGAAACGAGACCATGCTGCGTTGGATTCACTTTCTGAGCTGGTTAAGAACAGTCGGTTCGTCATTCGTAAAAGAATTTACAGCTTGAAATTGAAAATGAAAACAAAACACAGATCAGTTTTCCTAATGATGATGTTAAATCCATACTTCAAGATTTAAATGACAGGTATGTTATTGTGCTTGCAGATAAGGCGTCCAATAACTTGACCCTTGTCTGCAAACATGATTATATTTCCTGTACACAAAAAGAACCGGTCTTCCCTAATAACGTAGGGAAACCCGAAAGTACATTATGCAATCTTTCAAAAGACGAAACACCGGCCTATCATGCTTCGGTATAACAATCATTTAGATTGCTTATTTATGATAAGAGTACGGACCTCCCCAGATTATACTGGATCCGTAAACTTCACAAAAACCATAAAAGCAACTTTTTACAGCTGGTTCGTCTATTTGTTCAACCAAGCCTTTATCGAACCACTTATCTAATCTGGGTAATCTGTGATACTGTTTACTCAAGAAATGGAATTAATAGTATCTGGATTTTGAAGAACTCCAATAAGCTTTGTTCAACACCCTCTTCTAAAAAACACTTACTCTAAAAGAACATTTGATTTTCCCTCCCTGTACACCAACATACCCCATTCTTCGTCTTCTTGTTATGCGAGCTTTCTTCTAAAAGAATGGTGAATGGTGATATAAATATATGGCTGTGAATCTTATTTCGTAAAACTTACGTCCAAATCATAGAAAAGATGAACGGAAGACGAAATCATAAAAATGATCGAGTTTTTGGTTGACAATATGTTCGTCGAGTAGTAAGATCTTCCATTAGAGACTATTGGCTTACCTATGGGAACCAACTGCACACCTCTGTTGGCTATCATGTTTTTGTTTGTATACCAGGCTGAACTTATTTAATCTTATCAGGCCACAAAGACCTTGAAAAATTATTTAATTTCACCTTATATATTTATGACGACTTGTCTTTAAATAACAAGAAATTTATGGACTACGTCTATCGTATATATCCATCAGAACTGGAAATCAAAGATACGACAGACTCATCTGCATCAGCTGCTTATCTCGAGCTTTTCCTACAACACCAACCAGCTTTTCATCAAGTTGTATGATAAACGTTATTATTTCAGTTTCCCTGTTGTGAATATTCCATTTCTGGATAGCAATATTCCTGCATCTCCAACCTATGGCATTTGCATGTCACAGTTGATTCGATGTTCCCATTATAACGATTTTCGTGCGAAAAGTCGTCAACTGACTGACAAACTCGTTACAAAAGGGTTCAAAAGATGAAGGTTGATGAAAATTATGGGAAGTTTTATGGTCGCTATAGTGATCTCATTCTTTTTCTTGGTGTGACATTAAGCTGGACCTATTTGATGTGCGTTGGTTTTCTTGTTGGTTTCGTTGTTGTTTACCTTGTTCTCACTTGAGAACGTAATATTACTTACTTGGAGTAACCAAAGTTACATGGCGGATGTCCTCGATAAAGCAGAATACGCTTACTCTTCCGGGACACCTATTGTTAATCTCCTGGTACTTTTTCAGGAGTCTCCGTTTATTTATTCATATTTTCCTAGTTATGACTTATGAATTATAATTATGTTGCCATGTTGGTCTGTTCTTAATGTGTTTTAAGTTTATTTGCCATACGGTGTTCTTCTGATTTCAGTACCATTCCCTAATTGCCAAGAGAGAAAGTAAAGACCACTAATTTAAGACGGCTGTTTTAACTAAGCCTGTCCGTTCGATGCTACCACGCCTGCCATCACGGGTGAATTCAAAGATAAAGGAAGAACAGAACTCGGCAAAGCATTGGTTTGATTTACTACGACTTCGTATGATTTTTGGTTTCCTTTGCTTTGATCAGGCGTGTGAACAGGTTTATTAAACTAAATGACACCGTACTATCAAGTGATCTCTACCTCGTAAAATATGAACATGGCAGATTCATATTCAAGTTGTAGTATTCCTCATACTTTCCATCCGTCCATGGTAAACAACCCGAACCCAAACGAGACGAATCCTGAGTTTGTAAAGAGTTCTGATGACATTGAAAAATGTACGGCATGCCATAAAATACTATGGGACCCCTTTCAGTTACCCTGCGGTCATCATGTGTGTCCTGTCGGCTTAGATCGTGTACTTGAAGAAGGGCGTTGCTTGGTGATGGATTGCAAACTTCCATGTAGTTCAAATCAGGTAGAATGGAAGAAAGTGCATAGGGTGGGGTGTTATGTCAGAGAGAGAGAGAGAGAGAGAGAGAGAGAGAGAGAGAGAGAGAGAGAGAGAGAGAGAGAGAGAGAGAGAGAGAGAGAGAGAGAGAGAGAGAGAGAGAGAGAGAGAGAGAGAGAGAGAGAGAGAGAGAGAGAGAGAGAGAGAGAGAGAGAGAGAGAGAGAGAGAGACAGACAGACAGACAGACAGACAGACAGACAGACAGACAGACAGACAGGCAGGCAGGCAGGCAGGCAGGCAGACAGACAGACAGACAGACAGACAGACAGACAGAGAGATAGAGAGGATGGTTAGTACTCCGCTTTTGAACTAAAATGCATAAAGCAAAATCAAATAATTTTGAAAAGAAAAGTTTTCTCGACGATAAACGTAAAATTCAGAAATATGAAGTTAAGAAGAAATAAATTACTTAAATTGAAAACATACATGTTCAGGCTTTAAAACGTTCAGCCCTGCCTCTAAAATAGTCCGTCTACATTACAGATATTTGCAGATGCATGCAAACGAAGAGAAATTGGAAGTTTAGAAGTGAGATGCGGATATCAGGCTTGCAAGAAAATAATAAAGTGGAAAGAGCTTGAGGTTTGTTTCGCAAAAAGTGCATTAAATCACATGATGTGATATTTGGCCGATAAGTATAGTTGATATACATCATAAATGTTTGGAAAAAAACGTTTTAACGCTGAGATCAACATTTTTATTTTGGATAAAAATATATATATATTAATTTTCTTGTCGTAATCATATCTAAGGCAATGATGAAACTTCCGTGATGACAACCAATTATTGTTTCACTTTCCGTTGATTAATATTTTCAGCTGGTAAATTATTTGCTTGGTTACAGAAACACATGGAGTCATGCGAATACAGAGAAGTGACTTGTGATAAATGCTGTGAATTGGTCAAGATGTATAACATGGAAAAGCACCTTGATGAAGATTGTGTTCAGAGGATTCTTCACTGCCCAGAGGGATGTGGATATTCCACATCTGCCATCAACATGTCGGTAGGTCGACACTCATCAGAACAAATGTACTATATACTTTGTCAATACAATTTCTACCATAAAAGAAATATTTTGTGACAAAATTTATTCAGCCTGTTTTCTGTCAAGCAATACGGTTTATCAGGTGAGGTGAAAACGATGACGAAACAAACTTTCCAGATCTCTGGAAACAAAAGGTAAAGAATGCATAGTCAGTGTCTTAAAATATCAGCTATATTTTGGCGTGGGTGAAGAAAAACAAAGGTGGCGAGCCTTTGGAGAGCAACTTTCGTCTTTTTGCCCCGAGTATATAGTTTATATTTAAGACACTGACCGTGTGTTCTGTTTATCCTGTAACAATAATTGAAAATTCAGACAATCGAAACTTCAGCAGTTGGTTAAGTCTGTTCAATGTCTGTTTACCTGTTGAACTTATGCTGAATTGTACCTTTTGACGCACGTCACAATTACTCCGATGGATGAAAAAGGCAATTAAACTTGTTTGTTATAACAAAGAAAATCCCTTATGTAAACAGTTAATCATATTTTCAAACGAACTGTCCAAGTAAATCAGCAAGTACTTCTGTAGAATTAATATAGCTTTTTCCCGTCACTACCGAATGCAACAAATAAATGTGATAGGTGTATTCAAACCATGGCAGCGCAGTTGCAGGAAAAGGGCTATTATTTGAGTAAGCCAATCACCATTATTGCCTTATTATAATATCGTTAAACAGCCTTTTCATTTCCATTCAGCAAAGTCAATTGCAATTAGGTAATGCAAATGCGTTAGTAACCATCTATTTTAAGCTATCAATTATTAACACACAGCTTATATTTTCATTTTTGACAAAGGAACACCTATCGGATGAATGTCCAAATGTCATTCTAAGCTGTCCAAACGAATGCGGAATGACACAAGCGTCCCGAGAGCAGGTGAGCAAACGAAAAAGTAAAATAAAGTTCTGTTGAGATTAATAGCAACGTACCAACTAATAGACCTTAATATACATTTGAGCAAAGGACACATTACTTAATTTCTGCGGAAAATCCATACTACAAAAGTATCTTGAAATGTCAGAATTCTTCAATGTAAGGTATCAAAGATTACAAGTGAAATACGACAATACTTAGTAAGCTAACTATCATTGAACATTGTTTGCTTTAAATAAACATATGTCATTATTCCAGTAGTGTCAAACTATACCAGACGTGATTATATAGCCCACCAGAAGGTCAAAGTTCACGTTTCCATCAGGTTTGATCTGTATTTCTCGTGTGTTTGATTATATTATAACAATGAGCTGTTAAATCAAACAGTGAATACGGTCGTCAACAAACATTCCTTTTATCAAGATAAAGAACCCGATACAACAATGCATGTCTTTTGTCAGACCTTTTGTCAGACCTTTTGTCAGAACAACACGCTCGCATTACATCCATGTAAATTTGTATCAAGAGACCGTCACGAATTCCTCTTATTTCGCAATTTTTTCAAAACCCTTGAAACAATACGATGTTATTATCTATGCTCCAAACATAATTCAATATCTTAAACTAGAAAAAAAAATTATGCAATGTTATATAATCATTTACCATCTCTTTTCACATTAATTTTTGTTTAAGCCGATTTATTTCTACTGGAAAGAGAATATTGGCATATTTCATTTACATTTTCTATTTCGATGAAGAAGACACTTTCTTTTTCGAAAATCTGGCTTCATTATTCAAATACTATTCAGGAGTTAATCGACTATCATATTGAATGATGATTCCGAAAACGTTTCTTTTTTTCTAAAATAACATTTAACATTTATAAGGTTTGAAATTTTTAAAACCCTGAACACAATTTGTTTCCTCATTATACCTGTTCCGTTTTAGAGACAGATTGTTATGGCAGACTGTATGCACTATACATGATGTCTATTCATACACAGCATTATTTATTTCCCAGCAGCGTTTGTTAACCTTTGTATCTATACGTGTCCATTTCGATAGAGACAATCGAAATATGTTGACTAAAAAAAGAAAAGAGGCTACTTTCATAAGAGAGTTCATAGCAATGAGCAAAAATGAGAGTGATTACTTTCGTAAGTTAGTTACTTGCAATGAATACAACATACAAGATAACACTCATATTGGAGTTATTGAAAAAGACCAAAACTTTACTGATTTATTTGCAGTTAAGAAATCATGTCACTGAATGCCCATTAAGAAGAGTTGCATGTCGATTCAAAGATGTCGGATGCCCATTTGAGGTATTATAAGCATGATTACAAAGCATTACTTGATTATAGTGATATATTTATGCGATACGGATACACATTTAACGAAATACTATTGAATTAATATGTTATATAAGAATATGTCGTTGATATCTGAGGCCCTGAAATACAAAGGTGATTTTAAACCATTCAAGAAATAGTGGATAACAATGTTGAAATATATTTCAATCAGTTAAAAATAAACAAGAATAGTATACCAAAAAACAAAACAAAACAATAACAAAAAAAAAAACAAAAAAAAAAAAAAAAAAAAACAAAACAAAAAACTAAGACAAAAAAACAAACAATATATATATATATATATATATATATAAAAGATAAATAAATAGAAATAAATAAATAAAAATGAAAGAGAGTAAAGATTTTGTATTAACCTTTTCTTTGTATTAAAATATATAATTCATTACAGGGTCTGAACGATGACATTCACAAACATTCGGAAGACGCCGTACCCTATCATTTGGAACTGATCGCCTTACGTGAAGAAGCAGTCGAAAATGTCACGAGGAGTCACATTGATGACATGAAGGTACATGATACCGTCAACCTCCATATACTAAGAGTAACACTTCATACTGAGTTTTCGAAATCAAAACCTGCCGAAAAGATCTAAAGATAAATACCTATCACGAATACCTGAGGACCAAAATTTGTAAAATTCAGTCTACCAGTTCCCAGGTTTAGAGAAGAAACGGTAAGAACTCATTAAAAATAATTTGTACTTAATCTCATCTATATATATCTCCTTTATGAATTGCAATGCTAGTAGGCAAATAAACCAGCTTTGCAATGAAATTCTGTTCTTGTTGTTAATTAACACTAAATGCAAATCAGATCCCAATACTAGTACATTTATGTAAAGTAATAATTTGTACATGTGATGGAACGGACTAAAACATCGGATTATATATATGCGTACAGTTAACGATTGAACAAATACTGAGACAAGGGCAGGAGGTGAAGAAGATAAAAGATGAAAATGAAAAACTGAAGAAAGATTGCCAGATTAACAGGAAATCAATACAGGACTTGAAGGTATGTTTGATCTACAAGAGAGCAGAACACACCCTAAATACCATATACATTTACAGCGCTACATTTCTGTACTACGCTATTGTCTTGTTTACAGTGCCTTGATATTGTTTCTTTATTAATATGTAACTTGATGCAGAATATGTAATATTGCATAAAACTCATTTACAAAATTTAAGTATCAAAGATCGTATCTGTATCTTAAAACAGTCGTTTTAAGAGATATTTCGGCTATGTATATAGTTGATATACATCATAAATGTTTGCAAAAACGTTTCCATGGCATCATGAATGTTTATTCATTTCTTTACAATTTCGTTAAATATTGCTATATGTACATGTGTATTTGTGTTAATGAGTGTCAAAGATGTCAAGCTAGGAATATGACTTTCTGGAGTCGCAACAAGCCTTCTTTTTATACTGTAGATGAAAAGAAATCTATACATTTAATCGGTTTCCTGCAGTTAAAGATTGATGTTTTTTTTCAATATAGGTTTATTTGTTAATATCCTAACATTTTCAATGTATTACCTGTCTTCCAATTACTGATACATTTCTTATCACATGGTGATATATTTGGGACGGGCGTTTTGGGTTGAAGAGAAACACATAAAAATGGTACCATGAAAGCAAGATAACCGCTATAATTTGTGTTAAATATATCCTACATATATAGTTGTAGTAAAAACTCGTGTCCTTCATCCAAATAATAATATACTTTATCTTTTTCACATCAATGGCGAGACAGATTGTTTCAACATATACTTATTACTCTTATGGACCTAGATGTAAGCGCGCGGGTAGGAAAAACTGAATGCCGGGAAAAGCCACATGGTCGGGCAAGTGACTCCCTTAGCTTTCCACGCCCCTTAATCGAACCCAGAAAACTATGTGAGAGCAATTGCATTACCACTACGTCACCCGACCACCTAAATCAGTTACAACATTGAAACTATGAATATTAAAATTTGAACAAGGATATATTTCAAAATTGAATATTTCGCTTTCAAATGTTTTCATTATTGTTCTAAAGTTCTGTTTTAAATTCCTTCTAATTGAAAACCATTTCATTTTTCGATTATGTACCCTTTTGACATGATGCAACACTGCACATTGTTCAATGCAGAAAGTGCTGGTGACGCAAGGAGAAAAAGTTATCGTCAACGAAAGGCATCTTCAGGAAAAGGCCAGTACAGATGGAGCAGAAAAGATCAAAAGTGAACTTTCAGCTGTTAAAGATATGATAGATGGGACTAAACAGAGACTAGAGACCGTGGAGAGAGCGACAGGATCCGTTGGCCAGAACAGAGGTGAGATTTTAAGGCTATATTTCAGATCTAAACTATCATTCTGCTTGTTGGATGGCGCGCCGAGTTAATGAATTCGCCCTTTTTAGTTCGGGTTTTACGATCGGACTTGAAAGTTATAGGATCTATCCGATTATGTGGATATTACCCGGAATTCTGGTGTCCCCTTCCGGTAAGTTTTTCCAGATTGATTCATTACGGGACTACAAAATGCGTTGATATAAACCGTCATACAATGCAGTAAAATACATGTTTCGTAACCAGTAAAAACAAACCAGGTTTACTTGGTCCACTGTGACAGACATGTAAAGATAATAATGATACCGTTATTAAATGGTTGAAAATAGACCATTTTGGATTATGAGAGAACTATCTTGCAAGATCATTGGAGTAGTAATAATAAGCAATGTGACAAAAATATAAGCTTTGTTTCAGTAAATGCATGACATAAGGATTTTGGTTAGTTTTGACTTCCAAAATGATAATTTACATTACTTAGGTTTACTTTTCTTTCCCTTTTTTTTCTTCGACAGAACAGTTTTTGTTAGAATCATCGACAATTTTGATTTTACCGATTTGTCGATGCAGTGATAAGGGATCATATCGATGTGTATTTGATTTATTCTTTGAAATACATATTTTTATAATACGTCTCATCACCTATTTTGTGATTAAGTCATTAACTTTGCGATCAGACGAAATCTTGATATCAAAGATTAGCTTTGCATTTCGTTGTAGACGGTAACGCAGTGGAGCGCGCTGAAAAGCAAGTCCGACTAATGGACGTAAGAGTTTGCGAAATAGATTTACGATTGCAGCTCTTTGAGACCATAAACTACAATGGTGTCCTCATGTGGAAGATCCGAGACTACAGACGTCGGAAAATGGAGGCAGTGAATGGTAGGACACTGTCGTTGTACAGTCAACCGTTCTATACCAGTCAGTATGGTTACAAACTTTGCGGGCGGGTGTACCTGAATGGCGACGGAACAGGTAAAGGTGCATATCTATCGTTCTTCGTAGTAGTTATGAAGGGGGATTTTGATGCCCTTCTACCGTGGCCATTCATGTTACCTGTCACCTTCATGCTTCTGGATCAAAATGGTACGGGTCTACACGAGCGTGAATCGTTCACGCCAAACCCTACCAGTAACAGTTTCCATAAGCCAACGACAGAGATGAATGTCGCGTGCGGCGTACCACGCTTCGTATCTCACACAAAGCTAGAAAGCGATACATACCTGAAGGAAGATATCGTATTCTTAAGGATAGTCGTGGATTGTACCAATGCAAATTACCAATATTAAAGTAACCCGGTCTTACTAGAGATATTAATCCATAAATACATTAATCCCAACTAGATGAACTTCACAGTCTCGCACCATAACATGTCCTATTGATTCTGACTACCTAACACAGAATATATACTCGATATTTTAAATTGAAGTATAACATACCACTTGCTATAGCTTCTCTCAAAAGTCATACTAACCTAACATAACGTAACCACGCCTTCCCAAACTATTATCATTGCCAAGACGTTTAAATTGATTTTTTAGAAAACAAAATTGAAAATTTGACGTTTCGTTCTTCAGATATCAATTGTCAACATTGTAATATTGGACAGGGTTTTGGGACCAGGACCGAGACCGGGCACGGTGTACGCCAGTGATCGGCATCAAAAAAGTAAAAAAGGCGGTGGTTGGGGAAAATGTTATTTCTACAGTGTACGAAAAACAACAATATCAAAGGGATTATGTGTAGACACGGTCATGAGTACTGTATAACGCTACAAGCTTAGTTTTTTGCAATTTCTGCACAGTTATTGAGGTATCCGTTAGAGACGAGATCGGTTTTCAACCAGACGGTGAGATGTCTACATCATCATTTTCTACATATATTTCCGATTTTGTCATGTCATAACCTACTCAATACTAAGCCATTATCGTTCATCCAACACTCATTGGAAAGGTCTACCTTGAATATTTTCAAGCATGTATTTTTTTTAATTGCTCAGTATTCCCTTCTCGAGAGTTGCAACCTTTGTCACTATAATACATATATGGACCATGGGTTGGGAATTCGTGTCAAATCCCTTGGGACAGATATACAAAACTGATATTGCCTTCTCTAGCCTATTCAGACCCTTTCGTTCGAATCTTTAGGTTAAGACAATACTATAATACCAGGAACCGTCTTCTAAAAATATTGCATATCAAGACTTTATATACACGTCCCATTCCATAAAAGGGGGTGCAGGTCGCGTCCTCATGTCGCGAGAAGGGTGACATGTGTCTTCGATGTGACTAGACCTGGCATTAGAAAGAGTCACAGAGATGAAAATGTACCTGACTATAATCTATCTGCCTAATAACGTAGGTCCAACACCAAGAATACAACACAAGTAACCTTGATCAGAGTTGTCATATTAACTATATCGAAGTTGTTATTTTTACTGAGTTAAAATGACAAACATTTATTTATATTTCCGTCGTTAAAGTTTATAAAGACGTATTGCACTGCAACAAAATGCCATATATGCATCTATAGAGAGAGAGAGAGAGAGAGAGAGAGAGAGAGAGAGAGAGAGAGAGAGAGAGAGAGAGAGAGAGAGAGAGAGAGAGAGAGAGAGAGAGAGAGAGAGAGAGAGAGAGAGAGAGAGAGAGAGAGAGAGAGAGAGAGAGAGAGAGAGAGAGAGAGAGAGAGAGAGAGAGAGAGAGAGAGAGAGAGAGAGAGAGAGAGAGAGAGAGAGAGAGAGAGAGAGAGAGAGAGAGAGAGAGGCGTATTTATCATCATATATGATTTTTTATATATTTGCACTTCACACATTTATCATTTTAAAATAACATTCCAATATCGCAATATATATAAATATATATAACAATTTATAATAGATAAGATACACTGGACATATCGTGAGTTATGCTGATGGGACAGCATATGAGAAAAAACAAACAACCTTACAACAATTTCTTGTTTTTAAAATTTCTACTTAAAAACAAATTAAATGTCAAAATATGAAAAAAGAAATATTTTCGAATGTAACTAGAAAATATACAAATTCAGAAATAAAGTGACGTTTGTGCTGAAATAGTTTAATAAAACTGATACGCATGAGTATGATGAAGAACAAAACAGCTGGAGAGAATTTGTGGAATATCTCGAAGATTCGGAAGTAGGGAAGTAATAGTATGACTTTAAATAAAGTTGGGAATGATATTTTACATAAACTAAACCATTTAAATTAATTAAAGCATGGAAAATAAATCAGTTCCAGATAGGATATCATATGCATTTTTTGTCTTTAAATCACTGAAAACGAAATACATTTACAGGTATAAGCGAAATATATCTGCATTCTTTGTTGACTCTGCCGAAAGAAAGATTTTACTAGCCGTCCCTCATTGATAAACTTCAAGTTTCTTACTAAAAACGTTTACTAATTGCCCTCTTCTGATCATTTCAGTTTTTTCTCAACCTTTTAAAAAACTGTTTGTATATATTGAGTTCCTAAATCTATTCACTTCGAGGAAATTCTGATCAAACTTTTAATACTAAGAAAGTATTATCTGCACAAATACGGGGCAATGGGGTCGCCTTGGCGATAGCCGTGTTTGACCTGAATGAAAACTGAGAGGGCACCCATATGGGCCTTTCTGTGGTCAGTAAGTAATAAGCCCATTTTTTGGAGAGGGACCTTTTAAGGCGAGCTGCATAGTATATTTGAAACATAGGATCTTGTGAGTGAGTCCATAAAGAACACAGGCGAGTGGAAAGAGGGGGAGGGAGGAGAGGGGGAGTGATGTGTAAAATAAAAAATACTTGTTGTGTGTGCGTTTTTGCTTTTTTCAAAATTCTTTCAAACATGATGACAAAGTGATAGTGTAGTTTTGTGTGTTCTGGTGTGTATCAGTTTTCTGAATTTACATTGCAATAGTTTACAATGATAAAATACGCCATACTGACAATCGATCACTTGGATGTCTGTTAAGTAAGTATTCAGTTTTAAGACTTTAGCCTTATTATGATGAAGCTCTTAGTTACTATATACATTGTAGTCTATTTCTACATTGACTATATTTACAAAAGGACCATTTCAGTTGACCAAACTTGAAAAATATCTTGATCAATGTGTCAAAATTTATAATTTTTAGCATTGATTTATGATATTAATTTTACAAAGTGTGTGTAATTCATATGCTATATTTCATTTCCTATTTTGAATAAAGAGTTAATGCCATTCACTGTTATTCTATTCATCTCTCTAAATATTGTTTCTAAATGCCTTATAAATTACATTCTAGAATGACTCATTTACTCTTAGAAAGTCTACAGGACAAAACACCTCGTTCTTTGATCTTAAAGCTATCGCGGAATGATGCAAAGTGAAATCTAACAAATAAAATGGAAAGACACCAAGTGCAATTTTCAAAGAATTGTGTTTGGTTTCTGCTATTAATAAGCATACAGTTTTGAGTTTTCCTTTAAACAATATTTCTGATTCACTTTACCATCGTCAATAAGGCTATGTTTTATTCAAATGTTACTACAGACAAACACAAAAACGTACTGGACAAAATAAATTTCTTATGTGTTATAAATTAAAGAGGTTAACTGTGAATCTGCAACATGCGCTGTTCTGTTGTGGTCTTGAAAAGTCGCAAGGTTAAAAAAATTCAGGAGGTTTTATGCCTGAGAATATTTTGAATATATTTGAAGTTCTCTGTAATATGACGTCATGAAATTAGTGTTAGAAATATACCAATATATAACAAAAATACATGTAATAAGAGAGAACCATAAAGAAATCATTATTTGTTGATCAATGATATTAATTAATACCATAATGCTACTATCACATTCTGTATAAACAACAAATCGTACAAAGCTAATTGTATAACGATATGCTTTTCGTACATAATTTAACCATGAATCGACTGTATAAAGTAATCTCTGTTAAGTACATATCACGTTTCCTTTCCGTGACTCTGCAAGGTCGTTGTTGAGTGGAGGAAACTGATGCACACGATCCACTTATATCGCAATAATAGAAATTAACTTAATTTCTTGAAATACTTTGCTCTTTAGTATAGATGTAAACTTAAAGTACTTTTTATATTATGACAAACGCACAATAAGAACGTTCTCGAATGTTCGTCCACATATGCTACGTTAATAGAACGTGGGCGCCTGGAAAAACCCGTTCTTACCATAAACTTGTTCTTTGTTATATGAAATTTTATTTAAACTCACGGGAAACATTTTTTTCTAGAAATTTCTGTAATTTTGCTATGAAATAGAAAGGGGATGAAAGATTATCTATATATCATTAACGGCCAGTTAACACAGAAATTGAAATCACAGACAACAAAGTGTGGACAAAGAGGTGCAAAATGAAACGGAACAAAACAAACGAAAAATATAAAAATGTCAAAAGCTATTCATAGTCATGGTAAGTATCTTATAACCTGTCTTAATAAAGCAGGGAGGCCATTCACAATTGCAGTTGTCCTCGGTCTAAACGAACGCGGTTTTATGTCTGTATTGCTTCCAATCCATCCCGCTCCAATCCACTGTGATATTGAAACTGATTTCACAAACGTTGCAATAGGTCAGATAACTTGTAAATCGACGAGTGGTAACGACAAAAAATAAAAAAATTCCGCAACGATTCTTTTATCACATCTGTGTATCTAGAATCCTAGCAAAATACTACTAAAATAACTAACATTAATCATTATTTTGCGATTGAAAAATAGTTTCGATATCTCTATTGCTAAGAGGTTTGAGAGAGAGAGAGAGAAAGAATTGATTTTTTTATCGGTACAGTATTAGCTTTTTTATTTTAAATGGCGAAGTATTGAATATTGAAGCACCGTTTGGTAGATGACACTCTTAAGGCTACATTCAATTGTTCCACAAAATGGAACTGTAGTGTATTTTTGATCTTACTAGAACTCTATAAAGTTTTACTACAACTATTAATGTGATAAACTACTTCAAGACTATAACGTGCTTCAAGATATTAGCCTTGAAGCATTTAAGATAAGGGAAAGAAGATGCTTTTTCTGTCGAATCCAACACACCGAAATTGAGTTTCTTCTAAATCAAGAATTAGTATAGCAAGGAGGGAAAATAAATTTGGATCGTTATGTGTTGGTCATAAAAGCAAGTACTTTGTTTTAGATCAGGAATTCTTAAGGTCGTTTTCCGATGCCTTCATTTGAAGAACATTCCAACATAGTTGTTTCATAGTCATTCATATGATAAGACCTATTGCATGCGAGGAAGTCCTCAACGTACAGAGAACCTCTTCTAAAGAGGGTCACGTTTTTACAATATTGTATGTTTTAAGCCTAAATGTGTAACGCTTTCTGCTGGTACATACATTTCCTGTTCATGGACATCGTAAAGTTATGATGCACTTGAAATATTCTGCCAGATAAAAACTTTGGAATCAGATTGGATAAGTTAAAAAACATTTTAGTGCATATCGAACTCGGATATATCTATCTAACTTAGAAAACTATAACTCAAGCATTACAATTTCGTTAAAGAATTGAAAACCTGTTTCTCGTTAGATGCTTAGATAATGGGACTACCGGATTAATTTATTGCTAAAAACATTTACTTCTTTCAATTGTAAATGTATAATGATAAATAAATAATCATTCATAGGTATCACTTATCTACCTTGACGTAGAGATACACTGTAAACACAAAACACTGATTAAAGCGACATATTCATGACAATGAAGCTGGAATAAACCAAGGGGAATATAAACGATCATTTCTAATTTGTACAAAACTATCTTACTTTTTATTTGTGATAGAAACAATTTTGTAAAATTACTTACTACATATATGTAAGGTTATCTTCGAAAACAGTCATCAAAATACATACATTCGTGGTTATATTTTACAATATTTACAATATCAAACGTTTGGAAGGAAGCAGGTTAACAATTTCCTGACAGTTGACAAGAAAAACGAATTGGATATCTGAATCAATTCCGCCAAAATACCAACAGATGATGTTAATTTTTATAATGGAGTAATTTATTAATTCTGAGTTGCAACTATTAACTTATTAAAGATAACGTTTAGTACAATCAACTTATTATTTTATCCGAAATTCTGAACAAAACAAAACAAAAAAAAAAAAAAAAAAAAACAAAAAAAATCAATTCCTGCCAGACTTCCAGCCAATTGTAATTACAAGAATTAAGGGGTGGGGTGGGAATTGGACAAAAACACACAGCGATCTCTCAAAAAATGACAAAATTTTAGTCACGGGAATATTTATACAGAGGTAATGCTTTAGATAGTATTAGAAAGGACGAGAAATATTTCCTCGTGAGTAATAAATATATCAACAGAAAGACCTAGTCAACCAAACAACTTAAAGCATAAAATCTACAATTTAAAAAGTAAAAATTGCAGAGAAATCCTCACACAAAAAATGTAAATGCCCCAACTCATAATGTAATATTCCAATTTATTTGAGAACCAAAGTATCTAGAAACATAGCAATTTACAATACCTTTCCAAATTCACGATAAATTAAGATAATAATGCTGTCAAAATGTACAAATGTGAACTTTATACAAATATCTGTTGCGTATGAGGAAACTCGTGGATACTCAGTGATTTTGAAATTACCATTTGCATTGAAATATATGTGGTAAGATTGCGGTATGTACTATAAAGAAGTGATATTAAGGGATATGTATTAAAATCTAGTAAGTTATATCGATGGTATGATCCAATATTGATACTGGATCCTTACAAACAAATGTCTTGTGATGCGTTTTACTGGAATAGATATATTATCAATGAAGTAATAACGACAGTATGGACAAGCGAATCGTCAAATTTTCGAGACAGTCTGCCCATTTATCAAGACACAAATATGGCATAAATTACATCAAAGGACAAAGTTGTAAAATTAAATAGAGACCGGGGAAGTAAATTTTGGTGTCTCAATAATCCCTTCGGCCGATGGACGTCGAAGGCATTTTATACGGGGACAAAAAAAATCCAAAGTTGTTGTAAAGGAAGATGATGATTAAAATATAAAAACTGTAACTGTAGACACTGGTGGTATATGTGATTGAAACGAAAACAATTGCATGTCACAAAGAAGTCGACCGGTAGTGATTAATTATATATATTATATAACTAATCTATTTGATAAAGGGAGACAACTCGAAATTCTATTGTTTATTTGAAACGATTAAGTGACAAATATAATTGTGCTGTTCGTGATAAGCGTTGGCATATTGGCTGTGTATTATTAGTTAATATACAGCGAGCCAAGGGGAACAACTCGAAGCACAATGGAGATATCTGATTTACACATGTTTATAATATTGAATCTGAAATATATATAAGATAAGTATATGTTTGTGTGTGCGTGTTTGTGCGTGAGTGTGTGTGTGTGCATGAGAGTGTGAGTGTCTGTGTGGTATACATAGATAGATACTTGACAAACGACACGTGGAGGTACCGTTGATTAGAGTGAATGGTGAGAGAGATGTTTACCACAGGTAGGCGGACGACGAGAGAGTCACCTTCTGTGAGCAGATAAGAATGTATCGATCGAAAAAAAAATGTCCTTGAAAAAATTCAAAAAGGAAGAAAGAAAACAACATCCTTGCCATATTGCCATATTGCCATATAGCTTACACAGCGACGGAGAGGCACATAAGATATTCTGTTCAAGAGGTTCTAATCTGCGAACAGAAATTCAATGTGAATTTAGAATTAGATACAGTATACACAGAGGTATTTATAACACTGAATTAATAGCTGTATTGTTGCTCTAGGACTCGGCAAGAATTATCGATACTTAATTTATTTGAAGTAAGTATGGGAAATCTTACTTTTGAAAAATCGCAAAATGTTTATTTCCTTTTCTTTTTTTAAATTTTGTGTAAATACAGTCAAAGTCATTGGCTACCTCTACCTAAGAATAGACATTATTTAATAATGGCATACATGTCATATGTTAGAATAGTACGATTTTCTTGAAAAAAATACCTGATTCCTTCTCGGAGGATCAACATGTATATCCTACTGTTTGGCCCAGTTATTTGTATTATTTAAATCATTTCGCGGATTCACAACAACTTCCAGTTCAATATTTCAAGAAAAACCGACAGTTCCCTGTCACATAGTGTTTATAGTGCATTGAAGATAAGTGGAGGAAGTAGTCCATAAACTAGGCCTGTAGATCAAACGATGCACAGGAGTTTGGATTATGAGTATGTTGACATATTGGTATTTTCCTGTAGTTTTCTTGCATGCTGATATTTCTAATTATGTTTACTATCCCTTCCAAAATTGTACTGGAAACATACTGTGTCCTTTCTTGCTTTTGTAATTTGCGGGTGAAATCCTTTCTAAGCCTTTCTATGACTTCTTTCATGTACCACGCTTGGCTGGTTCAGTGTTGTCACACTGTGTTTAAACAAAATGTTGGTGAAGTGATGTACTTTTATGTACCTCGCTTGGCTGGTTAGTGCTGGTACACTGTGTTTAAACAAAATGTTGGTGAAGTGAGGTACTTTTATGTACCTCGCTTGGCTGGTTCAGTGTTGTCACACTGTGTTTAAACAAAATGTTGGTGAAGTGAGGTACTGTTCATATACCTCGCTTTGTTGATGAAGTTTTAGACACTTTCATCAGTGTTGTCATATTTTAAAGTGATGTATATTATGTGTATATATATGTGTACATGTAAGCTACATTGCATACATTTTTCTCTGTTTTTCTTCTGCTTCAGCATTGAATGGAATACTAACAAGGCAACTTATCGGTTTGACTGATGTTTTAGAATATTTATGTCTTTTAATTCTTTGTCTGATAGTTAATCTGATGTTACATAAAAGTAATGAAAGTTATCGTAATTGATGAGTTCATTGTTATTACAATAATGTGAAGTTCTAAGCTTGGTCAATATACCACAATTTAAAAGAAAAAATGTACGTGTCAAATTGTTTCCGTTGAAGTAACGGTTCATTGACAACAACCAGTTATAAACATACAAACCGAGGTCATTTTTAAATGATACGTAAATCTACATATCAATGCATGTAAATGTCTGATTGTTAAAGTGAAAATACTGAGTCATCTGTGGTGATACAAATACTTATAGTTGGATTTCTGGGTGAAAATCAAAACTATCCTTCATTTTTCCTACTCCAATTTGGAGTCCTCTCATTACATATAAGAATCAGTCAAGAAAGTATAACTCTCTTTGCTAGGTAAACGAGTAATGATGTGTGTGTGTGGGATGTTTATGTATGTATGTACATTCTAAGTATATCCATCGTGTATGTTGTTTAATGCATGGTAACATCAGGCATCAATATTTTATCTAAAACGAACTATTATCGATTGTATATAGATATAAAACATGTACCGATAGACCCTATTGATGTGACAGATGTCACATGTAGGAAAGCTATAAATGAAACTACCATGTTTTTACTCAGATAATATTGTGCCACTTTTCATTACTTTTGTAGGGTGCTTTCTGGAGATAGTTTTGAGAAATAGAGAGCCTGGTGTTGTTATTCCTTAACATGTGTTTTATCGACATATTTGATTAAGTTACTGATTCAGAAGAAATTATGAATTTTAAATTAGCGAAAAAATGCGATCTTGTTTAAAATGTGATCTAGATATACATATTTGCATTATCGGTATTCCATCTCAGGTATACTAAGTAGGACGATGACGCTATTTGATGTTCTTACACATACAATCAAGATCTACGCCAACAGCAAACACACCAGCAGTGTTTTATAGAGAACGGTTGACCAGCAGTTACATCTAAAACACCAGGAATGTCTTCGGAGGATTCACTTGTCCCAGGTTAGCCAATTTAGTGTACGATGTCGTTGGACAACCAACTATAATGTAGGGCATCGACACACAGTAAAATTTCTAATATTATTTCAAACAAGGGAATCGATATAGAAATGCAAAAATCTTAAAAAGAACACTTCATGGGCTTAATTTGTTCTAATTTCAATGCTTAACCATAACAAATAAAAAAATTCTTAGTGTCTTCATTTTGTATGTCTAACTTGCTGTAACTTGCATCTCATGTTTTAATTCATTCGAATAGCTGATATGGTTCAGAATATAATTAAGTACTTGGCGTCCTTCTGAAATTATGATTTACTATATATGAAAATTACTAAGATTATTAGATTTTAGGGATCGTGTTCATACTCCTAAATTGGATTTTGATACTTCTTTTGGTCAGTTTCTTTTTTCCATCAGTCGCCTGCAGGGTTTCAAAATTAGGCCCCTAGTGCCTTGTATGTTGCAGTTTAATTTATTATTTGGCTCTACTGTATCTATATTTAAAATTGTATTGAAAACGTGCTTTGGCCTGCGTGTCTTTTGTGCAATTTTCGCTAGATTTGAAAGTCTGACTCATGGATCTACTTGCACAGATGTTTTTACAATAACAAGTAAATATGAATCTTCAATGGAGCAGATGATAATGAGAATTTAGCAGTACATAACAACCAAGAGAAACGTGTTATTTTTCTTTATAAGTACTATGTCAATAAAGATTTTACACTTCTCGATTTTTAGAAGAAGAAACATATCTATGTATATATGCTTGTGTTTTTTTTCCCGATTTCTGACAAACTGAATGAATGATTTTATAGTTATCTAAGACTTTACCTTGTAGTTAGATAAGTCTGGAATCTAGGTCGAGTCAGTGATTAAGGGCTTAATTCAAAATGTATTTCTTTCATTAGATTAAAAGCAAAATAAATTTGTCAATTTAAAATTTTAATATGGTTGGATGAACAAACACAAAATTAAATAATAACTTGAATTTCATTATACGACCTGACTTAATCAAGACGAGCAGAGGCAGAAGTTATTGAGGCCTCTGGGTAAAGAGACTTTATGTAATCAATTTTAAGAATTAATGAAGTATTTTGAAAGCATGCTATCAGATAAACCTTGAAAAGACAGTAGTGTATAGCGATAGAAAGTCGATGACGTTGCTCTGTAACTAAACTGCCTGCAAAATCAATGAATACTTTGAATATCATTGTAATATAACTAGCATGTGTCTTTTCAGGTAATCGAATATTTGCCATGTATATAAGTTGCCTTTGGTGGTATATATCTAATTGTATTTAACATATCTAAATGATTAAACCACCGCTTTGGGAGCAAAGGCATAAACGAAAACACACTGTAAAGCATAGCTAAAAACTAAACCAGAATAAAATCATAATGAAAAAACATAAATAAAGTGAGCATAATTTTTCTTTTTATTTTCTTTTATTTGATAAAAATATTTTTAACTACTTTCTTCTACCTTTCATTTCACAACTCTTTTTTAGGTTATACAAATGTATGTACCCCACAAGGATATTTTAACTGAGGACGCTCGAATGATGTAGTAAAAATTGAGAAAAAAGTACAAAGATAGAAATTTCTTTTCTTTCCATGTCTATATAAAAGACACACAAGTGAATAATACCTTTTAACACAAACTGAAAATCAGATACATCAGTGCAAAAAAAAAAAAAAAAAAAAATCACAAAACGAATTAAATTGCATCAAACGACTCGTAAGTGATGCTAAGAACCTTCAATTTGAAGCCTAGGAGGCGATTTAAGGAAATAAAAACTGATTGAAAGAAAAGTCGAATTCTAGCTGGGGAGGTGCCCTTGCCACACAAATCAATAATTTTCTTCATTTTCAGAAATCTGATAATCTAATAGGAACGTCAAGCACATGAGAAATACATTGTTTGCATCTGTTTTTTTCTTCATTACAGGTAAAACTCGAAACAAGAAACAAGCATTTGATCCACCCACCTACAGACTTGTTGTCATGACAGCCGTTCTTTTCATCCTAATAGTCACAGCCATTGCTGTGTTTCAAAGAAATGACGCAAAACATTCTCAGTCACAGAATTTGCGAAGATCCTCAAAGCCCATCGACTTCTTAGATACAAAAGGAAGGAAATTTCCTTGGCAAAACCTAAGACTGCCTAGGGATATTCGTCCTGTGGAATATAAAATAATGATTTACCCAAATTTCAAAACGAAAATGTTTAGTGGTACCGTTAAAATAGAAACTCTTATCAAAAAGCAAACTCGCTTTATAACATTGCATGGAAAATATTTAAATATAATAGATATTAAGGTATATATTGCAAGTGACAATGACAAATCATCCACTAAATGTGATGTGCATGGATGGTACGAGAGCAAGGAACTCGAGATGTATAGCTTCGAAATGGCCGAGATACTTTTGGAAGGCAGGAATGTCAGTATACTCTTGTCTTTCGAGGGCAAATTAGAGAGAAAACTTTATGGATTATATCTCAGTAATTACACTACACCAGGAGGCCATATCAAGTAAGTTTATTTGCATCTTTAATGAAAGATATATCTTATTGATTTTACTTTGTATATACTGTAAAATCAAAATCTTTGTGGTGCTTCATTTCCATGGGGTTTTTTTTGTCGACGCTTGATTCTGTCCCTAATACAGTTAAATGAATCTGTGTGTACTAACTTCAACCACAGGTGGATATTTAATACGTGTTAAAAAGGAAAGCGGACTCAACAAAAAGAGATGCTCCACGAAAATTAATGATTTTACAGTTCTGTAAACAGCGTCACCCGATACAGGAACTAATGCCCTTACTTTTAAGGTGTCTTTTTCGCTTGTTTCGAATCTCCAAAGGGATCTTTACAATACATGGGATAAAATTGAAAACAAAGACAATAAAATTGATATAGAATTAAGTTTCTTTATTCTATGGCTTCAAAGATACATTTTTTATTCCTCACACTATTCATAATAACGCAAAAATGAGCCATAGAGAAATACAGCAAAAGGTCATTGAATAATACAAAAAAGAACATTGCTGTACACAGTTGGCCTTTTATTCATATGACACCTGGTTCAGCTATCCCTGATATAATTACTAGCCATCTCTGACTTTGGTTCCTAATATTTGGTGCAAATTGATCTTCATTCTGGTTTCTTAGATATCTGGCTGCAACAATGTTCGAGCCGACAGGCGCAAGAGAAGCATTTCCTTGTTTCGACGAACCAGACATGAAGGCTAAGTTCGCTATGTCCATCGTTCGCTCTAAAAACCACATCTCATTATTCAACATGCCTCTCCTTACCTCGGAACCGTACAGTGAAGGGCTTATTGTGGACACATTCCAGCAGAGTGTCAATATGAGTACATATTTAGTGGCCATGGTAGTGGGTGATTATGATCATGTGACCAGCACCACTTTACAGGGCACCGAGGTACAATATTTTCTTCTGCTATCTGCATTCTGGTCTTCCCTTAATGTCAATGATTTTCCTAAAACGTTAGGCAATTTAAAATGTGTAAAGAATGTTCAAAACACATTGTATTTATGTGAGTTCAATATTTCAAAAACAGGCAAATTAAAGAAAACGCATTTGAGACGTCTTCCATGTGTATTGAGATTATTTATGTTTCTAAATAGAAATGATAAAATTGTAACACTACATTTATCTTCTTTAAAGGTAAGTGTATATGCACCATCCCACCAGATAAAACAGACACACTTGGCTCTTGACACGGCTGTCAAAGTTCTCAACTTCTACAACAAGCTGTTTGGTATCAATTATCCGTTACCTAAGCAAGGTAAGAATTTTTAACCGTTTCCAAAAAAATAAGCATAATAATTTTCCCTTAAACTCTATGTTTTGAACATTGTGAATGTTTTCGTCGTGCACACCACGGTTTGATATCAAATTATAATTGACACAGAATATCCGTTACCTAAGCAAGGTAAGAATTTTTAAACTGTTTTGGAAAAAATAAGCATACTATTTTCCCCTTAAACTCTACGTTTTAAACATTGTGAATGTTTCTTTCGTGTAAACTACGGTTTAATATCAAATTATATTTGACAGATCTTATCGCCATTCCTGATTTTGTGGCCGGTGCAATGGAGAACTGGGGTTTGATAACATTCCGATTGACCACCCTTCTGTACGATCCGGACGAGTCGTCGGCAGCCGACCTCGAACTTGTTGTTACAGTGATAGCTCATGAACTAGCTCATCAGGTATTGAACTTAAACACAAAATAGTTTGAAAGTTGAAGCTGAAGTTCAATATTTATCCATATTCAAAAAAAGTATGGCATCTTATTCTAATATGATATTGTATACGTACATTCAATAGCTCATAAGATACTTGACTCATCATGAATTAAAGAAAAGAAATTCTCACTGCATATTGAACATGTACACCCCAGGCAATGAACACATGAACTTGATAGTCTATTTGGTATTGAGTTGATATTCAGGCACAAAACACGTGCAATCTATTGCTTACAAGATTCAGTACACATTGACATTTTTTGCTGGGATGACACGTTTGACATTATTTACCTTGTCACATAATTATTTGTCATTTTAATCATTTTACAAGATAAATGTAAACCATTTGCCAGCAGAAAAAATCAGGTTTAGGAACAGATAGAAACACAGAAGATTATTTTTGTCATTCGAATGAAAGGAGGGATACATTATTTTAAGACTAGTTCTGCTGACTCATATTCTTATCTTCTAATAATTTCTTGCTTCATTTTGAATTTTGATCTACTGGTTATCTGGGAAGCGAAAACGACGAGCCTTTGCAGGCGTCTTCATAGTGAACAAAGTTCAAGCTGATATGAATTTAATAGGGAACGTCGCGATCATTTGTCATGTTAGAGCAGTGTGAGTGATGTAAATTGGTCATAGTACATGCAATGGCTCAGTTAGGTTCATGCAGTGTAACTTCCTGGGTCAACATAGCATCCCATATAAGACACAGAATCTGACTACATAAAGATATATGATGGGTGGCAGTTTATTCCCCTTTTTTATATCTGCAGTGGTTTGGTAACCTAGTAACCATGAGGTGGTGGAAAGACATCTGGTTGAATGAAGGATTTGCGACCTTGGTGCAGTACCTTGGCGCGAACGAAATCGATAAGTCCAACAACAAGGTAATTATAAAGGGACAACTAATTAACAAACTTGTACGAAAGATTAAAGGGAGTAGTAACTTTCAATACGATTTTATAATCATGCAGACCTAAATAACAGAGTAAACTGCGTCATTCGTCTAGTTTGTGACTCTGGGACACGCTAGTGATGTTAAGGGCTATTTGCAAATCCTGTTTTGTAGTTTTATTATATCTGTATACTTGTGCCGTAACATATCGTTTCATCCATAATTCCAACATGTTTTTAGATGGATCTGTTCGTTAAGAATGAAATGATGTATGCGATGGGCATGGATTGTGAGGGCAGCTCCCACCCTATCTCAGTGAAAGTGTCGAACCCGAATGCAATTGAAAATTTGTTTGATGCAATCTCTTACAGCAAAGTAAGTACCTGGAAGTTGCAGTAGATGAATGCTTACACAAAGATTGATAAAATTCGACATCACACAACAACCAAATATTTAACTATTGAGATATCACCATGATTAATATATTGGATTACTCTCTTTAAATTAAACATGGTAGATGGATGCAGATTTTCTTACATAATCAGTATCATTGCGACTTTCAAGGCATGCACATATCACAGCTTGTTATGATATTGTAAAACCAAGCTTAATATTATGGGGAATCATCAATGACCTCCGTTAGGAAAATCAACGATTTCAAATCTTATTACATACATTTTGATCTTTGAGCTTAAATATCTAATAAGGAATTATTTCATTATAAAATAAAATTATGTATTTGAAATAATTATAAGACAGCTTTTTCCAACCTTAATTGCTCTTCATGGTCGCGATCAAAAGGGGTTGCTATAGAAACAGCAAGAAAAACCAACAAGTAATTATAATCCAAACTTAAATTCAATACAACAAACGCAAAATTGGCATAAAGAAAAAAAATTCACCGAAACTCTTAAAAAGAACATGTAGAAATAGACCATGTAAATCTTGGTCAATCCAACTAATGTTATATTGTTAAATGAAAACAATTAATGGGCATGGGAATATTGCTATGCAGAAATTGGATAGTAATTCTAGAAAAAAAAAAGATAAAATTAAAGCCAAAGGCGAAAATCAAATAAGTTTGCTAACTTTAACATTGCTATGAAAACATTTGTGCCATTTAACATACACTGTCGAAGTTCACCAGGGAAAGATTATAACATTGAAAGAAAATCGATGTCATATGCTTGCATATGTTTGTCTTAGAAATAAAAATATGGTGATAAGCGTACTTTACCGGTTCATATAAAAATGAATCTAAATTCCCTGTTTATTTATTGTATGTATCATCATATATCAAAACTATAGGAGAAATCACGAGTGACGAATAACGATTGTCCGAATTTTACAAGGACATGTGAATATGGACCAGCCAGACTTGTATGTGTTTTGTAAGGATTTCGTAAAAAAAAGACATTTTACATTACCAGTGTTTGTTACATTGATATGTTTTGAAATATTTGTGTTGTTGTTTTTCGCCATGTAGGGAGCTTCATTGATACGTATGTTGGGTAACCTAATGGGTAGAACAAAATTCTGGGATAAAATTAAGGAATACCTCAACAGATACAAGTATGCTAACGCCAGAACAGAGGACTTATGGGATATCTTCTCGGTGAGTGACAGTTAACAATTACCCGCTTAGTAACGACTTGTTACAGTCTGAGAATAGGATCTGTGATAGCTCAGTCCATTATAGCGTTACCTCTGATGAAGATCCGAGGTTCATGGTTCGAAACTCTCTGGCCATGCGGTTGTGTTTCGCAGGAAGCTGAGAAACGAACTGGTTTGTTCTGAAGTGGTCTTTGGGGAAGACACTTTACTCTAAATACTATGGAAGACATGTTATGCTAAGTAATTTAATCACCAGCTACTACATTGAGACCCCGCCTCAAAATTATCCCTGACTGTCTACAGTGTGATGAGCTCATGTATTAATGTATGCTTCTAGTACAGATGTGTTTTAATCAACTCGAATCATAATATTGTGATATTCTTTGTTTGTTTAATGCCTGTTATCGTTCTTAAGAATTACAGCCAGGGGCAGATGACTGTGACTACGATGATGGACACGTGGACCAAACAGATGGGCTATCCAGTCGTGACAATGAACCGCAGTGAAGAATTTGTACAAGTTACACAAGAAAGGTTCCTACTTGGCCCCGAAAAAGGACCGCCAAGTAAATTCGAGTAAATATGCTTTTAATTTCACTCTTTCTTACATCTTCCGACACTTTAATCATTGTGTTTATTTATCATTTCCTTTATGACAACAGATTTTAAAGCAAAAAATCAATAGAAATAAGTCATAAGAATCCATTGAATTTATCAAAATGGATGAAAAAAGAGCGGAAATAATTTATACTTGCTTGTAGTGAACGTGTGTTTGCCATTTTAGATTTAACCTGTATGGTATCGGATATTCAGAGAATGTAACATTTTTTTATCAACAGTTACAAATGGTATATACCATTCAGGTATGCTGTAGCAAATACGAGTGGTATCGATAACCACATCATCACCTTGAATCCGGACGCTGAAGGTCAGTGAAATGTACTGTATGTCACATGGTCGAAAACTCAATAAAAAATAGTAACATTTACCTTAAGGTCAATGACGTAAGGTAACTGTGCAAAATAAAGAATATACAACGTTTACTGTAAATTCATACATTTTCACGAGGCTCAATTTTCATTTTTTAGAAGAAAACAAAATCTTGGACATCCGATTTCGCGAATTAAAACCACTGACTTGGATTGGTTTACATGGCGGATGTCGTCGATGAAGCTGAAGACGCTTGTTCTTCCGAAACATATGATCTTATTCTCCTTATACTTATTTAGGAGTCTCCGTTTAAACCTTTCTTTTGTTTTTATTTTGCCCTAAATTTATGGAATTTGAGTTTGAATTACGATTAAGTTGTCATGTTGAAATTTTCGTGGTTTTTTTCTTGGATTAAAATTACCCACAAAATCAATGAATATAAATCCCCCCTGAAAATGAATTTACAGCATATCACTATGCTCAATAAAAGTTACATTTGTACCTAACTTGTACATAATACTATTATATTTTATTCATACCGCAAACATTTTAGATTATTTCAAATTATAAATTGTTGCACATACCTAAATATAGATGTGTAATTGTTTAATATCTTAAATAACTTACTTATCAAACATTAACTACAGAAAATTATTTCATTTCCAGTGAAATTCCAGGTAGATAAGGACCAAGTGAAATGGTTGAAGGGGAATTATGGGATGTATGGATACTATCGTGTCAACTATGAGGAGAGAAACTGGCGAGCTCTCGTAAAACAACTCGCCGATAACCACACAGTATGCCACACTTTTAAATTCCTTGAGATTTAGAAACATATCGATGAATGAATTAAAGTTGTGCTATATTTTACTTTATTCATTTAGGAACCGAGTAAGTTTTTATCTCCTTTACGTCATCGCAGACAAAACTATTGAATGATAGTTTTTTTTTTTTTTTTTTTTTTTTTTTTTTTTTAAATAAATCAGAACGTGTTGTATTATTTCTTGTAGGTGTTTTCTACGGTCGATCGAGCGGGTCTTCTCGATGATATGTGTTACCTGGCAAGGTAAATATACTTATTATCATAAATTGTGCTTTCGATGTTTATTTTATGGGACTTTCATGAATTGTAGTTATGAAGACCAAGTCTTGTTGATGTTGATGTTAAACATGTTTTGATTTTTTTAATTTTAGAGCAAATAAAGTATCGCAAACACTCGCATTAGACATGACAGAGTATCTGATCAAAGAAAAAGAGTATCTCCCTTGGAGTGTAGCGCTTAACTGCCTTAGCTTTATCGGGGAGCGACTGAGAAACACAGCGGTTTATAGCAAGTTCCAGGTTTGTCTGTTTCTGAGAAAGACTACTGTTAAATAAGCCAGAAATAAAAATGTTTAACAAAAGAATATAGTCGAACTTCGTTATCTCGAACTCGTACATATATAACTCGAAGACTCCGTTTAATTCGTAGCATTATGTCGGTTCTTGTCTTACTTTACACAAAGCATTCGAACTCACTTCAATCGAATAATTGGATATCTCGAAAATTTGCCATGGTCCCGCCGAGTTCGAGATAACGAGGTTCTAATGTAATTTTAACACGTATGATTTCTAAGCCAGACTGATAAACAAAAAACTACGAGTTTTGGCCAGCAATTTGACATACACTCAGTCATAGATAATACTGGTTCATGATTATTAATTGAAGAGGAACTTAACAGTCATGAATCTGGTCTGACAAAAATCTAACCATATCTTCTTTCGTATGTATTAGGTGTTGTACATGTATTCATATTGAACCTTATCTTCTTCACAGAAATACATGGAGTCTTTGATGCAGCCTTTACTAGTTAAACTGGGATTGGAGGACACTGGGCCACAAATGGACAAGTAATTTTATCATAGCATTAAATATTAGGTTGATTTAAATCATGGAAAATGAAAATTTTTCACATAAAAATATGAAAAAATGTTTAAAGTTAAAAAAGATAAGATGCTTTTGGAAACAAAGTTTCGTCTGTATTGTGTAAATCTTTCTGAAGGAAAACAATGTATTTAAAATTAACCGCCAAAAAGACTAAATGATTGATAAGTAGTACAATGCACATCTCTTTGTCCCGTCCTTCATCACAGTAAACATCTCTTTGTCCCGTCCTTCATCACATTACACATCTCTTTGTCCCGTCCTTCATCACATTACACATCTCTTTATCCAGTCCTTCATCACAGTAAACATCTCTTTGTCCAGTCCTTCATCACAGTAAACATCTCTTTGTCCCGTCCTTCATCACAGTACACATCTCTTTGTCCCGTCCTTCATCACAGTAAACATCTCTTTGTCCCGTCCTTCATCACATTACACATCTCTTTATCCAGTCCTTCATCACAGTAAACATCTCTTTGTCCCGTCCTTCATTACAGTAAACATCTCTTTCACAGTACACATCTCCGTCCTTCATCACAGTACACACATCTCTTTGTCCCGTCCTTCATCACAGTACACATCTCTTTGTCCCGTCCTTCATCACAGTACACATCTGTTTGTCCCGTCCTTCATCACAGTACACATCTCTTTGTCCCGTCCTTCATCACAGTACACATCTCTTTGTCCCGTCCTTCATCACAGTACACATCTCTTTGTCCCGTCCTTCATCACAGTACACATCTCTTTGTCCCGTCCTTCATCACAGTACACATTTCTTTGCCCTGTCCTTCATCAAAGTACACATCTCTTTGTCCCGTCCTTCATCACAGTGCACATCCCTTTGCCCAGTCCTTTATCTATATCATGTTTATTTTATCTTATCAGAGTTCTACGAACCCTCCTTTTTAAAAAAGGATTAGTATTTGGACACACACTCGTTATTACAAATGGAAAAAAGAAATTTGCAGACTGGATGAATAAAGGGAAAAAGTAAGTTAATTCCGTACCGATTCCTTATGATTGTCAGAAATCATCTGCTACAAATTGAATTATTTTGCATGCAGAAATATCATTGTGTTCCCATACTCGGGTCAATTACTGAAAAGATTTTCTACATACAGGCTCCAAACAACTTCCCTGATGATAAGTTGCTGAATATAAACCTAAAAGATAATATGTCTGTACTAAAACATTCACACATTAACTGAAGTCAACTGTTAATGCCTAAAAGGGCGGGAACGTTTATTCATGGAACAACCATTTTAGAGTTCATTCCCAATTCATGCAGTTTCGTGTTTATATCATGATTGTATTTTATAATATGAAGTACGATTTCGCTTTAAATAGTGAAGAAGAATGCTAATTCCTCCAGTTGACAAGTTGATTATTTTGTATGATTGCGATATGACTGATGACCAGTAACTTTAACTTATGCGATCTATATCTTTTTAAACATTTGTTTCAGATTGGGTGTGAATTTAAAGGGTGAAGTTTACCGGACAGGAACGCAATATGGGGGTAAAACTGAAGCAGATTATGTTTTTAAAATGTACAAAAAAGCTCAGATTCCATCAGAGAAGGAGAAGCTGCTGGTGGCATTGTGCCATACAAATCAAACCGAAGTTTTACAGAGGTAACGCCACAATATGCGATATTGTCTAATGATGTTTAAGAACAATTCGGAAGTTTGTCTGACCACACACCATCTTGTCTATGTATCATAGATTACGTTTGTTGGTATATTGCTCTACGTTTAGTTGTTTTTCTATTTGAAGATGATTATGTATATCTTGGCAGGTTATTACAGGCAGTAGGGAAAGGAGATATCATCCGTCACCAAGATTTTCCTATAGTGACAGAGGAGATGTCCAAAAACCCCGCAGGACAACTGTTGATCTGGGACTTTGTCAAAGGAAACTGGAACAGCATTCTCAAATGGTAAGAAAGTAGGTTTGGAAAGTGCTCATTTTATTCTTGTCACCTTTTTCTAATCTACGACATCTCTAATATTGATAATTGTCGACTTTTAAGCTGTTATCACATTTTTGGATTTCATTCTTTTGTCTAGGTTTTCTGGTTCGCTGTTTGCCATGCCTGGTATCGTGGAAAGTGTCACGTCATTTTTCTCTACGGAGAAGCAATATAAACAGGTATACCATAATTTTTTTTTAGTTCTGAACATACTGTTAACTGTCAAAATATTATACCGTAAAGCTGTCAGGTTTTCGCGATTTTCTTTTCAAACGATTGAAAAATATGTTAACGAATGAAAATTTCGCGATCTTGACGTAAAAGGACATCAATGCACCCGTGTCTAATTACTTCACGAGCTATATTTTTGCAATCATATAAATGTACCGCGAAAAAGCGAAAATAAACGGTCATGCGGTATTCTAAGTCACAACACCAATATACAATATTCCAATTTGTTGTAGCATCTCTCATTAGTCTTTCTCCTATATCCAGATTAGTATATACTTTTGTCTCAACAGTCTTTTTCGTAACAGATGCTCAATTGGTCTTCTGAAATCCCCCAGTATTTCAGTGTCTCTAGATGGAATCGAACATTTTTTGCATTATTCTATCTTCTAAAGTCTTCAGTGGAAATAAAGTACCTGAAACTGTATGATGTTGAACGATAACATACACAGTTGCATTGTATGGAGCTGTGGAAACAGATTGTGCAAAATAGCTCCATAGTCTCAATATTTTTCCGTCATGTTTCAATAAAAATACACAAAAATGTAATCATACACAATAGAACTGAAAAAATACACTTCTTATTGTTATGGCTGTGGTGAAAATTGCGCAAGTCATAAATGATAATAATTAATCTAGGTCTCATTTCATTGACATTTTAAATCAGGTGAAAGAGTTCTTCAAAGCATGTAATACCAGCGCTCTCGGAGGAGAAGTTAAAGCTAGTCTGAATCGGATCCGGATGAAAATTAATTGGTTGAAGACGAATGCTGCCATAGTAACCAAATGGTTTAATGATCGTAACAATGTTTTTTAAAACAGTATTTGAATGTTTGTCATCGAAAGTCTTTGTTTAATCGGAATGGTTTCCTCTAAATGCTTTATTGTTATGGTACGCTTTGAATGTTGACCAAATAATGTAAAGTTGTTGATATTGGGATTAATTATTTTCGTGGATTATTCCTAACCAAAATGTTCAATTATTTTCGAATTATTAAACAGTCAATGATTATATAAATGTAAATTGATTCCCTTCCTCCGGACAGTTTATCAACAGAACGAATAACACAGGAACAATTTAATTTTCGAAAAATATTAAATTTAAGCCTTACGACAGTACATTTGTATACGTTGAATCTGTGGAGTATGTAGACAATGACCTTGTAATAGTTGAATAGGTATAATGACTACTAACAGAATCTGTGGAGTATGTAGACTATGACCTTGTGATAGTTGAATAGGTATGATGATGTTCTAGTTGATGTCAATGTAAACAATTCCATGTTTACAGTCAATTCTTACTGTTAGCTGTAAAAATCTATATAGTAGGCAAGGTAGTGGTATTCACAGATAGTCATGTGATAACCGAGATAACACGCATTTAAAGTTTGTTTGTTTGTTTGTTTAGAGAACGGACATAAAGTGATAATACGTTTATTACGTAATCAAAACAAAAATTATATAGTCATCTTAAAAGTTGATATTTCAACAATTTTAACTGATTTCTTACTATAAATGGCATCAAAGAATTAACAAATGCTGAAAATTTGTCAAATTTTATTGCTGAATTATGTTAAGGATAAATTTATTTTCGTGGATCTCGAATACCAGCGATATTATCGAAAATAAATTCGCTCTATAACGTAAAATTCTACAGTATTTTACAGTCTATACAGTACTACGCAAGGTCATAAAATATATGAAATTTCAATGTATTCTTTGTTTGTGAATCAAATTTTCTATTTTGTGGGGGTTTTTTTCATTATTGTTTTCGTTTTCCATGCCAGGTCAACGTCACTCCATTCTGAAACGTTAATTTCGTTTCGCAGAAATACCAATGTCAATCATTTCCCTCTCTCCTGTCCAGCTGTTTCATTATTTTAAAGGTCATATACTTTAGATTTGTAATGTAATAAAATCTTTCTTTTCCGATCTATTCCTTTCAATTGCACTTTTTTCACTTATAATTCTCATTATTGTTTAATGGTAACATGATCATTTGATGTTTTGGATTGGCAATTAGGTTGATTAATATGAGTAAGTTAATTACCATTTTTGAAATTCACGCTGTCTTTGATCTTGTCGGTAACAAACGTCTTATATATGTGTGTTTTTTCCCTTAAACTTGATCTGTGTTTTAATTTGGTTACTTCTTGTGTTGTAGCAAAGAAATTAAAAATACCTACTTCTTCTATGTGTACATGTTTTTCTTCATCACTCTTCTTCACCATCAACACGAAATTCCCATGGCAACGTGACCAAAGGCAACGTAATATTCAATGTTGAATGTAGCAATGATTGATTACCTCAAAAGCAAGGCATCCGAAGCTACACAGTTCTCCTCGAGTGTGCAGCAGGCTTGCTTTGGAACATATGCCATACATGGTGTCACGAATATCTAGAACTTCTCTATAAAATACGTTCTGACATCAACCGGTTTTGTATATACTGTATACTGGGAAATTTTCGCCCTCGATTAATAATAGCCGTTTTCGTCCATAAATAGGGAGTGGGTGAAATCTGTTACATAGCCCGTTTAATATAATCGTCAGAGGGCGAAATGAACATGAGGCGAATTCGTGTATAATGAAACTAGGGCGAACATATCCTGGGGTGAAAATGTTATGTTATACAGTGTTTCAAGATTTACATGTTAATAGTAATGATAATGAATCATGTTTCATGAACATGTCACGCATCTCAATACAAGTGTTTCTGTTCATGAATGGATCTCGCACCAACTGAGTTCCTATTGATTCATCATAAAACACGGCTGTGGTGTGTGTTTGCAGATTTAGCATAGAACCAGGAGAAACATGCCTTATTGAAATTCCTTTAAATGTATAGATAAATACTTACCGTAAAGGAGGACCGCCCCAAGAGAAACTGTCCGCACCACTCTTCCTTTGCATTCTTCTTTGGTTTATGACTCAATGTGAATTTTGAAGAAAAAAGAATTGCATACAAAGGCATTTGTGGGAGCATTTATTAGATGTATTTGAGTAACAAAAAAATCATCCGAAGGTTCCTCAAGTTGTCACGATCTCATTTTCGAAGTGAAAGTGTCACACTGTGACTAACTTTAAATTGACAAGAAACTACATTCATCGTAAATATCCACCAGAGCTAGAAATCAAAGATACGCTGATTCTTCTAAATCAGCCGTGTATATCGATCTTTTTCTAATATGAAGCCAACATGGACAGCTTTCCATCAAGCTGTGTGATAAACATGATGACTTCAATTTCTCTAAAGTGAATTTTCCATTTATGGATCGCAGTATTCCTTCATTTCCAAACTATGGTATTTACTTGTCACAGTTGATTCGATATTCAAGGGCTTGGTCCAATTATCACGATTTTCCTGCAACTGACTGAAAAACAAACCACACAAGGGTTCAAAAGATGCAGGTTGAGAGAATTAAGGGTATCTTTTTATATGGTCGTCATAGTGGTGTCATTGAGAAATGTTCTATTTCTTTTTGTGTTATGAAGCTGGATGTGTTTGATGCTCGTTTGTCTCTTGTTTTCTCTCTCCTTGTACCTTTTCGGGAGTCTCCTTGTAAATCTTTCTTTTCTTATATTTCGCCCTAGTTTTATGGAATTTTAGTTTGTATTATGATTATATTGCCATGTTGATATTTTCTTGATTTTCTTAACTTGAACATTATATGGAACAGTGATGAAATTGGAAATAAAGATGATATGGAATGACTGCGTAAAGGGAAAAAAACGCACGTTGTCCACTTATAAAAAAACATCTTTGATGTTTAAAAGGTAACGCAACAAAAATCGTGGGAAAACTTAGGAAGGTGTCAGGGGAGACTCTCGTGTAGACTGGGTCACTTCTTTAGTATTCCTTATCCTGACGTGTGCACCCTTCGGCTGTGAAAAATTAAGAGAGGCAATTTTGGTAGATTATAATACAAACAAGGAACGTCCGGTGTCATATAATATATGTATCGTCCATCAGAAAAGGATCCGGATCACTTTTCCCTCATCAGAAAAGGACCCGGGGATCGCTTTTTTCCCCATAAGAAAAGGAACCCCCCACCCCCCTATGGTATTTTGATCCCCCTTGTGAATTTTATTTTAAACTTTATAGCTTTATAACCCTGATACCTGGGTTACCTGTACAGGTGTGATTGACAGGGGCTTAAATGATGACTGCATACAAAATTACTCTATATATAAACACGTACACAGTAATATTGCTGATTATAGCGTCTGAGAAGAGTAGGACCGAAATTTGTTTATGTCGAAAAACAGTAAACAGTGACTTTGTAATAATAAGATATATATCTTTTTTTTTTTTTTTTTTTGATTACTGTTTGAAACAAGATATTGAAAAAAATTTAATGCTATGTCACGGAAAGGTTTTTATTTATGTTTTTGTTTATAGTAATAATGATAATAAACAAACCGTATCCAGTAGAAATTAATGTACATGTAGTTAATCAAATAGCCTCAAAATCTCGCCATATTTCAGTTTTTTCGTGAAAAAATTGCTACGTAATTTGTTATTTTAAACATTAATACCTTTCGAGACTACTGTATGGACCCCGTATATATACCTTCATACGTCCCTATGTCCTTCTCGTCCGCTGAAAGACCGAAAGGTCGTAATAGTGGACGTAAGACCTTAAATAATTTTTTAAAAATTAAAACATTTTCGCCCTTATAGAGTCGACTATGGCAAATCGAACGCCACTGGATGATTGTTTCTTGAGTTAAACTTCCAGTGTAAATTATATTAACATAAGCAATACGTTAAAGCGACAAACAATATTCAATTTTCTTTTTTGAAAGAAACATTGGCATTTCAAACTCTACATTTTATAGGTCTAGAATCAATAACGTAACGGTAGCACCGTGGTAAGATCCCTGCTCTCAGCTGAAAAGTTCTTGGATCGAATGCTCCTATCTTTTTTTCACGTGTTATTTTTCTATTTTATTTCGAAAGGAAACATTTAAATATGGAAAAATCAAATCGTTGGTTGTTTGAAGTCTTAATATCAATCTAATAATTCTTACATCGTCTCCAATCACAAAAACGTTAGTGTATCTCTCTCTCGGCGGATGTATGAAACGAAATTGTAAATATAGGAAAGTTGTGAGGTAAGGGATTATCCTTAAATTTACTATCTTATATATAATTGTCGCATAATATATTAATGTACATAAATTATTTATGTGTAAGTTCGCTATCTGATCAGTTGTTACTGTTTGTAATAATGCGGGAGAGGCTTAACATACTTTCAATAACTTGTGCCCAATCCCTTTGTTTCAATTGAATATGTTTAAAAGGCAATGATTGACTTGTTTTGTTTCATAAGAACTAAAGTAAATTAAATTTCGTTAATTTGCGTGCACTGGGTTTTAAACTAACAACCAGTGACAAATTTTCTAACAAAAGAAATCCAAAGGTATTTGTCTTCATGAAAATGTTTAGTTTTTAGCATATTTCAGTACCGGAAAGCGGCTACACACTGGTGTAAAATGTCTGGGATTTGTCTTGCACACTGCATGTATTTCTAATCTCGATAATTGATACGCACACAATATACGGATAACCCTTTGATGGGTTGGCGTTCTGTTACAAGTCCCTGTAATCCTCACTTTGATCACCTAAGAATGCAGTTTGCAGCTGCAGTCATAATTGAAGTTGTCCTTCCTTACTTTTTCCGTCTTTCTTTTCTTGTATAATGGAAAAAAATGTCCATTGTTTTTCCGTGTACTGAATAAATCATGGTTCGTGTTCTATTAATAAACATGCTTATCTATGACGTCATAATATGCAGACGTCACGTGAGATTTCCTGGTCGTCATTGTCACTCTGTTGCTAGCGACGGAAGGCATCGTAGTTAGAGAAGGAGTAAGAAGGAGATAAGCGACTTGTTATTTTCCTGTTGAAGACCAATTTTTCAAAGGTACGTATAACACAAATCACCATCCAATATGGTAAGTACACAACACAATTCCTTTGTGATATAATGACGTTTTTGACTTGAAGTCGAAAGCAACAACGGGACAAATCCTTACCACGCTTGGGCGCGATCTTTTTTAACATTTTAAATTAATATGCATTTAGCGCTTCTTACTTAGTATAATGTATTGCGATGTTAATCTATTTGTGTGACGAGCCCGACTAGACAATAACTAGACCGAATTCACAACGCTCATAGGTGGTTACAATATCACAGTAGCATTTGCGTTGCTTTTTCTTTACCTTTCTGTGTTGACTGATCACATGCCACGTAATTGATTCGCGCGATAGTAAGTTTTACTTCCGCTTAATTTGTACAGAGACAGACTGGGACCGTGCATGGTTCGATTCTTCATTGAAGCACTGTTCTGTGGCCAACTTATCATTTATTCGATGAGCTATGTCGGTCCATATTTAAATTCAATCATAAAAGATATCTCATGTAATGCGAAATCTCGTCTTATATAAAATGAAGTCAAGTCCAGAAAATCTCATGGATCACTATGTGTTTTACCGGTTGATGGCCCTAATAACCTTTTATGTGTTGACGGGCCGTTAAGAATGTCATAATAATGATGATGATGGTGATGATTTAAGTCGGTACATCATATATAACAATAAACACAAGCTAAAGGTTTGTACAACCGACTGTTAACATATGTAAATTATATCAAAACAGCAGGCATACATACAAAAGCATATACGACGGTATTGGTTAATTAAGATATAAGTATAAGCGTATGGCATTATATTAAAAAAAACAACAAAACAATTCTATTAATATATACACACAATGCAACACAGACTACTACACATGATCATGATATAAAACATTAACATAACTTTCAGGCGTTTGATTTTGAGCATGAATGCTATATAAGTGGGTAGGAATTAAAATTTGATAAAACGAAAGCCGTGTAAATTGCTTTCCGTCATTCTAGTGTCAAATCTTTAGCAATTCGTGCCAGGACATTTATTTGTCTGGAGTCTTAAACATACAGGTACGTGACTTTGTCAACCTATCAAATTTCTCAAATTTCTCTGTCTTACGACAGATCATGGTGATCTTTCAACACAATAAACGCGAACTTCAATTGTTCTATATGATCAATAATACGCTCAGATGAACCGTTACCGTGATCCATAAGTTTTGCCTCTCCATACATTTCTCGACATCGTTGAGCAGAAAGTTGATTCTTGGATAGACTTAAGTTTGCCTGTTCCAGGCCCATACAAGATATCTCATACAGAAACGAGCTGTCTTACTATACTGTTGTCTTTACTGTTATTAAATATTATTATAATTTATCTATTTACATTTCGTTTTAGAGTTGGTTATTACACTGTCAATTCGTTCCAGTGAGCTTTAAAATAGATATCTCGTATATAGACTGTCTGTAATCGGTCAGTATTTCAACATTTGTCTTTTCTTTCTAGACTTATAAAAGAGTTTGGACCATTATATTAAACAGTGATGTCGTTGTTTATTAATTAATATTTGTAATTAGGATATCACATCATTATCCCTCGACATTGCAGGGTTAATTACTTATTTACTACAGACAAAACCTAAATAACACGAACTGATGTTTCAGAATACACAATGGATGACGAGCAACTGCGCCGTATAGCGCGGGATTTGATAAATACTGCAATAGACAACGCAATGGACAAAATCTTTAAAGAGGAAATGGCTGGAGATCTTGACCAGGGGGTGGATGATATTGTGAAACTGACCATTGGACAGTCAGTTACCGCCATACGCGATGGAAAAACTTCCCCTACCGATGATAAGATGAAGGAATGGGTAGGACACTTTGATAAAGAATTAAGCGATAAAGTCGAGGTGACCATTAGACAATCAGACACCGCCATCCGCGATGGTCAAACATCACCGTCTGACAATAAAATGGAAGGACTGTTAAAAAAAACACCGAAAGTACCAACCATCACAACAGGAAGTAATTCACCGGAGGTTAGTTACGCGGGAATCAAGCAAGAAGTGACCGGAAGCGGAAGTGGCCATCTGCTTCAAATAACCCCCGCCATCGTCCAAGGTATTATTGAAACACCTATTATTTCGTATGCGGCATTACTTAGTAACATATGTACAAGACGGCAGACTGTCTTATATTAAACAAATCATTGAGATGAAAGAGCGAATCGTTCTAGAAATATTCATTGATATCAATGGAATATCAATGGAATCCCGGATCATTTTATCGGAGCTGTATCGTCTGAATTCATCTTAGTAAAAATATTCTAATTACTTAATCAGATATTTAATTCGTATTCTTGTTATAAAACAGCTGATGAGACCATGACTACACGTCAGTTCAGCGAGACATCCGGCAAAAAGAATGTATTGGGACGACTGTTCGACATACTTTTTAAGGTTAGCTTATCATCACCATTGTGAACCACGTGTTAGAACATGATCGAATCTGAGTCTGTGATCAACTATTGGCATATCATTTAATATACACAATCTAGTGCTGACAAAAATAAACATACTAATGTCAGTGAAAAAAGAAGTTCTTTCACTGAAAACATAATAAAACAAAATTCAAAACGAAAGTCACTATTTTGAACCGATTTCAACAAAGCTTATAGTTTCTTCATTAGAGTTAAAAAGCAATAGAGAATATACAAAAGTTATATTTCGGCATTTTCATTACACGGATAATTAATAAGGCACTTTCTACATAATTTGTTTTTACGATTGTTTTAGAGAAACAAGAATGGAGCCAAGAAAATCGTCACTGCTACAGAAGGTGAGAAAATTATCTACTATTAAGAAGATTTATGTGAAATATCACGTTTTAATGATATATGTGTCATTTTATTTATTCTGTGTCCAATAGGTGGCAGCAGTGGCACCTCAGTCGACGGGCAGACGACATGTTCATCCAAAGCCCGCAGCAAGAAAGACTGGATCCGTAGAAACCTGTTGTGCTGCTTCGTACGACAGACTGCCAAAGCGGAGGGAAAATATCAATAAGGACTCCAAAGTCAACACTGGATTATGTAACCTACAGCTTCCGTGCTTGTTTATTTATTTGTTTTATTTTTATTAAATATAGATGAGAAATATGTGACATTTGTTTTAATTTTCAGATCAAAAGATTAACAGTAAAGAAACAGAATAACCTTTGTGACATTTTAAGTTGCAAATATATAGAGTAAAAAATGTAAAAAGAATGGAGTACGTACATTTAAATACACGCGACAAGATTTAATAGTAAAAACGTCATACATTCAGAGTTCTGGGCATGTCGATTCTCTTTGACAGACAAACATCTTCCTGTAAAAAGCGTCACAGCTGTTTGAATTCTGGAGATATTATACAGCGGGTCTCCAGCATATGAGAGAGAGAGAGAGAGAGAGAGAGAGAGAGAGAGAGAGAGAGAGAGAGAGAGAGAGAGAGAGAGAGAGAGAGAGAGAGAGAGAGAGAGAGAGAGAGAGAGAGAGAGAGAGAGAGAGAGAGAGAGAGAGAGAGAGAGAGAGAGAGAGAGAGAGAGAGAGAGAGAGAGAGAGAGAGATATATATATATATATATAGAGAGAGAGAGAGAGAGAGAGAGAGAGAGAGAGAGAGAGAGAGAGAGAGGGCCTATATTTATTTGGTCTGTGTTAGGGTAATTTTGAAGTCCGTCTGATATCTTCAAAAAGTGTATTGTCTGATGCTATTCTTAGACCCCTTTAACGAACAGTCTCAGGGGGATCTTTGGCATGCGAGGATGGACAATCATCACACGAGCCGCCGTTTATAGTCCTATCCGTCGGACTCTACCTCCATGTAGACAGCGACACATACCTATACAACCACGGCTACTCGGATCTCCGAGTCTAAGTGTGATAAAATCGCTCATTCTACCTGTGCGCTCACGTGCCAACGACTCGAATAGCGCTAAGGGAACATGACCCGGACAAAAAACAAAAACAAAGGCCGGCAAAGTTATTTACAGATGGTCAGTCCGGAATCGATCTTAATTTTCATTTCCATGACACCTGTGTGAGAACCTGTACAATATGGAACAAATCCACGCACATTTGAGATAGTTCATGTAATTTTGTTGATATGAGGGCGGTGGAGTAAGACTTCTGGATTAGACTACCGTAAGAACTCCAGTGAAATTGCTGTGACCAAATGGTCATATAATTCTGAATACCAAAGAACGGTCATAAAAAATCAACATAAAATTGGTTTAAAACTAGAACTTCAGAAAACGAAATATGTTAAACATGGTCGATATCAGAGTCCGTGTCGAAATTTAATGACTAGATAAAAGTAAACAAACAAACATCAGAGTGACTGAAGTGCGTTGTCACGTATCTGTAAGTGGTCGTGGGGCTATTTTTGAGGGGTCGATAGGACACTGCAACCACATTTATTCGTGTAGCTGGGCCAACGCGTTCAAAATACGGCCTTCAAATTATGTATTTATATATATGGGACAGCTGTCGAGTCTCATTTCGCATGTATACTTATCAATAAAGAAGCCGGGGAATGTTAATGGCAACCTTCCTGTCTATGTATACTGTATCAGGGATGTATACGTCCCTATAACAATATTTTCATCAATTTACACAATGAAGTGCTACTAAATAGTGCGTATTCCGGAATCCATATACAGTACAGTTAGTCTAGCTTTTGCACGTTAGTCGCTCCCTAACCGTCTCTCCTTCAACGCACTGACCCTATACCCTCTACGTAGGATAAGTCCGGTACGACGACGAAATAATCTGTGAATATGAGCGTGGCGTGTCTCAGAGTGAGAGCAGTGTGTCGAGCGGTTGGATACAGCAGACACTTTAGTAGGACGACCGCAGTCAACATGTCGGCGAAGGTAAGGGGCGCGAAGTTTCCAGACAATGCTAAAGTTATGGTATATCTACTCAAGTACAGTATATACTCCTTGTTTTCTTGTCCTGCATGGTAATACCGAAGCCTGTATGTTCGTCCCTGCCGGTATTTCGGTCAGACCAGTGATAACAATGGAGATGAAAGTACATCGATGTGAATATTTGTTTGCACGCAAAATTTAGCGTTTATACTGCGCTGACACATTGTCATTAAATATCGTCTGATAATTCTGCGTTGAGACCTGAAAACATCGCATATGTCAATTACGCAATAATTTTGTGAAGAATTGCTTATTTAACATTGATTTGACATTGTGTCCGCCATTTTGCGATTACGTAATTGACCACGTGTTTTGTCTAGTCTTTTACTTTCATTTTTAAATTAAAAGATAATTAACCATACAAGTGCTGTAATACTACTTGATATTTTTAGAAATGTGTACAATGTATTATAAAAAACGTTCATTGTATATTTTCTGTCTGTTAGGCCTAGCACAAGTGTGCAATTATAAATACATTTTACAACAGTGTATACATTGCAGAAGTGTACAGATATACATGTATACATTGAGATACAAGAAGAACAGCTTTGTCCCAATATTTACACTTTGAAAATCAAAACTCCAAACAATTTAATTATATGAAATGTTAGGAATTGACAGGCACTCACAGTTTGCATCTGATGAATCCACTTGCTGAAAAAAGCAAGTCATTAATTTTTCTACTTGCAATTCTTGGATTTCTACTTGCAAATAGCCAGTAAAAAGCCTTAAATTTAAAGCCTGCTATCTGAAATTATAGCCAAGTATTTTTTTAGGGAGGTCAACATACATATATATAGCTTTGATTGACAAGTTAAATTGCATGGTTGTAGTGTTATTCATGTGAAAATACAATGTATTAAAATTAGTGGATGTTGCAATACACTACGCTGGACTACGTGAGTCCTTCTTAATTTGCATATACACGAATATCTTTTCTTAATGCAAATAAAACAGACCTATTATATTTAGAAATGATCTAAAAGAAACAAAAAGAAAAAGGTTCTATACTTTAAGGTAAATAGACCAGGAGTGAAACACCTCTAGGCGAAAGGGTCTGATTCCAACTCACTTTATGTGGAAAGCGTTTCAACATATTTTTATTTGAGTTTCAAACTGTATCAGATGCCTATTATGGACTGGTAATTGTTTTATGCAATGCAAAACCAGCTGGTGTCTATTGTTACTGTATGATCTTAATGTAACCTTGTTAGTTGTACATAACAGGGCTCTCACACCCCATTTTGGGACTGGGGCCCGGGGCCCTTAGAATTGGGGAAAATAGCAGCGTTTTCCCTAGATTTGGGAAAACTTGGGGTCTAAATTGGGAAAAAAATATACTATTTTGCATTGGGAATGGGGCCAAATATCGGTCCCAAATCTGGCAGATCGAGAGCCCTGCATAAATTTATTTTCTTTGTTTCCTAAGGTTTATTCATTCATATTCTTTGTCAGCTAGATTCTGTAATTGTCTGGGTCATGTGACAATAGCATTACATGGAGGTATATAAGTGAAATTAAAAAAAAAAATACAATGTATGAACTGAATGTTTTAAATTCATGTACGATATTGATTACATACAATCTTCTAAGCATGTTACAACTTGAATTAAGTTTAGGAATAAGTATTTCAACTTCAATTAAATCTGTCTCCAGTATTGAAACACGAGAGTTGCATAAGAAAAACAAAGGAACCCATTTTTTAGCCAAACAACACAGTGGCCCGCCAAGAAGCTTTATATACAAAATATGCTGTGGATCAAAAGCTAGACACATTGTCAATACATGTATAGATATATGATCCCATCAGAGTTATTTCTGGAAAAAAACTGAACCAGTCATTACTGTGATTACCAGACCAGTTTATTATGTAACTACAGCAAGGTAGGGGTATAATAGACATGTTTGTGCTAGATCACTGAAGTTTATCGGTGAGACAAAGTCTAGCACTTGAAATAGACGTTTTCTTCAAACGTCACTTCTGTAACCACTGCCTTATTGAGAAATACTTACTCTGTGTATCATTTAAATTGTGAAGTACTACAGCTATGTGATGATGTGTTTTCATTTTCGCCTTTTTATTTATTTTTTATTTTTACAAATTATTTTTTAAAATGCACTTCCCTAGTTGGTACCATAATACCCTGCCGAGGTTCCCAGGTAACCTTAATGAAAATTCTAGTTCAATATATGTAGTATAGAAAACACAAATTTGCTGATTAGAATGTGTTCATAAAGTATTAAAATAATTAATAACAATATTATTGGAATGTGTATATTTGATTATTATAAACATTTAAAAATTCTTCCTTTCACTATTCTGAGAAAATATTAAAGAAATTTATGTAGAAGCAACATTGCATGTATGTTATTATATCTTGGTGTGTAACCTGTTTTGAAAGTTGTGAATTAACAATACATTTGTGATTTTACAGTAGAATGGCCCTGGTGACCTTAATCTCTTCTGATAAGATATACTTTAGTGGAGAAGTGACATGTGATGATTAATATTTACTTCCTCTTACAAAGTATCCAGTACTTTCTGTGCATGTACACAGTATTCCAGTGAACCAAAACAAATCATGTACCCATAAGGCACACAGGTAGATTTACTACATGGAGTTTTGTTCAGGATTTGTAAGCTTGAAATTTTGAAGTTTTTAATTCAGAGTCAAGTTTTGCAAATAATTTATTAAAAATGCTTAATATTATTAATCACACTGAGTTGTGCATGTACAGTATGTTGTATTTAGCAAGCTATCATAACTGATTTTAGGTCTTGAAACACAAAATTAAATTATGGATGTTTAAGCAGTTACTCTGCTTCAACACACTATGACAATGCTTACTATCAACACTGTTTCAAAGACTGAATTTTGTGCCTAAAGGATTGAGGAAGGTTTCACAAGGAGAAATTTAAAGCTTTTTAGTTTAAATATACCTTTTTGAGGATTTTGAAGCACTTTGAATGTAACAAATTCTCTGAAATGAAATGACTTCATTTAAAATAAGATAAAAACATAGGACAGGAAAAATATCAAGTCCAAAGTCCAGGGGCCAGTAAAAGTGTCAAGTGGAAGGAAGCATTTAAGTGAAAGTGTCCTTTTTATGTTTTAGTACTCGTCAAATATATACATTGATCAGATATTTTTTAAATTTCTGTATGTGTAATACATGTTACATGTTGTTGGTACAGTAATGCACACTGCTATCAGATTTTGTGTTAACATTTTTGGACAAATTCAAAATGATCAACTTGAGACAAGTACATACTTGTCCCAATCACAATCTTCGTCGCCCAGCACATGCCAGTATAATGAATAGGAAAATTTACATAATGATGTGTAGGTGCAGCAGTGTTGCGTCAGTCCAGCTTTAATTCTTGTGGTGTGTATATCTGTATATACAATTTTAACATGTGGGTAGATTTAATAGTATATTGATATATATGATGAAGAACACTTTGCTTTTACTGAATATGTCCCTCATTCTGCATAACAAATACTTTCAATATTAGAATAACCATGCATTTCACATGGGAATGTTAATAATGCCCTTTAATAATTGAAGATAATAAATATGTGTTAAAATCAAGAAATAAAACATTTAAGTAACCTTATATTATACTAGACATTTTACATCTACAAACAATCATGCTGGCATTCTATTCATTAGTTTCAAATCAGATTGATATCTTAAGAAAAGCAAGGTGTGGTATCCGTTTTACATTATACTTAAGTGTTTATATGAATGATGCTTTCTTTTTCTGCTGGTTATTTGCCTATCATGTTCACGGGAAGTGAGATCTTTAAATCATGTCATTGTTTCGTCGTGCACAAACATTGCATCGAACTGGTACTAACTTATTGTCTGTACCCTGTCAACCTTGTGAATCAGCATGCACATATGTGATTCGTGTTAAACTTGATGTTCCAATACAATTCTCTGTGTATAATCACTAAAAATTGAGATGTTTTGTACTAAGTATGGTACTTGAATGTGCACAGATATTACCGGTACTTGAATGTGCACAGACATTACCGTCATTTTGTGGTATGTGGTTGTGATGAATCTAGACAGTTACGGACATATACAAAAATGTAGCAGCACATAAATTAAGTTACTGTCAAATACACAAGCGTTTATATATTGTGCAGTTTCTGATTACACAAGACTATTGTCAATAGTTAGCACTAGTTTATTAGTGATAGGAAGCAAGCTGATTTAACTATATGCTTGATCATTGTTCTTAACACAGACTCACAGTGGTATCAGTGCTCCAGATAACTTTTTGACATGTGGGGTTTTCACTCCTACCTTTATAAATTGAACACAAGTGTATGGGTTTTTCCATATTAGGGTAACACTGAATTTGTAAACATTTTTGACAGCGCCATATTTGCTATGCGACTGGTTTATAATCACGATCAAGAAAGCGCTTGTTACGAGTTTCGTTTACTTGATAAGTGTCTGTTTGACTTAGATTATTGAGTTTTTAATATTGGAGCCGGACATTGACGCAGAGTCCGGATTTCGCACGGGTTAATGACGCAAATCTTATTTTTTTCCTAGCGTGAAATTAGAAATATTGTGCGTGAAAACGCATTCACGCAGGCTATCTGGAGCACTGGTGGTATCTTACAGTTTCTGTTTTTTTATAAACACAAATAGTCATTCTGAATAAATTTTTCCATAACCATGGTAACAGATAGTGTAGAGCAGTTATGGAAATATCTGTGAACTGTGATAATAGTATAAGGATTATGACTACAGATAGATCCCATTTGATTACCAGAGAAAATACACAATCACCAAATATTTACTTATTTGATGAAGATGAAGGTCCAGCACTGACAAGGGATATATTTCGATTTTCTGTGACAAGCCAGCTGACAAACAGTTCTGATACTTGGATGAAATAACACTCACCAGAAGTATTTAGGGTTTTTAAGAAGAATATGTACCAAGATGAATCCCTGAAATGTTAACATTTTATTTGGAATATTACATGACTAGAAAATGTACACCATAAAAAAAATCAGAATTGCATTTTCTCAAACTTGTGGGAGAGGGAGTGAGGGAAGGGGAGAGGAAGGGTTTGTGCTTATAATGGGGCAGTGATTGGTGTTGCTTACTGGTATTATACAGGTGTCAAAGTTTAAGAACAGGTGCACCTAAATATTTCTAAACTTTTGTGAAAAACACTGCACCATGTAATGTATATTGCGTGATTATGCTGTTCCCTCATGTGAATCAGATGTTGAAATATGCAGACATGTATAGATCATGTAGCTGCAACAATTTATAGATTTTTACTTACTGTATGGTTAGTAGAGTGTGTTTACAATATACACTGTACATATGTGAAGTTATGTTACAGGAAAGCATACATATTTATATATAGTCAAAATAGGATTTGATCTAGGCTGTCCTAGATTTATTTCAATACAGCTGTATACAGGTCACCTGTGTTGGATCGTTCTAGGTAATACAAGATCTATTGTCATTTATACAATGGGTTGAATTTCACTGGCTCTGACTGGAGAGTCATACCTGAATGATGAAAGATAATGATAGGTAAGTTTAGTCAGGATTTCTAAATACACAGGGGTGTACCTGTGATATCACCTGATGCCGTAGGATTCTAGACTGTAACTCTACTCCAGTTTAGGCAAATTTTTACTACAGCAAAGCTTGTTTGGTTTTGTGAAAATTGCATTATCTATACTGAATGAGAATGAGAGGTTTTACCGTAATTCCTCTATATGACCTTCCACACCTCTTCTTAGATTTTGTCAAATTAATTTATTCTGTTAGATTTAAGATTATAAAGGCTTAATTGCCCTATTTGGCCCAATCCCTATGTCCAAAAGGGGATCTGATCTACAGTTCATAAGAAATAAAGTCTTCTTCACCGAAAGATGCTTCAGACCAAATTTATACAACATTTTTTCACTACACTACACAACAAAAGAAGACTGATTTAAATAACTTCTTAAATTTGCCCTATTTGATCCCACCTCTCATTCCCTTAAGGATCCAGACCCACTCTCTATAAAGATTGAGTTCCCTTCCCCTAATAATGGTTCAGACCAAATATTGTCAAAATCCTCAGAAACATTTATGACAAACGCTGTGCTATGCCACAAGTTCACTAATGGCCCTTATGATCAGCTTATAATAACTTAGCACATAGTGAAAAATCTGCAGATTAGAAAGAAAGGCCAGATATGACATTGATATACTGTTAAGTTGGTAATATTCATGATGATTTAATTTTAACAGTCAAATTAAAGGTAGCATGAAATTAGATCCCAGCGAACATTTCCATAGTATGTGAAAATATCAGAAAATACCTGATACATCTGTATACATGGACTCTTCAAAATTTAATACCCATTAACGATCCCAAACTGGGACCACTGCAAAATATCAGCCCCGTGAAATTAAACAACCCTAAAGTGTATGATGGTCTGCCAGTGTTTTCCATAAGAGCTGGTCGCCGGCCAGTTGGACCGGCTTCTTTGATCATTTGGCCGCCTACACCAATCCAGTTCCGTAATAATGTTCCGTACATGACTACACATACACGACAGGCCTCCCCACCTTGCCGCGTTGCGGCTCGGGTCAGCTTGCTTCGCCAGCCTCCTACTTTCACTACCCAGCCTACTACTAACAAAATTATGGAAAACCCTGGTCTGCAAATTCAAAAGACATGATTTGCCTTTTCATGGTTAATCTGTTATTATGCAGCTAATGGTTATGATAATGATGATCTCTTACAACAGGCAAATAATACTGGCTTTTGGCTCTGTAGCTTTCTTGCATTAAATTATATCAGTCACTGTGCAGATGGGAGTGGCAACTGTATGTTTAATTTCTTATAAGTGTTACAAGTGTTGTACAGATTAGACTACTGCAATTACAAATACATGTACTTGAAAAATTCTTAGAACTTTGTGAAGTTAATCTTGATCTAAAAAGTAATCATGTAAATTTAAAGTTGTTCTTTGCATCATATTTCGGAGAAAAAAATTCAAGTTCTAGACTTGTGTATATTGATAATGTAGATCTGCATTGTATTAACTGAAGTGACATATCCTGATGTAAAATCTCCTTCCTGTCACTTCCCTCTTCTAGCTGGCCTGATATATGATCATTTTTGAAGGATGTGGTATTTAATGACTTCATTCTCATTGGTCCCCTTGACAATCTACGTCAATATCTTCCTTGTTATAAGATGACAGCTTCCGCTTGAGCTAAGATCTGCGTCGTCATTGTGTTTGAAGCTAAAGATCCTGGTATACATGTTGTCAGAAATACCTAGAAGTAATCGTGTCACTGACTCACAATCTGTCTTCCCTGTAGGAATTCTCAATTTTCATAAAATTCAGAACAAGAACAAAGGAAAGGATAGAAAAGAGGTGGAAAAGATCCAACACATAAAGATCAAACAATTATGGGTGCCAATATCCTTCTGAGAGTTATCTCTTGTAGTGAACTATTTGTCATTGTTGATCTGAGTAGAAGATGCCTGCTTTTTTATATTTCAACTATTTTTACAAGGACATTTTTTTTCTCGTGCTCTAATTAGATGACATTTATTTTCTCACTTATGACTGTCAAATATGTAAGTAGAATGACTCAATCAGCAAAGGAGGAATGGCAGATGTTGATATAACTGTAAAATAATTCTTCTTTTTGAGGGTTTAATTGTCGTTGATTTTGTGGGAACTACAAATTTCTGTCCACGAACAAGTGAAATTAGCATAAGTAGATTTATTGGGCTACAACATTTTCACAAAATCAAATAACTACAAAATTATTTTCAAAAAGCACAAAAGTCGTGCCTGATGAAAAATTTGATTATACAACATCATAGCAATCCCATTTTAACTTTGCAAGGCCAAATTAACAATATATATTAATATGTTTTAAATACATTATATTTTGATAAACTGATACTTTCTCACTAGTTTTTTGTTACATTTCATATTTTGCATTCCTTTTTAATCACCCCAGTTTCGTTCATAAAGTTTAGGTTTAGGTTGTTATTAAAAAAGACAGTAGTAAGAAAAATTTATTCAATTCAATGTTAAAAATGTCATGAATGAAAGCTCTTGTAGAGTCAGCTGGGATAATTTTACATCCAGTGAGGAATCATAATGAAAACCTTTGGTAGACCAAATGAAGAATTTGCCTTCCGAAAAAAGAAAGCTTGCATGCCTGATTTGGTGATATTGACAATACATCCGCCCATGTCTGTTGCAGTTCAGTAAAAATTCTCTCAAAAATAAGGCAAAAATCCCCTTTCTTAAACCAGTGAAGAAAGGCCCTGCAAGTTGTAGCACAGTAAACTCATTTCTTATTTTGAGTATAATGTATATGTCTTGGTCCCTGAGTTGATTTAAATATATGATACCAATAACATGATAATTACGGCAATGTTTTTTGTTCTGCAGGCCTGATATATATATAATACATAAAATATCTAGTTACTTGTTTTAATATCTAGTCACTTGTCTTAATATCTAGTCACTAGTCTTAATATCTATTCACTTGTCTCAATATCTATTCACTTGTTTTAATATCTAGTCACTTGTCTTAATATCTAGTCACTAGTCTTAATATCTATTCACTTCTCAATATCTATTCACTTGTTTTAATATCTAGTCACTTGTCTTAATATCTAGTCACTAGTCTTAATATCTATTCACTTGTCTCAATATCTATTCACTTGTCTTAATATCTAGTCACTTCTCTTAATATCTAGTCATTTGTCTTAATATCTAGTCACTTGTCTTAATATCTAGTCACTTGACTTAATATCTAGTCACTTGTCTTAAGGTAAAGGAAAGATCAGCTGTTTACTGCAGATGTATATAGTTGCAGTGCTCTATGTAACTGCCAGTACAATTTACTTTTTTGGTTCCAGAAACGCCGGCTTATTGATGAATAAATACCAATGTGATTCTATGTGTTCTGCGAGATTAGGTTGTCATGGATCAATTCTTTCTGTTATCCAGGTTGGTGACACTATTCCTGAGGTGGATCTCTTCGAGAATGATCCAAACACAAAAGTGAACACTACAGAAGCCTTTGGAAAAGGGAAACACGTCATTTTTGGTGTACCTGGAGCTTTCACTCCTGGTTGCTCTAAGGTAATCATAGATATGGTCACATATTCATGGAATTAAGAATTCCGTATTGTTCCATTTGATTATCCATTAGGATACAAAGGTTGAAAATTATATATTTATATAATATACAAATGCCCTGTAGAAATCCTACAAAGAAGGACAGTTCCAGTATTATGTCTTGCCTTATGCTTACTGTGTTGTTCAGTGAATATATCCATAGAATAAATTTTTGCAAATTACACATTTAAGTATTATAACTGAATGTCACATAATTACGGATGGCATTGTGACGTAACATTGGAGACCAAAAATGTAGAGCAGACATGACTTAAAGATTGGCATAAAAATGTCAGTTTTCTATAGTATTTGCTTGAAAAATTGATCATGTGATCAAAAGGATATTAAATTTGTTTCCATTTGTCAAAGGCTCGTTTAATGATAATTTTGGTTTCTTCAATTCTTATGCCAAATCATCCTCGATGCTCCAGGGGTTACAATCACTTTTGCTTTCTGCACCCTAGGATTATGTCATGGCAAAATTGAAGGCACAAGCGAAGTAATTCTATTGGTTGCGGAAGAAAAAAACTTAACAATCACAGACTGATACACTTTTAAAGATTACAAAGGAGCAATACCCAACGTCAAAGCCATTACAAACAAAGAACGGTCATGCGACATCGAGATTTGTTTGATTACATCACACGATCAAACTGGTCTTTTCGTCTCGTTGCACACGGGACCCTTAATTTTGCTATTACAAGTTCTAGGGGTGCAGAAAGCGAAAGTGATCTTAACCTCTGGGGTATCTAGGGTGATATCAAATGGAAAATAATGTAAGATTCTATATGTTTTTGATGTCAATATCAATTTGTGTGATGTTTCATTTCAGACACATTTGCCAGGATTTATCAAGGATTCGGAGATGATGAAGGGCAAGGGTATAGATTCTGTGTGCTGTGTATCTGTCAATGACCCTTTTGTCATGCAAGCCTGGGGTGAAAATCAAGGAGCAACGGGCAAGGTAGCAAATCCATTTTAATATAGATACACATAGTGGGGTGGCGTAGCTATGATTATGTGTATTTTGTACTAAATGGGCACACATGAGGAATGGTAGAAATAATTCAATTACTGAGGAAAATCTGTGTCATTATATAGCTATCATAGGCCGAGGAGGATACACAGTTGAATCAGCTGTTAACCAAATTGGTCAGTGCTACATGTGTTCAAAGGTATTAGAATTTTTGAAAATTTTTAGGGCATCATTACGATATATTGAGTTTTTCAAATTACCTGGTGACGATGGTCTTCTTTCTGTCCATCCATCTTTAAATGAACAACTTTGTTAACACTATTACTTGAGGTATTTAGATGATATTTCTGAATCGTGATAAGTAAGTTCCCCTTGATGCCTAGTTGTGTCTGTTGACTTCGTAGACTGATTAGGAAAACATGGCCAACAGGCAGCCATCTTTGATTTTGACAGTTGAGATTTGTTTTCTCTTCCTTGAGAAATATTGGAAGGGTATTTCTGAAACAGTGATGGTACCTCTTGATCCCTATTTTTACATATTCTAATATATGTGATCAGGAAAGCAAAGTGATGACCATCTTGGATTTTGACTATGAAAGTTTGTTATCGCTACTATTTGATGTACTGGATGAATCTTGAATTTCCTGTTCCAATTTGATTTTTGAGACAGATCAGAAAAACTGAATTGCCAACTAGTAGCCCGCTTTGATTTCGAATATGCAAGTTTGTTGTTGCTATTTCTAGAGAAATTTTGAAGGGATTTCTCTCGGATTTCATTTGTAACTTTTCCATTGGTCCCTAGTTTGTTTCGGTTTCAGAAATGATTACGAAAGCAAAATGGCCGACAGGCAGCCATCTTGGATTTTTTTTACTAGTAGGTTAGTTATAGCTATTTGTAAGAATTACTGAATGGATCTTTCTCAAATTTTATATGTAGTTTTCTCTTGGTTCCTAGTTGTGCCCTTTTGATTTTGAAACTTAGTGAGAGAGAAAAACCGGAGCTGACATGCAAGCATCTTTGATTTGGCAGTTAAAGATTATTAGTATTATCATTTTCTGAGTGGAATTTCTAAATTTCATAAAATTAAGAGCAAAAACATAAAAGATGCAAAAAGAATGGAAGAGATCCATGGAAGAACAAATGATGGGTGCTAAGATCCATCTGGGGTCTCTTGTTTTTTAGTCCCTCACAAAAACTGAGAACTATAGTTTGGCGTTATGTCAATCAGTACTTCTGTCCATCTTCTGCTTTCTTCTCTGGTTTCTATTTCCAACATTACGTGTCACTGGAACTTCATACTTTGGGTATGGGTTCACCTTGGTGAGATGTAATGTATTAAAAGTAAGTCAGAGTAAATTGTAGGTCACTGTGACCAAGAGTTTGACTATTGACCTACAAAAGGGAAAAAAGTTGTCTGGGGTCCATTTCCTACACTTCTTTTTACTGCAACTTTGTACTATATGTACAAGTGTAGCTTTGTGTTGCAGTGTGTTTGGTGACGGATGCCAAATTGTCTTGTAATTTAAATTATATTTCAAAAACATGATTTTTTTTCACAATTGGCCAAAGAATAACTGTTGGACATATATGTATGCAGTACTACAATTTGTATAATGTTCTTTTTTTTTTAATTTTTCAAACAGGTCAGAATGCTAGCAGACACCTGTTGTGACCTGACTAAAGTAAGCATTTTCTTCCTTTGTAATCAGCCAAAATGGTGAAAATTTGGTTCTCTTCAAAGTACAGATTGATATAATTTTTATTTTATCACACCATATTTCAGCCGATCTTTAAAGACAATTATTCTGGTAAAAGTGAAGTCATATGAGACTGATATTTTTTGTCTGCAGAAACTGGGCTTTGAATTGGATGCGACAGGTATACTGGGTAATGTTAGATGCAAAAGGTAGGTATTCTTTACTTCTTATGACGGCAATAATAGCTGGGTAATTTTTTGGGTAATGTTGATAATCAGGACAGCTGTTTTGGGTAATGATGATAATCGGGACAGCTGTTTGGGTAATGTTGATAATCGGGACAGCTGTTTTGGGTAATGTTGATTATTGGGACAGCTGTTTTGGGTAATGTTGATAATCGGGACAGCTGTTTTGGGTAATGTTGATTATTGGGACAGCTGTTTTGGGTAATGTTGATAACTGGGACAGCTGTTTTGGGTAATGTTGATAATCGGGACAGCTGTTTTGGGTAATGTTGATTATTGGGACAGCTGTTTTGGGTAATGTAATGATCGGGACAGCTGTTTGGGTAATGTTGATTGGGACAGCTGTTTTGGGTAATGTTGATTATTGGGACAGCTGTTTTGGGTAATGTTGATAATCGGGACAGCTGTTTTGGGTAATGATGATAATCGGGACAGCTGTTTTGGGTAATGTTGATTATTTAATGGTTAAAATTGACAGAATATAAACGAATACAGGGTTAATGAAACAATTCAAAAGTTATATTAAGAGGTTTCTATAATAAAATAAAACTTACTGAAACTATAAAGCATATTGATGATGATAATGCTGCTGTTACATTGGTATATAGTGATAAAAAATATATTTAAGGAAATAAAGCTGGAGTTCAAGATCAACGGGACATCTTTCTGTATGCCTGTAAGAGTTATTGCCCTTGGCATGGCTCAATTCCAGTAGTATATTATACTGTTGTTAAAAGGTACTTACTATGTATGTGGCAAATATTTTCAAATTTACAGACCTTTGATTCGACCTTCTGTAGTGACATTGTCATCATATACCACAGTAAGTGTCATATTCTTTATATTCTTCACACTTTTTCTGTTCTCTCAGTAATAAAATCCAATTTATGTTGCAGGTTTTCAATGGTTGTGAACAATGGAAAGATTGAGGTTCTGAATGTAGAACCGGATGGTACAGGACTTACCTGTAGTCTGTCTTCCAAACTGTTGGCCGAATAGGGTAACCTGTCCTAAAGGATCCGTAAAAAGACCTGTTGGGTCCTATACAGGACTGTATGCATGATTATGTAGGACCTGGAAGTGTAATTGTAATGTCATGTGACACAGCTTTACATGTACATCTTCATTTTATGCAGTCTTTATAGGGTATATATAATGCCCTTGTTTGTTGACATACTATTTTGGACTCATTTTATAACTTTTCCACAATTTTTTGTTTTGAAGTTTTAATGAAGTGCCATTTTTCTTTCTCTACCAGACTGACTGGTACTAGAAGAAAAATAAAGATAAATTTTTATTAAATTCATGTTTTTGAGATATGTAGAAAGTGTTAATAGGTGTTTTTTTTGGTGGGGGGGGTGGGTGGGAGGGGGTCGCGATTGGTAGGAGGAGAGGGGATTTAAGTAAAAGTGTAGTCAATAAAGCCAATTATGCATATAATCACTATTAACATAAACCGAGTTTGATTGTTTGTTGAACAAGGAAGAAAAATAATAAGGACAAGTAATCATAAGTGTTATTGAATAAGGTACATTTTGTAGCAAGGATAATGCCTAGTCTATTTTATAGTATTAAAAATGTGAATATTATGAAAAGTGAATTTAATGCACAATATTGCCATGTCTTGTAATCTTTTCAATACAAAGTTAACTTGATGGAGTGCTTGTTTTGGGTACAATTAAGACATAGAATCTCGCTTGTTAACGATGGTAGTGTCCTCTACATTGGACTATAAATACTGACTTCTGTGTTCACCTCAGAAGGTAAATCTATTGTTTAGAGACCCCTTTTCAAAAGGTAGTATTATTTTACTGTTGATACAGTTGGTGTTTTTTTTAATTAATATGGATTATAGAAAAAAAGATGTTGCATATTTTTTTCTTAAATTTTTTTTGAAAATTTCATATGAGAACCTCACCTGCAACGAAACATATAAGAAGCTTATTGCACCCTATTCCTCAAGGCATTGTATGCTCTGAAAATTTGAAAATATCTGATTTACAAAAAGAAGTTATTTTGATAAAGCTACAGTTTATCTTACTGGTTAGATAAATCATACTTTTGTGTGCTTATGTTTAAAATGTTGTTACATATTGGTGAATGTAGTGCTTGCTTTATGTGGAGTTTCAGAGATAACACAGCATTATTATAGAAAGTCAGATAAAACCTGGGCTCACTCTCAACCACTTTTCTCAGTTTCCATGATTTATGTATTAAATACTCGGTCTTGCATATCTGTATCTGGAAGAAATAGGTTTTGTTTTTACTTCAGAATTACACGGGCAAGTGGTGGACTAATTTTTGTGTGTCAAAAGAATAAAAACAGATGAAATACTCAACCAGTTGTCAGTTTTAATCTCACCTGGCCGAAAGGTCTGTCTGTGGTCTGTCAACTTTTTCTACATAGTGCTACTAGTTATGAACGACTGAGGGGATTTTAACCACATTTGGTCAGAAGCATTCTTAGCAGAATGGGAACATATTTTGTATAAATGGTGTGTCCCAGGACCTGAGGGGCGGGGTCCAAAAAGGGACAATCTGCTAAGAATTCTTGAGGAGGGGAATGAATTCTCTTTTTATACGCCTGTCGAAAGACCGACGTATTATGGTATGGTGCTGTCCGTCTTTCCGGCGTCCGTCGTAAACTTTTATTTGTCCGGAAATCACCTCCTACATTTTTCAGGCGATCTTTATAAAACTTGGTATGCTTAATCACCATGATATGGAGTTGTGCTTTCCTGAACGGGGTATTAATTTGGTGATTTGAACAAGAGTTATGGCCCTTTGTTTATTTCACTATAGAAATCTTGTCCGGATATCTCCTCCAACATTTTTCAGCCGATCTTTATGAAACTTGGTAAGCCTAATCACCATGATATGAAATTGTGTTTTCCTGAATCGGGTTTTGATTAGACGATTTGAATAAGAGTTATGCCCCTTTGTTTATTTCACTATAGAAATCTTGTCCGGAGATCTCCTCCAACATTTTTCAGCCGATCTTTATGAAACGTGTTAGGCTTAATCACCATGATATGAAATTATGTTTTCCTGAATGGGGTGTTGATTAGACGATTTGGATATTCACGGGCGTATTTTGTTCCGCTTTGCGGTACTGTTGTTTATAACTGTTAGGTTTCTGCCACCTGAGGATGGGGTCAAATTGGGGGAAATAAGAGTAAATTCTCAAAATTCCTACTCCTCCTGTAGACTTGGGAAGCAAAGTTGATAGGAATTTAACAACATGTCAGGCGATCAAAAGCCAAAGTACATGTTCTTAGGTCAAATAAGTTTCAAGGTTAAGGTCAAATTTGTATAAACACTGTAGAGCAAAATTGTTTGGAATTAAACATGGAGTCAATTGTCAAAAGGACATGGTTCAAGGTAAGAAGGGTAAAGGTCAAACTGATTGACATTTTGTTATTACGTTGTGAAGCGTAGTTTGTCCGAACTAAAGAATCGGTCAACTGACCAAATGTCAACCTCGCTTGGTTTGACCTTTTGGTCCAAACGTCAAGGACAAAATGGATCATAATTAAACAAGAATAGGCAGATGATATCATGATGATTATGGGTGTATACAGCAATATGATGTGCTCCTTGACGACTTGTAAGTGTTCTCTCAAAAGTAAGAAGAAAGTATGAGAAATGTGGGAGGGGACATATTTGCTTCTTATAGCTATAGCGCATGCGTCGTTATGAGGTTTGAGGCTGGTACCCGTGAAAAAAACTAGTTTGTATCACCAGATCGACAAAACGATAGCGTCGTAGATCTTTAAGAAACCGTAGGTATAACAATAAGTGATATTCTAGTATGTAAAGTGCCACACATACTCGATATTCCAGGGGTTGCGATCTCTGCACCCCAGGAACATGTCATGGCAAAATTTAAGGTTCCATGTGCGGCACTTTTTGGACAAAACGAAAAGATTAGTTTGATCCTTTGATGTACATCAAACGAATCTCGAGGTCGCATAACAGTATATTGTAAGGGCTTTGCATTTTCAAAAAAAGGTTTCATTCTGTGAATGGTCAGTTTTTTCTCCTAGAACCAGTCAAATTACTTTGCATGCTCCAAGGGTGCAGAAAGTGAATGTGATCGTAACCCCTGGAACATCGAGAATAAGACGCAATCTTATAAAATGAATACCCAATATAATGGCGATATCTAAATTTTATAAATTAACAGGCTTTTAAAAACTCATCGTCGACAACAGTTAACTGTCATCTTGTCAAAAAAGCTTCATTCACCCCGTTGATGCTTGGACAGAACTTTTTCGAGAATCTCTCTAATGGCCATAACTCTGCCAACCGGCGTATTGTTAAATCCCTGCAGTAATCCTCCTAGGTGCCATCGAAATGAGAAAACGTGCGATAAGTAGCAAATAAACAAGTATATAGAAGTCTGCAGACGAGATGTTCCGTTAATAGCATGTCTGAAGACTTATTTGGGATTTCAGATTCAAAAATGATAGGGCAGTTATTTGATCCGCCTTTACGTATAATTCATGATATCGGCGTGTGTTCCTGTAAGAGGAACAACAGTTATGACTATGGGAAGATTTATAGTGAAAGGTGTCGGCCCATCTGATATATTGTTTTCTGCTCGGTAACGTATCATCAGTATGTCTAGAAGTTTCTCTAATGGGTCCGTTTGAGGAATTAAGCCTGTTTATGTTTGACTTTTTTCGATCACTTTGGATTCTCCTCTGCCGTTTCCTACTCTTAGGTATAAAACTCGTGCCCTTAGCATATCATTGGCGAGTCCTAGATGGACGAAACAAGTTAAAGTATGCATCAAAGCTCTGTTTCAACTAAGATAAATTTATCTTTTGTACAATTTTCGTTATTTGTCCTGTAACGATCTATGTTGCAAATTACGTGTGACTGTTATTCTTGGAAAGAAAAACTGAACTGTCTAAAGGTCCTGGCTTATGTCATTTTTAGCCACAAGGTGCCGCACATGGAACCTTAAAGCTTGCCGTGAGATGTTCCAGAGGTGTAGAGAGCGAAAGCTATCGTAACCCCTGGAGTATCGAAAATGGAGATTATACGGATCAATTACAAATTAATAGTTGTCTATAAACCCATTGTTCTACAGACCTTGTAATAAATTGATCAATCATGCTCCCATATGTCGCGTTTCGTGTATAAAGCTTAGAATGTTCGATTCCCCTCTTTCGATAACGAAGCTTATGGAAGCGATAAAAACGACGAATCTGTTCGATTTTGGAGGTCGTCGATAAGCCTAAAAATGTGTGCTTAACGAACAGAGGTTTGATGAGGACACATCGGGTATTGTATTAAAAGGCCATTAAGTATGGCGTTATTGTGTGATTCTTATCAACAACACTGACTTGTTGACGAGAAAACAATGCTATTCCGTGATATACTAATTGCAAAAGTAAACATATATCGAAGTTAGAGATACAATTTTCAACGCAGAAATAAAAAAAAAATCACACATATACTTGGTATCATTGAAACATTCATTGCAATAGCTAATTACACTAAATCATTTGTTTATATTGTTTAACGTGCTATCAACAGCAGTGGTCAGTTAAAGACAGCCTCCCGGTGTCTGCGATGTGAGTGCATGTCATTTAAAGACAGCCTCCCGGTGTCTGCGATGTGAGTGCATGTCATTTAAAGACAGCCTCCCGGTGTCTGCGATGTGAGTGCATGTATTGAGTGTGTGTTTTTGGAGGCTGTTATATGTTTATGTAAGACATATTTTGATGGTACGGAACTGAAGCCGTCTTTATTGTGTACCACACTGAAGTATACTGCCGACGGCCTCCAGCAGGACACGCCGCTCGGTAATATCACACTGACAACGGGCAAATCAGTCGTTACACTGTCACAATGCCGAATGTTAAGCAGGGAATAATAACTTCCATTTTTAAAGACCCTGATATATCTTTACCCGGAAATAAAACCCACAATGTCACAGTAGCGAACGCTAAAGGCCAAAAGTGATGCGGCGTCAAGGGAAACACTATAGAGAAATTTAGTTGACTCTTACGATCACTTAATGGGATCAACAGGTAATATTCTTAATTACACTCTACCTGCGCATTCAATAACCAATCAAATGACGCGATATAAAAAAATAAACAAAACAAACAAACAAAAAATTAACAAGTTGTAAAATTTACCTTTTATGTCTCCGGATCTAAAGATCGAGTGCACATTTTTTGTGCTGTTTGTTTGTCTGTTGTCAACTTGAACATTGCCTTCAACTATTGCACCGTAAGAGGTAGGGCTTTCATTTTTGGCATATGTATTCCCTGTGACAAAACCTATCCAGTGGTACCGATAATTTTAACCATGTGACCTTGACCGTGAATTTTGACCTACATTTGAAAAAAAAAACATCGGCCATAACTATTGTATCATAAGAGGTATTGCTTTAATATTTGGTCATGTGATTTTAGTTTGTTGAAACTGGGGGGCATACTATTTCATAAACACATTCCGTTTTAATCGCATTTACTTTTGCAACTTTTGTATTTTCAACGTTGCTAATTATGTTTTTTGTTATCAACAAATACATCTACCAATTCTCCGCTCTAAAAGTGATAACCAAATCTGTCTAGATCCCAGTGGACAATTTCTTTGTTTGCTTTGGAAACCTATACTGCTGTCTGATTATACACCGCAAATATATGACGTATCAGTTTTATGTCACCGCCATGAAATCACCAGAGCAGACGTATTGCCCTTTAGCCGCCATTCCTTCACTCCGTCATTATTTCGTTTTTGCTCATTTTCTGTCTGATGGACAGATTTATTGAACAGTTCTACAGCGAGTAGAAACACAACAAGTTATTTGGTTTCCGTCACCTTTTTCCACCCAAAGTAATGCTCTTTGAATGAAGATAATGATGATAATTATAGTAAAAACAAACAAACAAACAAACAAACAAACAAACAAATCATCAGTTTCTGCCCATTTTATCCGAGCTGGTTCAACTATTCATTTAGTATTGGTCTTATTTTCCCTTAGCTATGACAGCAGGCAAATGGACTTTTAAGATTTTAAGAACTTCTCGAAAAATTTCAGTGTTCGATGGGAACAGTGATTTGATAAATAGCTTTATTGTGTACGCTTAGTAAGCTTTAATTTATCTTTGGTCAAGAATCTCCTGTCACAGTTTGAAATACGTAAATATAGTATATTTCTATGTAACCAAAGGAATTTCGAGACAAATATCAACACTTGTTTGGAAGTATATATTGAAGTATAAGTTCTCTCTATGATTGATATTACTGAAAACACCTTTTTGTGTGTTAATTCGTTGCATATTCATTTATAGCATTTTATAAGCTTTGATGTTCGGATTTAATGAAATCGTAATATCCTGTTGTATGCTTGGTCGAAAATTCATCCGAGCATCTGGTGTAAACTGATTGATAACGACGAGTTGAATTTGTCTTCCCTTACTTGTTTCATCGCAAGTTAGAACGATTGGGTGCGGATAAAGCGATGAACCAAATATATCGTTGTATTAACGATACACGATTTGAACACGGCCAATTCTTTGTGAAGCAACAGACGCTTACTCTTCCGGAACTTGCGGTATTATTCTCCATTTTTTGTTTTGTTTTGGTTTTTGTTGGGTTTTTTTTTGCAGGAGTCTCGTTCTTTTTATTCATAATTTGCCTCAGTTGTGTTGACTTTGAATTTTGAAAAGGATTCTGTTGACATATTGGTATTTTCTTTGTTGTTTTTGATGTGTTCAATTCTCGTTAGTACGCATGGTGGTTTTGTTGTTAAGGAAATGTGATTGTGATTTGTATCACTTGGATTTACCAATTTACTCTTCCGAAACGCCTGGTCGTATTATTATTATATTTTTTCCCGAGTTTCCAAATGAATCCTCTTTTGAACATGTTTCATGAACACAAGTTTTTTTTTTTTTTTTTTTTTACATTTTAATAATCAATAATCTATCCCTGGTCACCAAATTGTTCATTTAATTCCTTTTTCATGAATCAGCAGTTAATCCGCCTGTTTAAACATCCCCGCCACGTGTAACATGGTATCTCATTCCGGCCGTATTCCACTGTGATGCTGATGTAACCCGTCACTGGCGTGATGTAGCCGAAGATGCGGAAAGCTGACTGCCATGGCTGCGTATGTATACTTAAACAATCAGAGGTGCTGACAGACGAAACAAACAGACCATTATTTACAATCGAGGAATCACCAGTGAAACCTGCGAATCATTTCACTGTAGTTATTATATGTTAATTTTGTTTTACTTTCATATAAATTTGCTGACATCAACAGTGCAATAATCCTTAAACCCATCTGTTCGTTTTGCGCACAAAAGTTGTTTTATCGCTATGTACTCTTATTGGAACGTTTCCAAATTTTACTTAATAAAGAAAATATTTTTGGTTTAGGTTATAATCGTCTGGTAATTCTTCCCGAGACGATTTCATTGAGAGCTTCAAGTAATTAATTGTTTCCAGGCAAGGAACAGAGATATACAGTATGGAAATTATCAGACGTTTGGAGATAATGTTTGGATATCCAGTCTGCTCAGCCTCCTCTTATAACGATATTTGCTGGCATGAATTGAGATGTATGGACACAGACATAGACAGTTTCTGCTTCATGTAAATATTCTTAAAGGCGAACAATGCCTACATTTTTGTAAAGAAATCAATGCTCGAATATATTACAAAAAATACTTATAGTTTGTGATTCATTTTAATGTGAAGTTCGTGAAATACTCAGCTAACTTTAAGAATAACTCTATTTTTTAAAAGAATTACATTTGTATTTTCATGATGTGTCATTTGATATTCCGTATTTATAACACTTTTTCGAATGTTACTTAATTTCAATATTTCAAGCATCATTGTCACAATATTTCCTTGCTTTGTAATCGTTACCATTGTTTCGGCGTTCGATGCATTGATGTATATACCTTATCCAAATATTCACATTTGCTAGCAAACGTTTGTCTACACAAATAATTCAACGTCCTAAATGTTTACGACTTTTGTGCTGACGAGTTTGAGAATACTTCGAAATGTGTAAAAAAAAAAAAAAAAAAAAAAGCTTTATTAAATATTGTATAATGAATACACTCAAATGCCACGCATCTCGCTTTAAAGATGTTCTTTTACTATGGTTTCGTTTGTAGGCACGGTTGTTTCGTTGAGAACGTGGCATTGCTTAGGTTGACCTTCGCCATTGCGTAGTGTTATAAGTCCGGACCTGGCCTATCCGGTATTGTATCTTTCCGTGTGTTAGTGGTCTGAACGGCTCACTTCCGGGTTTGGTGTGAGTCAACGTTTTGTACACATGGTCTCCTATTCTATTTACTAGCGCTGAAAGAAGAAGGCGGATACCCTCTCAGAACACCTCGTTCTGTTATTTTTTTTTTTATTTTGTCAAAGATCTCCATCTCTTTTTTATCCGTATTTGTTTGTTAAGATTTTGAGTTAGAATACAAAATGATCTATCAAACGTCTGTGACTTTCAAGCTTTGACATGATGTCGACATTTGGTATCTTCCACGAAATCTATGTAGTTTCGTCTTCAGTAATTTTCTCGGATTGTGTCTTTACAAACTACGCACTGTATTAATCATGCTTCAGAGTGCTGTCTTTTGAAATTGTGTTATTAATCTTCCTGTTTTTCAGGATCTCTTGCAGTCAAATCCATTGTAGAAGACATATTTTTGCGTCTGTTTGTAATTGTTATATATCCGAAAATGTCAAATAATTTTAATCGTGATATGTCGCCCACAATACGATACATACAAAACATGTACAAGTTGACAGATACTTAATCTAGACACATTTATCGTTTATAAACGATTCATTTCCTTCAAATCTTAAGCACTTTTATCCACCGCCTGCACGTCCCTTTGCAATCGTCTGCTAAACTGCTGTAGACTGATGTGCGACGGATGATGTCCAGTTGTTGCAATGTATTGCTGTATAAATCTCACACTTACTTTTCAAATGTCAATCACGTGAAAACTTCGTGACAATATCGATTACATAATGCAACAATGTTGAAAATTATCGCTTGGCAACCTCGCAAATTCATATAAACTGATATCATTATTTCTATTCTGAACGTCTGGAGCGATGATCGTAAATATTTGTTTCCACATCAATAATTCGTGAAATGCCAACGAGTACTGATAAGTTTATCTCTTGTCTTGTTTTAGCTGATATCGGAAACAAAAAAAAAAACAAAAAAAAAAAAAAACAAACAAACAAAGCAAAGTGTCATATGAACATCGTAGTTTATATTAGGTCAGTATATATTTCAAATCAAAACGGACGCTTCCTGGATTAGGATGTCTACGGAACGAGACAGACGTCACGCGTGTGAAGGGTACAGACATCGGCTTGACGAGAGAGGCTTTGTATCGGGTCTGCCTACGTATATCAGTTCTGTCCGTGTGTTTGTCTAGGACAGAAAGATCTATGCCCGTTCCGTACTAGAGCGGCCGTTGAAAGTAGTAATGATAACGGAATAATTCTTTTATTAGACAAAATACAACCAGTTAGAATGATAATGAAAATTGTGTATTTTATATTGGTTTCGTGCTATAGATCAGATATCTTTAATCATGACTAAATTATATATATTTATCATTAAAAAAACAACGAAAAACAAGATTGTTTAAGATCATTAGTATCGTTTGCGAAAATTGAAATAACTCTACGCGATCTACATAAATAACAATTTTGCCCTTTACAGGTCTAGAATCCGAACAGCGTACAAATGCATCTATAAATACTTGTGATAAAAAACAAGACAGTGCAGGTATTTTTGCTAAGGAAATGAATTATTACTAACTGTTGTGTTTTATTTTTGACTTAGTTTACGCCCACGTAATGTGATCGATGTCTTAAGGCATTGCAATTGGAAAACCTGTCGTCATTGAAAACATTTGAAACATGCCCTCGAACTTTAATCGAAGATACAAGCTACTTGAATACTTTAAGAGGAGAGGCATGTACACCTGTAGTTTCAATCCCCTTATTTGTATCGTTCAGTGCATCTAAAACCCTGTGACTAAACGTATACAACTATCGGCTTCACAAACGACAACAGTTTACATGATCATCCAGCCGGTTTCACTCCTCTTAAATTTGACAAATTATGAGCCCAAAACATATTCTTTACACCGATATGTACTCAAATACAGGACGTTATGATTTGAAGACTAACAAAAAGACCCCTTGTGAAAAAGAGAGTGTTTTAGGATATGACGTCAAATTAAAGACCTTACGATTTCAGGATTTCAGACCTTCCATTGTGTTTCAAGAGATGATTTATAGTTTATAATGGTCTGTTAGGCCATGCAGACTTGAACTGACCCTTATGTAAGCGGTGGTCTGTTAGGCCATGAAGACTAGAACTGACCCTTATGTAAGCGGTGTTCTGTTAGGCCATGAAGACTAGAACTGACCCTTATGTAAGCGGTGGTCTGTTAGGCCATGGAAACTAGAACTGACCCTTATGTAAGCGGTGTTCTGTTAGGCCATGGAGACTAGAACTGACCCTTATGTAAGCGGTGGTCTGTTAGGCCATGTAGACTAGAACTGACCCTTATATAAGCGGTGTTCTGTTAGGCAATGGAGACTAGAACTGACCCTTATGTAAGCGGTGGTCTGTTAGACCATGGAGACTAGAACTGACCCTTATGTAAGCGGTGGTCTATTAGGTCATGAAGACTAGAACTGACCCTTATGTAAGCGGTGGTCTGTTAGGCCTTGGAGACGAGAACTGACTGTTATGTAAGCGGTGGTCTGTTAGGCCATGCAGACTAGAACTGACTGTTATGTAAGCGGTGGTCTGTTAGGCCATGCAGACTAGAACTGACCCTTATGTAAGCGGTGGTCTGTTAGGCCATGTAGACTAGAACTGACCCTTATGTAAGCGGTGTTCTGTTAGGCAATGGAGACTAGAACTGACCCTTATGTAAGCGGTGGTCTGTTAGACCATGGAGACTAGAACTGACCCTTATGTAAGCGGTGGTCTATTAGGCCACGCAGACTAGAACTGACTGTTATGTAAGCGGTGGTCTGTTAGGCAATGGAGACTAGAACTGACTGTTATGTAAGCGGTGGTCTGTTAGGCCATGTAGACTAGAACTGACCCTTATGTAAGCGGTGGTCTGTTAGGCCATGCAGACTAGCACTGACTGTTACGTAAGCGCTGTTCTGTTAGGCCATGCAGACTAGCACTGACTGTTATGTAAGCGGTGTTCTGTTAGGCCATGCAGACTAGAACTGACCCTTATGTAATCGGTGGTCTGTTAGGCCATGTAGACTAGAACTGACCCTTATGTAAGCGGTGTTCTGTTAGGCCATGGAGACTAGAACTGACCCTTATGTAAGCGGTGGTCTGTTAGGCCATGCAAACTAGAACTGACCGTTATGTAAGCGGTGGTCTGTTAGGCCATGGAGACTAGAACTGACCCTTATGTAAGCGGTGTTCTGTTAGGCCATGAAGACTAGAACTGACCCTTATGTAGGCGGTGGTCTGTTAGGCCTTGGAGACGAGAACTGACCCTTGTGTAAGCGGTGTTCTGTTAGGCCATGGAGACTAGAACTGACCCTTATGTAAGCGGTGGTCTGTTAGGCCATGCAGACGAGAACTGACTGTTATGTAAGCGGTGGTCTGTTAGGCCATGCAGACGAGAACTGACTGTTATGTAAGCGGTGTTCTGTTAGGCCATGCAGACGAGAACTGACTGTTACGTAAGCGCTGTTCTGTTAGGCCATGCAGACTAGCACTGACTGTTACGTAAGCGCTGTTCTGTTAGGCCATGCAGACTAGCACTGACTGTTACGTAAGCGGTGTTCTGTTAAGCCATGCAGACTAGCACTGATACTTGTGTTCAGGAGCGATGGTTTGTGAGGCCATGTAGTGTAGAACTAATCCATGTGTAAGCGGTGGTTGGTATGGCTTTGAAGAGTAAAACTGATCGTAGTGAAAGCACTGACATGTGAGGTCTTTTTTAATCAGACGTAGGAACAGGGTATGTAATCTTTAGTGATTTGATTGTGGCTTTTATATAGATAAATATAGGGATGACTCAATCAACAGAATATTACATATCAGACAGACGATCCGATCTACAGCTGATTGTAAATGATGACACGTTAATGCCAGTGTAATGGCAACGACCAACCTCCCAAGACGACATCGTGATAATACCTATCGAGGTTGGTATAGTTGGATAACTCCAATTTATTAATGGAGAAAGTAAAAATTTTACTTATGAATATTTCAAAGCAAAAAAAAAAAAAACTACACACTATATTTTTGTCTAAGAAGTAAAAAAAAAACATCTTTTCAATAAATAATAAATAATAGCTGGGTGAAATAACGTTATAGTGGACATTACTGTACATTAAATATACTATGTGTAAGAACGACACATGTATTTATTTACGTTCGAAAACTATTAAACAATAAATAAACAAAACGTTTATTAAATAGAATTTCTAACGTAGTTTAAGGGTTTAGTAAAATTCAAAACAGCGTCTGACACAGTTTAAGGGTTTAGTAAAATTCAAAACAGCATCTACCACAGTTTAAAGGTTTAGTAAAATTCAAAACAGCGTCTGACACAGTTTAATGACAGAGCTGACATTGGCTTTGATGATGTACCGGGTCAATATAAGGTCATTTTCCGTCACTGTTTTCTGTTGCCTGTATGTTTTCTTGCTGTCTAACTCGCAACCATTTGGATGGAAAATCAAACATAACGATGAAACTTACAATACTAATTCATTCTCTTGAACTGATACATCTAGGTCTAACATGGCGTAAAGAAAAAATCACTGTTAATTAAATTTACTTATTGTATTTACAAATATTGACTTCAGGATTTAAAATCATTAACATCAAATAACGTCAAAAGGAAATGTACGTCTGTGAGTTATCTGATCTTCCCAAAACAAATATTAAATTATAATACATTGCCTAGAGCTACAATAAGGAAATAATGTGTACTGCTTTGTCGATAAAAATATGTTATTCACGATGTCTTGCGAAAATCAAATCAGTTCAGATCAATTGACAAACCTTCCATGTTTTCTTTCACATCATAATAACCCATTTAATATTTACTAAATCATTTTTTTCGGGAGATAATTTGGCATGGTTGTCATAGTTTAATGGTTGCAAACGCCAAAATAATCTTGAAAGACATTGTAAATCTCTAATAGGGCCTAAGTCGAAACCACTTAACAAATCATTTCTAGGCCAGTTTCATTTCCTTCAAAGGTCAAAATCTTTCATGTTCTGATGCAGAAAATCTCAGAAACGATTAAATGTAAGTTATTGTGGATTTGTGTATAATGTACGTTTACTGCAGCTACAAGTAGAATTGGTATGTATCACTGTTTTCAGTGATACAAATGTATAATTTGTTTCGGGAAAAAAATCGTACAAAAATACATCAAAATACAATTTTATTAAATTCTTAATACCACGTAACATCAACTTTTCAACAGTCACTGCTCATTGTATATTTTCAATATATTCTCTGGTTTAATCTTTCTTCAGTGGATAATACGTACAGCACGTTTGAACTCATCAATATACATATAAAAGGCGACAAATTTACAGTAATTGACACAGACAACACATTATCACATCTAATTTCCGCATTGACTAGAAATCACACCAAATATAGAACATAGAGATATCTAAACCAACTGGAGACGTGATATTAACCAACGATAAGCTAGTATTGAAAAAACAACAACAGAATGCTTGATTTGTTTGCTTCCTCACCAACAATTAGAGACGTGATACTAATCACTGCTCAGCTAATACTGAAACAAACGACAGCACAATGCTCGATTGGTTATCCTTAAATTCATCCATGGTTACTTATCAGAGCTAGGCTAGATAAATACGAAATTCAGCTGTAAGTCACTTTTTTATAATTATACTTTATTATTATTGGTGAGAAAATTGATTGAGATAAAAAGTGATATAAAAAATGTTATGTTTTATCGTTGTAAACATGTGTAAAATGACCAAAAATTGCAAATATTACATTTTTGAAATTACGCATAAATATTTCTTCATGGAAGGATTAATTATCTTACATATTTTGTTCAATCTCGTAGAAATAGCGAAATATCAGAGAGAGAAAAATCCTCTCGTAAATAATGTAAAAATATTTCCTCGCGAAATAAGAACGATTTTCAGATGCATTTCTGCTCAACCTCCCATGAATTGCAAAATATTGGAAATCACTCACGTGAAAACTTTTCATCGTGAAATAAGCAAAATTTGCAGTGCGTTTTTTATCTGCAATCTTGATTTTGAATTCTGTAAACGTCCATTGTAATTTATATTTTATAATTCTTTTATAATAAAAGAAATCAAAACAGTGGTATCTGATACCGTAGCAATATTTCATCACTATCATACACTATTTACAAAATATAACAGCTTTCTGTAAGTTAGAAAGTTCATGCAAAATTATGTAAATCATTACATGCAAAATTCGAGATATTGTATACAACATCTGGCGATGAAGACACAAATAACAGCGGAATGTGGGATACATTGGGTGTTGTTCGTGTTAAAACAAGTCATTATTGAGACGGAAACGTTCACAGGGCGATTGCCTTGGTACGGCTATAGCAGTTCTCCAAGCGTATGAGGATACAAATTGGCAGGAATGTTTACATTGATTTAATAGAATTCATGTTATCGGATGACCTTCTCCTGTTGGAAGTCTTTTCTGTGACATCAATACCCTCGTCATCTTCCGCCATTTGAAAGTGAACGAATCTGGTCGTCAGACCATTTTGAGGTTTTCTTGTTTCATCTTCGCTAGCTTCTCCAAGTAATGCTTGGTGAACCCCTTTGTCCTCAATGTCATCATCGTCAACATCATCTTCACTTTCCAAGACAACGTCTCCTTCCATGTGTTGCTTGTTGTTTAGAAGGGCAGTTTCCGCGTTTTCTTCTTCCGAAATGGGATAGAACGTGTCCGAGGAAGTCGAACCCGGACCGCCCTCTCGAAGTTCCCACGTGTTGGAAGCATCGGTGTAAACATCGCTTAGACACGATAATTCGGTGCAATTACCACTCTGACTAGAAGAGTACGTATCCGAACTAAATTGCTGACCATAAGAAGGGCGCTTTTGATTGCCGCTGGTTTTTCTATTCCCCGGAAAAAAGATAACATATTCACTTGGACTCGTGAAGGTTGGTGGGGTGTTCGGCTCCTTGGCATCAGAGTACCGCTTTGTTACCTCTCCGAAATCGTCTGATGACATGTTTGTTTCGCGTACAATACTAAGTTTTCGTTCACACTGACTGTCAATTATTTCGTTGCGCACTTGTGTAGTGATTGGGGATTCTGTGTCTTTGGGTGTTCCCTTAGGTGTAATACTCGGTGACGGACCGCCTGTACTAATCTTGAGCGAATTTTTCGAACCTTTAAAACTTACGGAGACTTGAGTGACGGAACTGTTGATTGGATGAATGATATTGTGAAGCGCCAAACTATCTTTTCTGGACTGAGTCAAAGATTTACTTGTCACAGTTAATTTATATTTGCTTGCCTTATCCTTACATATACCATACTTGTCGAGGATTGCAAACATGTCTTTTCGAAATTGTTTTGTTATAATTACATACAAAAATGGATTGGCACATGAATTCAAGGGATAGAAGAAAACCAGAAGGATCTTTGAATTTGAGATGTCAATGAGAGGGAGACCACTGGAAGCGGTTAGGCCAAAGAATGCAATAGGAGCCCAACATACGAAATTGGTGAAGACGAGCATAGCCATCCGCTTGGCAATAGTAGCATCGCTACTTCTTGCTGTAGAATCGCTGTTACGCACTTGCCAGTACATGTTGATGTAGCAGCAGCAGATGCACAGGAAAGCAACACCATTGATCATGAGTAGAGATATCACATATGCCTGATCCGTGGCATTTTCAACCTGCATGGGTAGGCATACGCTGACATTACCGTAGTCACTTATACCAAGCAGAGGAAGCATTGCCATAATGACAGCATACAGCCAGCCGGCTGCCATCACACCTACCGCCTGACGCAGCTTGAGTCTTTTTGTGAGATGTATGGCGTGACTGATAGCGTACCAACGTTCCAGTGTAATTACAGTTAATGTAAAGATCGATAACTCGGATGAGAAGACCGTTAGAAAACCGGCTGTCTGACACCCCCCTTCGTTTTGCCATAATATAGCATAGTTAAAGTATTCTCCAAGTGTATGAATGTCGATAGATGCCAGCAGCAACAAATATACACCCATAAGAAAATCGGCAAAAGCAAGATTACACATGAGGAATTTCGGTACAGTTATTTTCCGTTTGCTTGAAGCGAGTACCAACAGGACAACGATATTGCCAAGTATGGCTGCCATGACAACAAACCAAACAAATATCCGGAGCCACTCGTACCCCATGACGTCCTCACATGGATTGAACGCATCCGGTATGGGTGTGCAATCCACTTCTCTGTAGTTCTCTTCAGTATAGATAATTCCACATTTTATGTGCACTTGGCTGTTGTTCTCTGGTACGGGAGATACTAACCAAGTAATGTTCTCAGAAGGGAAACCTGCCGGAGAATCTACCCAACCCTCATAGTCGGGCCCTACAGGGTTGTCTGATACATCATCCATTGAAAAGTCGTCAGATTTTCGTTTCCTCCGTCGCGACATTGATCCAACTGGGGTAGTAGTGCCTGTCTGGTGTTGAGTAGTGGGCGAGGAGGACGTAGCACAATCTTGGTGTATTCGGCGTTGAGCTTCCTCGTACGCACGCTGTTTCTGACGCTTTTCCGGACTCTCCTTTTCCGGTATTAGAAAGGCACAACAATGATGAGGATAGTACAGTCGCGCTTCTTTTATTTTATTGAACGTCCATACAGACGGGAAGTGACGTAGGGACTTCGTGTCCTTTAAAATCAGCTTCTCAATTTCAGATATTCCTGCTGTTGGGAGGCTAGTGATGGCAGTTCGTGAAAGGTCGCTGAAAATGTTGAAAAAGAAGGTTAAAATTACCGATTTCAGAACAAACAATGATGCTATGAGTCTTTATAAAGTGTGATGCACTTGCAAAACAAATACGTACTCTGTCATCAATTACTTTAACGAAATATTTGTTTATGTTATAGTAAAAGAAACACAAGAAATACATACCATCTTATTCAAAATGATCACTTCGGAATAATGTACAAAACAATCATGTTGCTGAGCAGCCACGAAAACATAAATTAAAAAATTTGTATAGGAAAATGTTTATATTTTAAGAAGACCTGCTACTTACAGTTTTTTTAGATCATGAATTGCGGAGAACGCGCCATCTTCTAACACAGTCAATGTTGGATTGTCGCTGATTTGTCTATAGGCAAAAGAATTAGGCAGTGCGTATCAAAACAAAATATATACATTGCTTTCTATCATGTTTGTGATATGAACGATGCATATTTTTATGTCCTTTCTGTTGTATTGTAGGCTTATTCACAGTTTGGCTCTACTAGATATAACTTAAATTTGTATTTAAAAGTGCGATTTCATTTTTACAATCTTTTAGATATAAGGTGGTAGACACTGCTGTTGGACGTTTAGCCCCCATAGGTTTGCCGTAACCTGAATTTTACATTTTATTTGAATAGTCTCCGGATTCAGCATTTACACATGTACTTGATGTTGTTCTCAAATTCTAAAATGACGAAATCTTTCCAGTTGTGGGGTTTGTATATCTCCCAATCTATATTTTTGACTTTTCACTTTTCGATCACATTGGATTTTCCGTGGGCGCCTCATAAGCTTTGAAATTTAGGTCTTTAGCATCACTGACAAATCCTGGAATGACGAAACGGCTGTGTGATGCAGTTTACTTTTTCCTCTAGTGTATTTACCACTGAATGTCAATTAAAAGTTGTCATTCGTGTTCCTTTTGATCAGTCTTGTAAATGTTTTCAAATTTCTTTCGTTATAGAATATCTAACCGCCAAAAACCTTTGATTAGTGAACGTCACGTGTTGACGATCTACAGTTCTGACGTCACAGGCGGCAACATCGCCGACCACGTCATCATTTTGTTCATCCAGTTGAGAATGTAAACAACTGAAGCAGATATTTTGTTGCAATGACAACATACTTACTGTCGGTAATTGTGACATTTGTAAAAAATATAAATAAATGAATTATGATAGAGATACAAAATGCCATCTACGCTGTATATGCTTTTCTAAGAAGGAACAATGTAAAACTGCATAGGGCATGTAAATTATGATGAAACCGTTAATAGTTTTAGAGCATAAGACAAAAAGTTCACCGAAAAAAATATAAAAAAATGTAGTGTAATCAGTTTAACGGCGTTTTGGTGCCTAAATAATAAAACTAATAATAAAACGTGTTTAAATTTGAAAAATACTATCGCGTTTCTCAAATGATGAAGACATTTTTTCTGTATCTACATTTGCAAATATTTCGATTTTTCTACATTTCGATATAAATTGAATGAATAATCGGACAACATTTTATAAAAGGACACATGTTAAAATAACGATTTTTTATACTTACAGGTTTACTATCTGCGCCTCGTAAAAAGCACTTTTCTTGATTGTTCGGATTCTGTTATTGTCCAGTTTACTGTACAAAAGAAAGACGTGCGTCAGTCATCAGAATCATCATTTTCGACCCATTGTGCGTTTAGAAATGCGACATTAACGCTTGTTGTTGCATCAGCAATTTCTAGTTGAGAAATTGGTAGGTTTGAGGTCCATATTAAAAGGGGAAATAAGATGATAGTAAGGTTGCTGATATTTGCAAAAGTTGAAGATGGACTGTTAGTAAGTTGTGTAAGGTGTGTTTTTTAGTGCAGCAATTCACAAAGGGATACTGAAATTACAGTCTTACGAATTTTCAGTATTTTAAAGAAATTTAAGAATGATATGAGTACATTTCGGAACATTTTCCTCATGCTCGTATGTCAATAGAAGTTTTTATTACACAGCCATTAGAACATAAGAGTGTGACATTTTGATGACTACACAGTCACCTTCATCACAAAAAAACTGCCCTTACATCAAAGGCTTGTCAGAAACCATTCAGAGAATTTACCGTTGTTATAGCAACGCAACAGTCATGAAACGCTACAAGACTCTACGAAATAACAGTCAATCCTAAGGATAAAAGACTCAAAGAGAACGTCACAGAATGCGTATACAAAATCAGATGCAAGAACTGCGACGCATCATGCATCGGAGAAACAGACAGGAGATTCGGGGTCCGACTTAATGAACATCAGAAAGACGCGGAATCCCAAGAAGGCAAAAAATCACTAGACCAGAACGAAAACCTTCTCAGTTCCGGATCAATTAATCGGCACTTACAGATCATTCCACACAGCACTGTCTGGGAAAAAAAATCAAAACTCTGTTTACAAACTCGTAAATCGATTTTCGACCTTAGAGTACATTTGCTGTTAGTACAACTGATAAAGTTGGTCGTTTCCTTACCATCTTGTGCACTATGTACGTCAGTACTAGTACGCTCCACACTTATTATTTGTCTGATGAATGTCACCATGGAGTCATTGAAACGTCAAACTCTAATCTTCTACTGGTTGTATTCTATAAAAAGAACTTCTAATCCACTGTCACGAGTACATCCGTGCTATTTGAAGAGTGATGGGCGTACATGACATTAATTTTCAGCCTGATTTACCCAAAGAGTGTGAAGTGGTTTTTGTTAACTGATAATATTGCAACGCGTCATGATGGTACTAAACAGTCTGAAGAGTGTTTTGATTTCGTAATTCGGGACAGACGAGGGATAATTTGTAATTACACATTCGAGACAAGAAGGCGCTGTGATTACACATTCGAAAAAAGAGCTCTTTGTGATCACAAATTTGAGACGAGGGCTGTTGTGGATTACATATTCGAGACAGGGGTGCATTGTGATTACACATTCGAGACAGGGGTGCATTGTGATTACACGTTCGAGACAGGGGTGCATTGTGATTACGCATTCGAGACAGGGGTGCATTGTGATTACGCATTCGAGACAGGGGTGCACTGTGATTACGCATTCGAGACAGTGGTGCATTGTGATTACCCATTCGAGACAGGGGTGCATTGTGATTACGCATTCGAGACAGGGGTGCACTGTGATTACGCATTCGAGACAGGGGTGCACTGTGATTACGCATTCGAGACAGTGGTGCATTGTGATTACCCATTCGAGACAGGGGTGCATTGTGATTACACATTCGAGACAGGGGTGCACTGTGATTACGCATTCGAGACAGTGGTGCATTGTGATTACGCATTCGAGACAGTGGTGCATTGTGATTACACATTCGAGACAGGGGTGCATTGTGATTACACATTCGAGACAGGGGTGCATTGTGATTACACATTCGAGACAGGGGTGCACTGTGATTACACATTCGAGACAGGGGTGCATTGTGATTACACATTCGAGACAGGGGTGAACTGTGATTACACATTCGAGACAGGGGTGAACTGTGATTACACATTCGAGACAGGGGTGAACTGTGATTACACATTCGAGACAGGGGTGCATTGTGATTACACATTCGAGACAGGGGTGCATTGTGATTACACATTCGAGACAGGGGTGCATTGTGATTACACATTCGAGACAGGGGTGCATTGTAATTACACATTCGAGACAGGATACGTTGCTATCACACATTCCAGACAGGGACATGTTATGATAAAAAAGAGTTTGTTGTGGTCAAGTATAAGAGTTACCTCTGTTTAACATAACACACAAGGGCATTATGTAATTGAACATTTCGAACAGGGCTTATTGAAGTTTCAACTAACGGACTGGAGCGCGTTTTGTAATTCATGTCAATTTCAGTCACTTCGAATTTCTTTGTTGTTACATGAATTGAAGTGACTTAGAGCGCTGTATGACTGCGTGTATTGTACAAACACATAATCACATGAAACAAAGGTCGCTTGACTACACTGAAATCATTATATATGAATACCCTTCATTACATCTAGGATATTCAGAACGATATTACGTACGGGATATATATATTTACATACATGTGATATACTTACAGAAGATTTGTTTTGATGGACATGAAAGCGTGTTCCTCAATCTCTTCTATTTTATTGTTTGATAAATCTCTGAGAAAAAAAAGCAAGGAACATATTACCATAAACTCTTTTGTATGTGATTATAATGTTTACATATACGCAAGTAAATGATTATGAAAAATGTATGATAAACTTTGAGTAGCTACTAGGAAATTTCCCAGAGTTCCCTTAACTATAAACAAAGCATATTTGTGTGCAAAGGATCAATATCAAGTTTACGGCAATGACACCTAAAACAGTTAATTCCATACATCTCTTGCATGACTTCGTTGGTATCCCTGTTCCTGGTGCTGAAGTTCTCCAGATTGGGAACTCGTGTGATGCCGTTCCTGTACATTTGTCTGTAATATAAATATCAGACACACATATACTGTAAAACTCATGTATTATTCATGAAGCTCAATTTTCGTGGTTTTTTTTAAAAGATAAAAAACATATTTCATTGGTAATTGATTTCGTGGATAAATATATATCAATACTTATATTTATTAATGTAACGGTTTGTGGGTGTATTTATTCGTGGGTTATGAGTACCTGCAACATCAATAAAAATAACTCCCCATAAATATGTGTGGTTTTACAGTACAGTGAAACCTCGCTATTAAGACCACTTTGGGGACTGGACAAAAGTGGTCTTAATAGCGAGGTGGTCTTAATAGTGAGGTGGATCAGATTGACCACAAAGAACCGTAACTCTGTTTAAAATAAAGAGTATATATGTCATTAAGTAATGTACATGTATATTATTCAACAATAATAACTAATAATAATAAACTAAAATGTTGAATTTTATGAATTGCATGTAAAAAAGACAAAATTGCTGAATTGACAGAAGAATAATTATGTATATATTCCTTAGTTATATATCATAATATACATATATATTTACTATTGTAAACATTGAATAAAAGGAAACAAACAATCCATTTTAAGTTCAATTGGAATTTAACGTTAATTTTGCAACTATTTCACATAAATTTACGAACACTTTTACTCAGTATTTGTAACAACTTTAATGAAGTCACTATAAAGTCTTTCAACGCTTCATTTTTCACTTAAATTCGCAAACACATTATCTTTATCAGTGTATCACTCAGTACAACACATTTTTCTTTTTACTTAAAAAAAAAGAGTCCGGAGCACAATATTGCGAAGAGCTACGGATCTGGACAGCCTCCTCTTTCATACGTCCTTTTTACCGATCGCGATAGCTCGTTTCGTTTCCGTGGTTTCGTCATTGCTTGATAAAGTTCATCGGAGTTTTGTGACAGAGAAAATGTGTCGTAAAAAAATGGAACACATACACGTTTTTTTATTGTTCAAACGATATCGAGAGTGCAACATTGCTACAAAAACAGTTAAAAACCCTCGACAACGTGTGCGCGTGCAAGCCAAGGAATATCGGCCGAAACGACTACATAATTCACTTTTGGGTATGCAGGGCTTCTAAGGTGTTTATATACCTATCGGTCCATCAATATATAATTAACAAACAACAGATCGCTATTAACACGTGTCTAGCACGCGGTTTCGGACGGGTAGGCCAAGTTAATCCGATAATGATGTTTACTTCGTTTAACGCCACCTGGTGACAGGGTCGGTAACCCGTGACGAAAACAATGGTCGTGAAGGACACACATGTTCGCGGTTCACTGCCCACCAGGTAAACTTTAATCACTGGTCAGGCCGTGGTCATAATTGTGAGGTCAATTATCGTTAATAAGTGGTCGTTGGGACTGTAAGAAGTGGTCGTGAAACGGAATAGCGGGGTGGTCGTAATACTGAAGCGACCAATACAAAGATATATAGTGGAAAAAAACGGAACGGAAAAAAAGTGCCCGTAATAGCGGGGTGGTCGTAATTTTGAGGTGGTCGTTAGGTGAGGTTTCACTGTAGTACGAAAGTATATTGCTATGTTTAGTCGGATGGTGCCGAGCATTAGGACTTAGATCTATGTGTACAAGTCATCACAGAATATGTATACATCCTATGTTTCTACAACATAATTACTCGACTTTAACCCGTTGTTATTATTTGAACAATATTCTCCAATAATAATAACTGAATCATCCTGTTGATATGAATTATGAGAGTGTATGTAAAATAAATTCAATTTAAGTGTAACCTGACTGTTGACACGTTACATTTGTTTGTTAAATATGTGTGTGTGTGGGGTGTTGTTTGTTTTGTTTGTTTGTTTTGTTTGTTTGTTTTGTTGGTTGGTTGGCTGGTTAGTTGGTTTTCGTACGTGTGCGTTTTGTTTGTTCGGTTTCTTTTGTACATCTGGAACTAACAAACGACAATGAAAAACGTAGTGTAAAACGTACATGGTATCGAGACGTTGGAACTCTCCAAACACTCCCGGCCCTATGTTTCCAAGTCTCTCACATCCGATAATGCCTCTGAAAATACAGAATGTGTCTTACATATTTATGATAAAATCGTTTTGATGCAAGTAACAGTATCAGGATGGTAACACAGCGAAATATACCGGATTGTTTGGTACTGATAATCACGATTGACACCCAAAATGTACGATGGGTTGAAATTTAATAGACGATACAAATCACAAAAGTTATTAATATTCATTTGACAGATTAGAAATGGTATGAATACCATACAAAACTAAAAATCCAACTTGTACTTCACTAGAACGTTTCATCCCAATAGCTATCACATGTGTTTTGAAGTTGAAAACGAGACTGATTTTGATCCTCTGACCTAGATTTAAGATTTAATTGTTGAGCAATAGAGAACGACCATTGCCGATGTATCACTTGGCGGTGACAAACAATCGTTTTGTTACATAACAATATATCTTGCCTTATTAGAGCCTGGTATTGTCTGTTCATACATCAAGTTTGACATTTCACCCAAAGACATCGTAAACAGTATCTTTATGGATTAGCATCCATGATTGTAATTGAATTTAAATACAAACTTTGCGGAACTTTAACATCAAAATCAATTTCACAAATGTCATTACCAAGAGACAGATATCTTTGATTGGATTTGACTTTTAAAATTTTAAAATGTTTTCTAGGTTCGATTTTATCAACCTCCTTGGAGGTGTGTTTGGTTTGTAAATATGCCGTTATGTAATTGTGTAGAACATTGGGTTACATCAATGACAGTGGTCTGTTATAAGAGTATGTCATAAACATGTCATATACTGATTTAACTAAATCGCAAAAATACAAACACGGAAGAAATATGACCTTGTGGTCTTTGTCAGTGCACTATCGACTTCTGTCTCGGAATAATGGCAACAAGCCTAGGATATCGAATCAATTGTGACATAAACACTGTAGGTTTGGAAGCTGGAAATGTTACCGACTAGAAATGACAGATTCACGATATCGAAATAGAATCGTACCTGTGAAACATATTAGTGTATAAGTGATGCTTGCGGTATATGAAGAAAAAGGTATGGAACTAATATAGAAGAATGATTTCCGACATTGATGGGCATATACGACGGACAGGGTTACTTTCAAGACAAGACATCGTCATTATATCTAAATCCGAACCTGGAAAAGTTTTCCATGTCTTTCTTACATCGTCATTATCAAGTTTTCATCCTCTTAAGAAAAGAAAGTTGTAATGGGAATGTCAATAATGTGATACTGTAAAATCACATGTTTTCGTGGGACGTAAACTTCGTGGCTTCTCAAAATGAACACTTTTTTTGCACTTGATTTCATTGATCAATCTTGACTAGTACTATAACATATAAACTTGCATCTATTTATCATTGCGCGAACATCCACTATTTGACGATTTAGACTGTTCACGTAGTCAATGAAAATAAATCCCCCGCAAAAATTTGTGATTTTACAGCAGACAACCTTACCGCGAATATCAACACAATGTTATTTATCATGAGCGGCTTTCGCAGATGGATCTAACTGATCTCAAAATATGGAGGGAAAGTACCAGGTATGCGGTTTTATCAAAAGCCCATATCAGGAACAATATCTTAAGAAAATCTTGAAACGTATGATACCTTTGTATATATAAATTTATTCAATTCTATAATCGAGATATCGACATTTAACTATATTTTCACTTTTTTTTTTCTATTTTCGAAAATATCGAAAAATCGCCCCCCCTCCCCCAACCCCCTACCCCCACCCCCTTAAGAAACAGCTACACTAATTGACATATGATTCGATTTATCGATTTAGTCTGATCTGAATTCGATTAGAGGCAGAATAAGACAACCTCATTTGATAGGTAATATCAACCAAAATAACAAAGATTTTAACCATCTCACTGCTTCCATGTAGGGTTAGCAACATTGTATATACTCACATCACACGGAGATTGTCCAGGTGACTTAAACTGCCTTTCTCCAGAGTCTCTAAAGAGCATGGCCGTTTTCGAAGATCTCGGAAAAATCTGACAAGAAGAGATTAGTTATTACAAATTAAAGCTGTGTCTTTTTTCATACGAAGTGTAATAATTACCTAGTAAGTGTTCAGCTTAATAATCCGTTATTCACCAGGACAGAATAAAATTCAGGGTATCCGCTGATTAAATTAATATCATAACGTACAAACAACAGTTGATTCTAACTTGTCATACATTAAAGGACATTTGCTCCTCGTACAAATGGCCAAATCAAGTTTTCATATTCGCTCATTCGTTGTATCTACATTTACATCAGTGTGGTCGATTTACATTACAATAACCACATTTCCCGTTTGATAGAATATTTCTATCAAATCAAATATATGACATGATCTATTCTGTATCATCAAACGCTACAAACACTCAAAGTATTCACTCTGTCAGAATGATGCAATGGTATCAAACGTTGCTATGGATCGCAATTAGATCATGAGGTCACATGGATATTTAAAATTAGATTTGTGACGTTTTCAAATATGTAGCTTAACTTTGAGTCAATGATACTTTATGTACCAGTAATTATTCCTATGCAACTATCAGATTGATGGTCCTCGATCAACGCAATATGACGTCACAGAATGGTTACATTCAGAATGTGTAATTACCTCAGCATCGTAAAGCATGGTCTGAGATGAAGTTATAAAACTGGTTTTCCCACTAGGGGTTTGCTTGACATAACCTTGTATTCTTGAACCTATAGTTAACGACGTTTTCAAACTGCCCTGGAGACAAGTATGGACTAGTTGGATTTCAGATTCGTTTAGCCTTCAATCTTAAAATACCATCAAAATATTGGCGTGGAATGTATGAGGGGATATCAAAATATTTTGAGCCTTTTGGACCACCGATGGAAGACGCTAGGTGTTGAGAATAGGATGGTTGAAGAAGTTCATATCAACACTCATGCGCAGCTTCCATCGCATCTCGGTGGTGTGGACGGGTACGTCGTCCTCAATGGGTTTTTCTGTGACCTTTCTCTTTGATTCATTGGCGTTTCTGATTCGGTAGGTGAGTGTAAAACATTAATTGTGTTTCCGTAGGGCAAATAGTCGATGTGAATCACTCCTTTATTGTCCAAAAAATGATCGCGGTAACCTTCATGGTGGATCTGTTGGCTTTGATGTTCTTTTGGCCTTAGAGATGTGCCATGTTAAGATTCCATCGATTCCGGTTAACCCCAGGATCATAATGATGAAGTCAGGTTTCGCATTTCAACTCTGGAATGAATATCGTCTTGGTTGGCTTTGAACCGGATTTGCAAGGCTCCATTGATTGTGACCCTTGATCACTTCGTATAATTCGGAATAATTCTTGGTGAGACCGAACTTACATATACCTTGGATATGTGTAGTTTTGTCGTGAATGATGGGCCTATGTTAAAGACCGCTTGCTTCTTCTACTGAATCATAAAGAGTAAAGATGTTTTCCATTACTAGTTCATACAGTGTCAGTGTGTTCCTTCATCCAGCGTTTGATAGTAGTAGAAGAAGGGGAACAATTTCTTAAACGGTCACTACTCGCTTTTAAATCTGTTTGCCAGATTGACCCTCTGGGACTAGAACATTTGTCACCGCCCTGTACTTAGTTTTCCCCATTTTACCACGTCAAACAAGTCTCTGACAAGGTCCTTGTGAGTGAACATTCGAAGCCAGCGATATGATGCTTTATGAAATAAGAAGCTAAGGCGATAATATGAATAAATTTTGGTGCGTTTTACCATCCTACATTCAAAATATATAAGGATCAAAATTTTTTGATATCCTCATATATTCTAGCACTTGTGCTAAAAAAACAGTATATTGATTCTATGCTTGAGCAACACATATATATGTTTACTCTGTATCTGATGTATCAGATGTGAACAATAAAAAGCAGATGATGTATTAGGTAATCCCTTTCATATAACAGACAGCGTGCAGACGTGTGCCGCCTTTTCATTTTAAGTGCTTTTTAATTGTGCTTTCTCAAGGTCTTTCGGTTTAACATATGATATTGTATCGCTTTCCTTGATAACCCATCATCTTTTTGGCTGTTTTGTTGTCACATATTACGTTTAAAATGGATTCATTTGCACTCAGATATACATTTTTCATGACCGACTTCTTTGAGTATTTGAGTTTAACGGACTAGAGCGAAACAAAGCTGGAAAATACTTTTATTTTACTATTTAGTCCAGTGTGGATATCATTGTGAAAATGCTTATATCAACTCAGAGGAATCTTGGTATAATTTATAATATATGTGTTAATGCAGTTAGCTATATGCCAATGATATATATTTCAGACAAATGCAATCGGATATCAACTTCTGTGAAAGGCTATCGAAATTATAATCACATATAATGAATTGTTCCTATCTAGATCCATTGGCCCAGTTCTGGAGAGGGCGCTTTATAAGTTGCAATCACTCGATAAATAAACTTAGAAAGCTACAAAACACTAACAATGAAAGTCTTTACACGTTCTTTTCGTCTGCTTCAAATCTTCAAAGAAATTCGAACGACATTGCCGTCTATTTTTTTTCATAGGAATTTCACTTGAAGTGGAATATGACATCGAAAAATATAAAGGATGAGGGGGAAATGTGACGTTTTTTTTTTTTTGTCATTTAATGAAATCATATCTGCGATTATTAAAAATTTCCGACTTCTTATTACACTAAGAATTCGTATATTTCCCAATGGGATCGGTGTTAGTATCATTCCTCAAAATGCTTTATGGATTCGTTTTAGGGATCTGTCTTACTACAGGTTAGAACATAATTTCTGTTTAGATAATATTATATTATATTGTGAATGTATTTAATTCAAATCAAACATGTCCTCTGTACAAGATTAAGTGAAATAAGAGAAACCTCGACTTACATTTGAGTTAGACCAGGATACCTCCTGAAAGCTCCAGTGTGCAGTTTAGTAATGGCAGTTCCGCTCAGATACCTGAAATTATCAATAATACTATTTAGGACTCTCAGTATATGATAAAATATTGATGGAAACTGATAGATTGATGAAAACAATGACGAATTACAGGTTTCTTTATAACTAGACAAAACCAAAGTCCTTCGATTTACTGTAGTTTCCCAATGGACTACATATAACATAGATATTTTTTGTGAGTGAATTAAAAATTCCAAATTAATTTTTAAAAATATTGAATATACATGGAATCAAGCATAAAATAATGTATTTAAAAAATTTAGACGTCAGTTGGTTTTAAATCTCCTTGGATTCCGAGTTTACGGTCACCGGGAGAAGAATTAGGAGGAGAAGGAGGATGAGGAGATAGTATACAGCATTGGCTAACGGGCATGGAACTGATAGTCTGGAAACTGCTATGGTTACAGGATACAGGCACCTCACTCAGAAATCTATATTTTGTAGACAGATTGGGAACTGAATAGCCTAAGGTTATGAACTTTCGGTTTCAGATTTGATACCGAAAATACAAATGAAACCCAAAGGGTCAGACCATACTTTGGCAGCTGCTTTCGAACAACAAGACACATTGGTCTCCATATCGTTATGGAGACATCTCCAGATCTCACTGCCAGCCATGACCCACGTGTATTGTAGGATTTTCCGTTAGACAAATCGGGGAAATGTAACCTAATTTTGGAAGCAGTACATCAATGCAAGAAAAACCAACAACAACAAAAACAAACAAACAAAGAAAAAAACACACACACTAAGACAAGAGAGATAAAAATAAAATGAAGAGAATGGATATAGAAATAAAATGTAAAGTGCATTCAACGCCAGCAACTAGGAAATTTTATTTAAGCTATTGGAAAAATCTTCAAAGCAAACAAATCAAATCTATCTAAATAATTGTGTGTGGAGTTTATATGGAGAATCCGACGAGGGAAACTGAATTATATTTTTAACAAAAAAAAAAAAAAAAAACAAAACAAAAAAAGGAATTTAAAAGACAGTGAGAAGTGATTATTTTAATACATCAAATGATTACTAACAGTTATGTTTTGATCAGACTGGAGAGTCGGCATGGTTCAGACTGGAGGGTCTAGCCATGATTCAGACTGGAGAGTCTCGGCATGGTTCAGACTGGAGGGTCTCGGTATGATTCAGACTGGAGAGTCGGCATGGTTCAGACTGGAGGGTCTCGGTATGATTCAGACTGGAGAGTCGGCATGGTTCAGACTGGAGGGTCTAGCCATGATTCAGGCTGGAGAGTCTCGGCATGATTCAGACTGGAGGGTCTAGGCATGTTTCAGGCTGCAGGGTCTCGGTATGGTTCAGGCGGGAGGGTATCGGTATGATTCAGACTGGAGGGTCTCGGTATGGTTCAGGCTGGAGAGTCGGCATGGTTCAGACTGGAGGGTCTCGGTATGATTCAGATTGGAGGGTCTCGGTATGGTTCAGGCTGCAGGGTCTCGGTATGATTCAGACTGGAGGGTCTAGGCATGATTCAGGCTGCAGGGTCTCGGTATGATTCAGACTGGAGGGTCTCGGTATGATTCAGACTGGAGGGTCTCGGCATGGTTCAGGCTGGAGGGTCTCGTTATGGTTCAAACTGGAGGGTCTCGGCATGGTTCAGGCTGGAGGGTCTCGGTATGATTTAGGCTGGAGGGTCTAGGCATGATTCAGACTGGAGGGTCTCGGCATGGTTCAGGCTGGAGAGTCTCGGTATGGTTCAGACTGGAGGGTCTCGGCATGGTTCAGGCTGGAGGGTCTCGGTATGATTCAGGCTGGAGGGTCTCGGTATGATTCAGGCTGCAGAGTCTCGGTATGATTCAGACTGGAGGGTCTCGGCATGGTTCAGGCTGGAGAGTCTCTGTATGGTTCAGACTGGAGGGTCTCGGCATGGCTCAGGCTGGAGGGTCTCGGTATGATTCAGGCTGCAGAGTCTCGGTATGATTCAGACTGGAGGGTCTCGGCATGGTTCAGGCTGGAGGGTCTCGGTATGGTTCAGGTTGGAGATACTCGGCATGGTTCAGACTGGAGGGTCTCGGCATGGTTCAGGCTGGAGGGTCTCGGTATGATTCAGGTTGGAGAGTCTCGGTATGATTCAGACTGGAGGGTCTCGGCATGGTTCAGGCTGGAGGGTCTCGGTATGATTCAGGTTGGAGATACTCGGCATGGTTCAGACTGGAGGGTCTCGGCATGGTTCAGGATGGAGGGTCTCGGTATGATTCAGGTTGGAGAGTCTCGGCATGATTCAGACTGGAGGGTCTCGGTATGATTCAGGTTGGAGAGTCTCGGTATGATTCAGACTGGAGGGTCTCGGCATGGTTCAGGCTGGAGGGTCTCGGTATGATTCAGGCTGGAGGGTCTCGGTATGGTTCAGGTTGGAGATACTCGGCATGGTTCAGACTGGAGGGTCTCGGCATGGTTCAGGATGGAGGGTCTCGGTATGATTCAGGTTGGAGAGTCTCGGCATGATTCAGACTGGAGGGTCTAGGCATGATTCAGACTGGAGGGTCTCGGTATGGTTCAGGCTGGAGGGTCTCGGTATGATTCAGGTTGGAGAGTCTCGGCATGATTCAGACTGGAGGGTCTCGGTATGGTTCAAGCTGGAGGGTCTCGGTATGGTTCAGGCTGGAGAGTCTCGGCATGATTCACACTGGAGGGTCTCGGTATGGTTCAAGCTGGAGAGTCTCGGCATGATTCAGACTGGAGGGTCTAGGCATGATTCAGGCTGCAGGGTCTCGGTATGGTTCAGGCTGGAGAGTCTCGGCATGATTCAGACTGGAGGGTCTAGGCATGATTCAGGCTGCAGGGTCTCGGCATGGTTCAGACTGGAGAGTCTCGGTATGATTCAGACGGGAGGGTCTAGGCATGATTCAGGCTGGAGGGTCTCGGTATGATTCAGACTGGAGAGTCTCGGTATGGTTCAGACTGGAGAGTCTCGGTATGATTCAGACTGGAGGGTCTAGGCATGATTCAGGCTGGAGGGTCTCGGTATGATTCAGGCTGCAGAGTCTCGGTATGATTCAGTCTGGAGGGTCTAGGCATGATTCAGGCTGGAGGGTCTCGGTATGATTCAGGCTGGAGAGTCTCGGCATGGTTCAGACTGGAGAGTCTCGGTATGATTCAGACTGGAGGGTCTAGGCATGATTCAGGCTGGAGGGTCTCGGTATGATTCAGGCTGCAGAGTCTCGGTATGGTTCAGACTGGAGGGTCTCGGTATGGTTCAGGCTGGAGAGTCTCGGCATGATTCAGACTGGAGGGTCTCGGTATGGTTCAGGCTGGAGGGTCTCGGTATGATTCAGGCTGGAGAGTCTCGGCATGATTCAGGCTGCAGAGTCTCGGTATGGTTCAGGCTGGAGAGTCTCGGTATGATTCAGACTGGAGGGTCTAGGCATGATTCAGGCTGGAGGGTCTCGGTATGATTCAGACTGGAGAGTCTCAGCATGGTTCAGACTGGAGGGTCTAGGCATGATTCAGGCTGCAGGGTCTCGGTATGGTTCAGGTTGGAGAATCTCGGTATGATTCAGACTGGAGGGTCTAGGCATGATTCAGGCTGGAGGGTCTCGGTATGATTCAGGCTGCAGAGTCTCGGTATGATTCAGTCTGGAGGGTCTAGGCATGATTCAGGCTGGAGGGTCTCGGTATGATTCAGGCTGGAGAGTCTCGGCATGGTTCAGACTGGAGAGTCTCGGTATGATTCAGACTGGAGGGTCTAGGCATGATTCAGGCTGAAGGGTCTCGGTATGATTCAGGCTGCAGAGTCTCGGTATGGTTCAGACTGGAGGGTCTCGGTATGGTTCAGGCTGGAGAGTCTCGGCATGATTCAGACTGGAGGGTCTCGGTATGGTTCAGGCTGGAGGGTCTCGGTATGATTCAGGCTGGAGAGTCTCGGCATGATTCAGGCTGCAGAGTCTCGGTATGGTTCAGACTGGAGAGTCTCGGTATGATTCAGACTGGAGGGTCTAGGCATGATTCAGGCTGGAGGGTCTCGGTATGATTCAGACTGGAGAGTCTCAGCATGGTTCAGACTGGAGGGTCTAGGCATGATTCAGGCTGCAGGGTCTCGGTATGGTTCAGGTTGGAGAATCTCGGTATGATTCAGACTGGAGGGTCTAGGTATGATTCAGACTGGAGGGTCTCGGTATGATTCAGGCTGCAGAGTCTCGGTATGGTTCAGGCTGGAGGGTCTAGGCATGATTCAGACTGGAGAGTTTCGGCATGATTCAGACTGGAGAGTTTCGGCATGATTCAGACTGGAGAGTCTCGGCATTATTCAGGCTGCAGAGTCTCGGCATAATTCAGGCTGGAGGGTCCCGGTTGATTCCGGTTGGTGGTTCCCGGCGTAAAGTATTTTGATTAATGAAATATAAACTATTTATTTTACAACAGTTACAAAAACAATTTATTTCATCATAAGTCTTGTTATCCCAGTTATAAGTGCGCAAGGTGTCTTATTTTGAGAGGAAAACAGAATGTCCTACGAAAACCCACGTGGTCGGGCAGGTGACCTCTTACCTTTTCACGTCCGGTCTGGGAATCGGACCCAGGACGAGTAGGGGGAAAGGCGAGCTCATTACCACTGGGACACCTGATCAACGAGGTGAGTATTTTGGTTGTAGTGTTAAAACAGTTTTCTTGATGTCATTGACCGCTAGTGATGACCGCTCGTGACTTGAGCTATCGATTTTATAACCACAATGAAGACAACAAGTATATTGTTTGGTCGTCGTGTGTCTGCCCAAACAGTCCGCTACATGTTGGAAGCTGTGTTCCTTCATTGAACCAATTTCGTTGTGACGTCACCATGATAATCAGCATAACTGGCCCGAGTTCACCGGCGTTGGACCTTCCAAGAATAAAACTTTTGTGGCGGAAGTGTAATGGCGCTTTATGTGGGGGAAATCTTACCAGATTTGTTATGGCCTAAGGCAATAAAATCGGCATTTGATATTCGATCGAAATTTCAAGACCTGGTTGTTCTGCTATTTCCAGCAGGATAACACACCAGA